TCAGAAAAGAAGGCTCAGTTGGAGCAGAAGGACGCTGAAGCCAACGAGAAATTGCAGCGCATGGTGGCTGACCAACGCGAGGCCGAGCAGAGGAAGAGCATCTCCCTTGAGATCCAGGCCGCGCTTGAGAAGCAGGAAGCTGAGGTTGCGTCTCGCAAGAAGGTCGTGCTTGAGGATCTTGCCAGGGCGGAGCCGGCTGTCGAGGAGGCCAAGGCTTCCGTCAGCAGCATCAAGAGGCAACATCTCACCGAAGTCAGGTCTATGCCTACTCCTCCCTCTGGTGTCAAGCTTGCGCTTGAGTCCGTTTGCACGCTCATTGGTCACAAGGCGAACGACTGGAAGACGATCCAGGGTATTGTCCGCAGAGATGATTTCATTGCCAGCATTGTCAACTTCAACAATGAGAAGCAGATGACCAAGAGTCTCAGGGTCAAGATGCGCAACGAGTTCTTGGCTAATCCGGAGTTCACCTTTGAGAAGGTCAATCGCGCGTCCAAGGCTTGCGGTCCCCTCGTACAGTGGGTTGAGGCGCAGGTTAACTATGCTGAGATCCTGGACCGTGTTGGGCCCCTCAGGGAGGAAGTCATGTTGCTTGAGGAGCAAGCTCTCCAGACTAAGGCCGAGGCCAAGGCTGTTGAGCAGACTATCTCTACCCTTGAGAACAGTATTGCGCGGTACAAGACCGAGTATGCTGCACTCATCAGTGAAACACAAGCCATCAAGGCGGAGATGTCGAGGGTGCAGTTCAAGGTCGACAGGAGTGTCAAGCTTCTCGACAGCTTGTCAAGCGAGAGAACCCGCTGGGAGGAGGGTAGCAGGTCTTTCGAGACCCAGATCAGCACGCTTGTCGGCGACGTCCTTGTCGCAGCAGCTTTCCTGGCTTACAGCGGTCTGTATGACCAGACCTTCCGCAAGTCGATGATGGAAGACTGGCTTCACCAGCTGCACTTGTCGGGTGTCCAGTTCAAGCAACACAACCCAATGACTGAGTACCTCTCGACGGCAGATGAGAGGCTCAGCTGGCAGGAGAACACGCTGCCCGTGGATGACTTGTGTACGGAGAATGCGATTATCCTCAAGAGATTCAACCGGTACCCGCTCATCATCGACCCTTCGGGTCGCGTTACCGAGTTCCTTAATAGGGAGTCTAAGGATCGCAAGCTTACCGTCACGAGTTTCCTGGACGATTCGTTCACCAAGGTCCTTGAGAGTTCACTCCGTTTCGGTAACCCGATTCTCATTCAGGATGCTGAGCACCTCGACCCTGTTCTCAACCATGTTCTCAACAAGGAGTATCAGAAGACCGGCGGTCGTGTCCTCATCCAACTTGGCAAGCAACAAATCGATTTCTCGCCTGCATTCAAGATTTACCTCTCTACCAGAGATCCTTCCGCCACGTTCGCGCCAGATATTTGCAGTAGGACGACCTTTGTCAACTTCACGGTCACGCAGAGCAGTCTGCAGACCCAATCACTCAATGAGGTCCTCAAGTCTGAGAGACCTGACGTGGATGAGAGGCGATCCAACCTCATCAAGCTGCAGGGCGAGTTCAAGGTCCATCTTCGCCAACTCGAGAAGAAGCTGCTCCAGGCGCTCAACGAGTCGCGCGGCAACATCCTTGATGACGACCATGTCATCGAGACACTCGAGACTCTCAAGACGGAGGCTGCGGAGATCTCAGCCAAGATGAGCAACACCGAGGGCGTCATGGCCGAGGTGGAGCAGATCACTTTGCAGTACAACATCATTGCCAGATCTTGCAGTGCCGTCTTCGCCGTCCTCGAACAGCTGCACTACCTCAACCACTTTTACCGGTTCTCGCTGCAGTACTTCCTGGATATTTTCCATTCCGTCCTGCGCGGAAACCCCCATCTGGCGAATGTGACAGACCACAATGTCAGGAGGGATATCATTGTCAAGGATCTCTTCGTGGCCACCTTCAAGCGCACCGCTCTGGGTCTCTTGCAGAAGGATCGCATCACTCTTGCTATGCTTCTTGCCCAGGCTTCGCCCTACAAGATGGATAAGGGGCTGTTGGATGTCATTCTGGATGAGCGTATCGAGGGTAAGGATGTCTCGATTGATCAGAGCACCCGCGACGAAGCATTCGCGCGGGCAAAGAAAACTCCTGCTCTCAAGGACAAGATCGACGCAGTTCCGGAAGCGGATTGGGAGAAGTTCTTCACCGAGGAGCTGGCTGAGGACTTTATTCCCAAGATCTGGACCGACGAAACCGAGCCCAACGACCGTGCGCTTATGTCGCTGCTACTTGTCAAGCTCTTCCGCCTCGATCGTTTCGTCCCTGCGGCGGAGCGCTTCGTCACTCTTGTCTTTGGCGCAGAGCTGTTTGACATTGTCGAGGACCTCAAGCAAACCGTTGACCAAGTCTCGGCTATCCGCCCCATCGCCCTTGTTTCCTCCCCTGGCTTCGATGCCTCTTACAAGGTCGATGGTCTCGTCGAGCGCATGCGCGTCCGCTGCACCAACATTGCCATGGGTTCAGCCGAAGCCGAAGGCAGTGCCGACAAGGCCATTGCCAACGCCGCTCAGACCGGATCATGGGTTCTCATCAAGAACGTCCACCTCGCCCCCGGCTGGCTGCAGGGTGTGGAGAAGAAGATGGAGACGCTCAACCCAACCCCGAGTTCAGACTCTTCTTGTCGATGGAGTCCAGTCCCAAGATTCCTGTCAACTTGCTGCGTGCCTCGAGAGTCCTCATGTATGAGCAGCCCGCGGGTGTCAGGGCGAACATGAAGGATTCCTTGTCGAGTCTCTCGACCAGGTCGCTCAAGAGTCCCGTCGAGAGGACAAGGTTGTACCTGCTCTTGTCTTTCTTGCACGCCGTTGTCCAAGAAAGGTTGCGGTATGCGCCTAACCTGGGTTGGAAGGGTTTCTGGGAGTTCAATGATGCTGATGTAAGTTTTGCTCTCACCCACCCTAACCAAGAAAACGATATGAGGATGCTAACCAACACCGAAAACAGTACGAATGCTCCGCCCACGTCATCGACACCTGGATCGACACGGCCGCCCACGGCCGCACAACATCGCCCCCTCCAACATCCCCTGGGAGATGATCCGCTACCTGATCGTCGAGACATACGGCGGAAAGATCGACGACGAGAACGACTTCAAGATGCTCAACCAGCTCGTCCACACCTTCCTCACGCCGTCCGCCTTCGATATCGGCCACAAGCTCGTCGAAGTCACCTATGATTTGGACGAACAGAAGGATGCCGCAGCCGGAGGAGGCGACCTGGTGGTCCCCAGCGGCACGTCGCTGCAGGAGTTCATGAGCTGGATTCAGAAGCTGCCAGAGCGCGAGCCGCCTACATACCTTGGATTGCCGGCGAACGCGGAGAAGTTGTTGCTTGTGGGACTGGGTAGGAGTTTGATTGGGAACTTGAAGAAGGTGACGGATTTGTTGGATGAGGGGGAGGCGATTATGGCGGAAGCGAGTGAGGCCGCTTGAAGGAGATGAGATTGTGTGTTGGGAGAGGGGTGCATACGGAGGGATTATAAAAGTTTGGCAGATGATTGTTAGAGATGATTGAAAGGGTCGTCGGTTGCTTTGGTATGGGATTTCAAATCATGTTAGGTGTTAGGATTATCTATTTGTAGAACTTGTGTGTTAAAAATGGCCTTTAGATTTACAATTCTTTTCAGTGATGTGTGCTGTTCCCAAAGTCATGGCGTGTCAGAAGAGCCTGGATGCAGGTTTATGTGGTGTGATTTAGAAGGTACATTGTGAATTGTTACCCACGATCATATCTTCCATCGCAACTACTTGCTTCCACTTCGTGACTTCCTGCTATGGAGCCGGCACCTAGTGCACAACCTAAGGATATGTCGTGAGGACGAGTTGAGAAAAGCTTCGATAAATCGTACTCGTATTTGCCGGTGATAAGTAATGCGTGATCAGCACCAAGGGTAACATCTGCTGAGGGAGAAAAGGATAACGCCATTTGACGTCGACCAGCAGACACAATCAGAATAAAGAAAGCGAGGTCGATGAATCCTTTATCACAAAGGTGAAAAAAAAAAATGCATTAGATTTAACTCTGGTTCCGATGATGTGTGGTCTCTAGACCAATGCTGTGCAACGACGAGTCAAATGCTGGTTTTGGGGCGCGGTTACGGAGGCTAGATCGTGAGTTGTTTCATATCTGCTATAATAATTGCTGTTCGGCTCGGCGAACACGCGGGCTTCGCAGTCGTCGGATTGGTTGGCTTGGAAGATGCCACAGCCTGCTGATGCTGTTGCGGTTGACCACTTCGTGACTTTAAGCTATGTATGGGGCCGGCCACCTAGTGCATCTAAAGATGTATCTTGAGTGGGTTTAAAAAGGCTTCTTCAATAATCATGCGTATTTGCCAGCGATAATGATCGGCACTAACGAACAGGCAGCACCTGTTGAATAAGAACAAGATGAGAAAAAAAGAAACCCCGACGTCACCCTAGACTCCGTCCGACAAGCAGACACAACCAGAATAAAGAGAGCAAGGCCGATAACTCCTTTACCACAAAGGTTGTGTTAAATATAAAAAAGGCAAAAATGCTCAAACCCGGTTTCGAACCGGGGACTTTTCGCGTGTGAGGCGAACGTGATAACCACTACACTATTCGAGCTTTTACTGGTTATGAAAATAGACGCCTCTGTTATCTATATATGGTGTAATTCATCCACTTGGTGCTGACGCGGTACATTAACAGATTGGAGAGTTGAAATCTTCCGATGGCATCAATAACGGACATGTTCTTTCACTTTTTTTCTTTTGGGTTATCAACAAGTTCAATAGAAAAGTCGATACGACACAAACTCCTACATTTCTCCCGTTCCTTTGCCTATGTGAAATGATTGGGTTACTGGTTTTTTTTTCGTTCCTTTTTTTTCTTTTTTTTTTTTTTTTCGCCACGACCTAGTTCCTCTGAACCGTCAAGCCAGCCGTTTCTTCGTTGCCTTCTTTCCTCCCCTACTTCACCAACTGCACCAACTAACTTCACCTAGAAACCATCCAACCCAACCCCCCCTTCACCATACTGCCCGCATCAAACCCCACGCAAGTGGCCGTGGCATAATCCCCATCATGACTGATACTAATTAGCGCCACCTGGTGATTCTCGTCACCACCTGCCCCCTCTTTAGCCCCTCTAATGATAGCAACAGGCGGTCCACTCCCCAACCTAGCTCTACCCGGCGCTGCTTCCTGCGGTACTGTTGTTCTCCTCCTTGCCAGCGTGGTATCATTTGCGCCCGAGTTTGACTCGGAGTCTGGCTTATCGGTTTCTAGCTTGTAGTCGAATACCCTATCCTCGGGCATCACATCTCTCGGATCCACAGGAGTGGTAGGGCCGGTCGTCGAGCCGGTGAAGCTCCTGCTTTGAGTACTGCCATTGCTGCCGTTAGGTTTGTCGGTCTCGAGATGGTAGTCGAACACTTGGTCTTCGGGAATGACATCGCTTGTGTCGACGGGGGTGGTAGGGCCGGTTGTTGAGCCGGTGAAGATTCGAGGTTTGCCATTGCTACCATTGGGCTTGTCGGTTTCCAGCTTATAGTCAAACACCCGATCCTCTGGCATTACATCTCTTGGATCCACAGGCGTAGTCGGTCCCTTGGTAGAACCGGCGAAGCTTTTGCTCTTGGGTCTATCGTATCCACCTGGCTTGTCCGTTTCCAGCTTGTAATCGAACACTTCGTCCTCGGGCATGATATCGTCCTTATCCACGGGCGTGGTCGGTCCCTTGGAAGATCCCTCAAAGACGTGATGACGTTGTTCGATGGTCTCGAGCTGCTGGTCGAAGAGTCTGTCTTCGGGAATGATGTTTTTGGGATCGACTTTAGTCGTGGGGCCGGTTGTTGAGCCGGTGAAGGTTTTAGAACCGGAACCGGAAGCGGAAGAGGAAGACGACTCAGTAGAAGGAAGTCCTTGCTGTAGGAGTTCCCTCTCAATCTGGTCCAGCTCTGCTGCCTTGGTGATGATGATGTCGTGAAAGGTCAAGTGACGATGGGGATGAGCTTTGATGGCTGCTTCTTTTGCTGCGAACCTATAGACCCAAAAAGCCATGAGTGTTATCTAGTCTGTCCCGGATAAGAGTGTTTGTCATATGGAGAGTTTAAAGAAGAATAGCCTACCTCCCAGCCATAAAAGCAGCTACCTCACCCAGATCAACACCCTGACTTTTCCACTTGTGTTCAAGCCGTTTACCATGACCATGACCGAACCCCTCGATCTCCTTGCCCTGCTGCTTCAGCGTGTCATGCTCCTTTGCAAACTTTAGCACAGCACGCAGGTATGGCTTCAACTTGGAGCTAGGCCTTTTCAGCTCTTCTTCACACAGGATCCTCCGCACTAAGTGTCGACCGCGGCCGGTAGGGCAGGATAAGATGGTTTGGATTCGCGATACCTGGCAGATATCGGTCCCAACGTTCATGGGCCACGGAAAGCGGATGAGTCGAGATGCCATGATAGCATACGGGTTAGCTACCTAACTAGCGAGATAAAAGTAAAGCTGAGAAGATGAGGAGTGATGAGGACATTGAGGTGACGGCATTGTGATGGATGATGCAACGTGCACGAGAACCTCAAGGATCTGATTGTGGTGCCCGTTCTAGACCCCTGAAGCAATCACTAAAATGCCCTATAAGGACGGGCTAAGACGCTAAAACATCCAATCGGGGTTGCAACAACACTACAAGTACGTCATGAATCGCTTTAACGATAACTAATCGATAAGGGAAGCTACCAACTACGATAAGCCTAAAGGAGGATGAACCATGCCATGAACTTTCTTTCTTTTCCCGAGAACATTGCGCATTCGGTTATGATTCCTTCATTTCTTTTCCTTCTCGTGTGCGTTTGAAGCACATGATTATCATTATGACAAACTCCTCCCACTTGCAACTACTTTCATGCAAAGAATCTCCTACACCGCGGCCGACCGATGCCGCAACTCGGATCAACAAGTGACATGTTGTTATGGGTATTTTCAACATCGTAAAGCTCTGGAAGGGTTTACCCTTCTATTAGAAGGGAGCCTGTATAGGTACAGACCAACAGCTCTTTCTCAAGATGATTAGTTGTCGCCGAGAAGAGGAGCACGCTCGGCATCGGGCTGAGTCTCGCGTCTGCCCCAGCTGACCTCCTTACCGGTCCAAGCAGGTACGGCGACGACCACAGTGAAGACGAACAGCACTGCCATGATGGTGAAGGCAAAGATCCACTGGAATGCAATGACGCGATCAAAGAACTGGGCGACTCCCAAGGAAGCAGCGAGAACGCTCAGGTTGAACCCCATGGTGTAGTCCTAGGATTTGTTAGTAAACGGTGACTATAATAAACGAGCTGTGGCAAGCTTACCTTGTAGATGACGATGAAGAACATTCCGTAGACCAGAATCGACCAGATGAAGACGTTGGCAAAGATGCGGGCAACGAAGCTGTGCTGGGCAGGCACCATGATGGCGCCGTTCCAGTACAAAGCCACGAAGGTCCAGGCAAGGGGACCGGACACAGCGGGCATGTGGATGCCTCTGGGGTACGTATTGTGACGGAAGTACAGCGACGTGAGGTTGATGAAGTTGATGATCAACAAGATCTCGGACCAGATGAAGTGCGAGCGAACGAAGAGCATCACCCAGCCGAAGTGAAGCAAGTTGTTGAAGATGAAGTGGCTACCGACAGAGGCAGCAGCGTTGACCTTGGCCGAATCGTTGGAGAAGAGGTGACCGATGTAGCCTAGCTGGAGAATGAACAAGACAAGCCTGCTCGAACGTCAGCGTTGTCCTAGTATAACAACCGCAACGGTTAGAATTATGGTGGTGGTACTCACCAGTAGATGGAGGTGATGGTGGCATTCTGTGTGAAACCCGAACGATGGGCGTAGTTTTGTCCCCAAATCGTCCGGCGAATGAGGTGTCCATCCTGAGGCGATTCGAAATCGTAGTAGACGGTCGTGACGACGGACAGGATCCAGGAGAGCAGAGTCAGGACCTTGTAAGTGGTGATGGATGTCGAGCTATGCGCTTCGCGCTTCGCGAAGGGGTTGACTATTGGAAAGTTGGTTAGCGCTATGTACGACGACGACGACGACGAGGAACGAGAAAATAGATATCCACCTACGATCGCTGAAGTTCGCCATGTTGAGCAAGCAAAGGGCAAATAAACCTATGTGAGCTCAGTGGGCAGGCCTTTGGCTGATGGAGTTGTGTGTTTTTGGGAAAGATTCCGACAGAGGGAATACGAGGAAGAAGAGGTGACGAAGCAGGGCCTGCGGACGGATGTAGGGTCGTTATGTAAGGGCCGAGGGAAAACAAAAACAAGGTATACAAGACCAGATTGGGATGGAAATGGGAAGAGGGTGTGGAAGGTTGTTTCGGTTTGCGGGGAAGCAAGGAGGCAGTGAATGGATGTAAGTGGACAAGCACGGAAGGTGATGGAGAGCTACACGACTGCGGTACAGGAAATCCCATCCAGCAACAGCAAACCCCTTCATGCAATACCGAACAGGGGGGGGCGAAAGGCAGGAAGGTCTCGTGCGTTTTCTTTCCTTGCTCTTTTCCTTTTGTACAGGATGTTGTGCCCAAAGTAGGTGACTTTTGGTCGCTTCCCCGCGTGAGAATGAGGCCACTTGCGAACGGGGGCTCCATTGACATATCCGGCCAGGAAGACCATGAAGATGAACCAAAAAGGTACACATACTTTGGTGTCTACCTACTTCTCTAGCCGCGAAAGTGCGTCACTGTCTTGGCCCTTTGCTCGTTCATCCGATCCGTGCCACCCACACAACAGGCCAGAAACAAGCAGCTCTTTCAATGGATAGCTCGGTTTATCCCAGGCAGAGGTAACCATCATTAGGTTCATCTCCCCCGGCGGTTTCACCACATGACTCTGGACTCGGACAAGCTCCTGGAGCTGAAGCCGGTATGGTAGCTTGTTGGACTTGCGGACCGTTTCACGTGTTCGCGACTGGCAGGCCCTTTTGATTTGCACAATACGAATCCGTTCACCGGTGAAATGGTTATCAATGACTAAAATGCGTTAACTTGAAAGGACATTGATGGGCGGGAACCAGAAGGAGGACGGAGTCTCGAACTTGAGAACCTTGAGGAATGCACAGAGTGGGGAGAGAGGTGGGGCTGGAAGGCAGATGAGGTCTTTACATGCTTCTGATTGGACAGAACGGCTGAGCAATGTCGTCATCGTGCTTGCCCTGTTCAAAAAGTTGTCGTCGTCTCCAAGCCGGCCTATACCGAAGTCCATTCGCCTGTTGATCACACAATGCCCGGATATGTTGAAAGACTACCTCTAGGGACTATGTAATATGCTTATTCTCAGCCTCTCAAACACAACCGAACATCGAATATCTTTGCCTCATCAGAGAATAGGCAGTGAATGGACAAGACGCTTGTACAGACGGGATGCCACTGAGATGGACGGGACACCGCCTACTGTTTGTTTACTTTTCCCATTTATGTCCGCATAGGAGATCCCGATAGTCTGATACGTTAGTTATGCCGGGCAATCAAGCGGCATCATGCTGTGTTCCAGTGCCGTCTTAAGCTCAAACACCGCCCATCCACTCAGCCTTCCTGGATCTATCTTCGATCGTCCTGTGCCAACGACCAATCACTGCTCCAGTTACTATCTTCGCTTTTCATAGCTGAGCCCACATTGGTATGTCAGGAAAGTCAAAAGCAGCGTCCAGTCAGGCTGGCAGTTGCACACCACTACTGGGCTGCCCATCGGTGAAGTGGAAAAGGACGGTTTGGGCGACTTCCACTTGTGTCTTCCCCGGTTTGGCCTTTCTCAGAAGACTTCTTTCTTGAGTGTTTGGGGTACCCGTGCCACGGCCCCATTCCCTAGAAATGGTATGGGTTTGGCTGACTTCGCCGTGGGTGACAAACGGCACAATGGGAGTCGTGATTCAATACCTCTTTACTGAAACATGAAAAACATTTAGGAAAGCGGCAAACTGGAGCATCAAGCCAGGGAGCAGTCGTTACCTCTGGGGTTTCCTTGAACATCCAATGAACCATCCGTCATCCTCTCCAGTCCTAGTCATATGGTGAACACTTCCCTCTTTGCGCTTTTCTATTCAATTTTTGTCCTTCCATCATATAGTCATATCAACGTGTCCGAGATAGCTGTTAATGTGTTTTCTCTCGACCGCATGAAGGAAGAATCGTCCTCCCCTTGCGTGGCCGTCTATCCTGGGCCTCTCTCTGAACATCTAGCTTTATGCCTACCACAACCCCCCGTTTTGGATTATCCAGCGCATACTGCTGGGCTAGATCTAGGCGACTTGGTGTTGCCGAATGCCTATCGAGACAGATTGGTAATTCTGGCTTCTAGAGTATCGGCACGTTTTGTTGTACACCTTTCTGTTGTTGGTGTCTACCAATAGAGTTGCGTCTATGGCCGACTCAACATCCGGGTGGTCTGCTGGCATCGACAGCTTAATGGCCTTAGATCTCGGACTTGTTGTCAACCTCTACTCGATTCGCAACACCAAGATCTTGTATGGTGTTGCCGCGTAAAAACTGTCTTGCTATGGAAAAACTGCCACAGATCATTATTGTTAGAGAGTGGATATATCTCTCTTCTCTGTCTTAATTATCATTTCTTTAATCCGTGATATAGGCTGATGAGCCCACATTAGACCTCTTCATCATCCCTACTCCCACTCATTATAGGGTATATAAGACAGCTTGTCCATAGACATTTCCGTGGCACGTTGGTGTAATGGTCAAACACTACTTGGCTGATGCTTCGTGGTTCTGCGCAGCGGCCTACTGTCCAGCTTAGAAGTTATCGCTTAGAATCAGGTACGGGCCACTCTTTTCTTCCCTATTTTTGCCTCCCTTCCACAGCTCAGAATACTTGTGTCTGTATCGGGAGGGCCAACGGGCAACGCAGAGTAATGGACGAATATACCCACACAAGCTGGGGAGGATCAAGAAGACGGAGAACGTTACATGCTCCCAACTACAGTTGCTGACTTTGAAGCAAGTGTTTGGCGTTGACACCGTAATGTTTTTGGAACAAGTGTAGTCGTCCATGTAACATGCTATGCGCTTCATTCAAAGCATTGGGTATCTTTTCAAGCTAGATCGCTGTCCTCCATCAGTATATCTCCTCTTTTGGGCGTCTGTACTTCGCTTCACCTGCTGTCTCAAACTCCATCACGATCGTTACCATCGCAGTCAATAATGTCGTGAAGGAACACATCAGGAGGCACTGCCCTCAATCTCCGCCATCTTCTCATCCATCCTCCTAGCCATTTCCGCTTCCATATCGACCGGCTCCTCAGATCCAGCACCGGTCCCGCCAGCGCCTTTGGCATAACCATTCCCAACACTCAGCCCCCTCCTCCTTAGTTCACCCTCTACATCCCTCCTCCTGATCATGCCCCCTCTTTTCCCACTCTCCGTTTCCGCCTTAATCCTTTCCACATCCTCCCTCATCTTCCTCCCCCAGCCGTCTACACTCCTCATACCCACCACCAAAAAACCCAGCTCCTCCCGATCCACATCAAACACCTCCCACCACTCGCACTCGGGCATCTTGGCGCCCACATCCTTAGCGGCATTGTAGATAGCCGCCACAGCCAGCGCGTTCGGCTGGCTGGTTAGGTATAGCATCTGCGGCGACAATAGCGCAGTGTTTAGGTACGCAAGCGTTCGTTTCGATACTGTGGACTTGGAGGTGTTGAGGAAGTCGAGAGCTTGGAGGTATGTGATCGCCAGTGGGTGGGGAAGGGATACGTGTGTGTTGAAGGAGAGCGCGTAGAGGATGCGGGATTCGCAGTCCAGCATGCGCGTGTGGAATGAGTTGTAGATGTGCTCGGGGAGGTAGTAGTCGTTTGGGATGTTGGTTGGCGGTGGTGGTGGTGAGTCGCCGGACGCGCTCGCAAGCGGTTGGAAGAAGGTCGAGGAGGGAGAGAGGAGGTAGTTGTAGACAAGAGCGAGGTCGCGTGGAGAGCGAGGATATGGAGAGAGTTTGGCGGTTAGATAAACGGAGGCGGCCGAGATGTCCTGGGATAAAGGAAAGATGTGTTTAGTGAGTGTTCTGGTCGTGGCGACTTTTGGGGGAGAGGTGGGAGGAAGAGAAGGGCTTACACTAAACTCATGGGACATCATGGGCTCTTCTAGCCAGTATCGCGCAATAATGACGTTCGCTTGGGCTGTGACTGATTGCGGGAGCTGGAGGAGCAGACCGGCTGCTTGGGTGAGGCATTGGGTCGAAAAGAAGATGGCGTCTTGCAGCTCGGTGGGAAGCGCACTGAAGGAGCGCCGTTGGTAGAGCTGGTCTGGCGTCGCCAGAGGATTTACCATATGCGACATGATGGATTGGCGACTCGCAGTCGTCTTTCGAAGTTGATTGATTATCGTCGATTTGGTATTGTGGAAGAATAAGTAGCTGGCGCAAAATGAAGCTGGAGGATGGAAGAGTTGCGAAAGTCAAATCGCGAACTGCATTGAGCAATCAATTGATGGCTGCCCGTCTTGGCAGCCTGCCCTCTTAGGGAGGTCTGGGTTAGGGTACGGGTTATACGTGCATCACTTACACGAGGGCACGAGCAATCGAGCTTAACGGGTTACTGTTAGAAACATGACTGCGGCTACCATATACCTTTTGGAGATATGATATATGAGACGTACGTCAAACGTCTCTTGAAAACAACGAAGCTCTTCATCCCATATCAATCACTGAAGACCATCTCTGAGCCCTCTCAATGAGGGATGATACGTAAGGTAGGTATGCAGTGCTTGATTGAACTTGCAACGGGCCCTCAATGTACCTTGAAAGTACCTGCGTTCTGCGTATGGAGCTGCCACTAACAGCACTAACAGACAGGGACTCCATAGTAACCTAGGAACCCCCACCATGACCCCCGGCAGGCAAGCACTAGCAGGGTGTGGGCTTGATCAAGAACGTCGCGCTAATTGAATCACGGGGTGACGTGAAGTTTAGGTGGGGTCTCCGCCTTAACACGCGTGCTTATCGGATGTTTAGGGCACAGGAGGCGCGTTTGTCCCTCTCGTTTCACATGGTGCCGCGCCTGCGAGTGACTCGATTTGGATCCTGATTTGGACTCGAAGCAGCGCACATCCCCGCATTTCCATTTCCAGTCCACTTGTCGAAACTGATGTCGACCGGGCAATTTCCATGGGTTCGGTCTCTTGTCTTTCTTCAACCCATTCGATCGAGTAACTTTCCTGAGACTTTCCACGACATTCGACACATCTCGGTTTTTTCCACTTGGTTTTGAGTATTCCACACAGTCCTTCCGAGATGGTGTAGAATTGCCTGCCTTCTCTATCCACCCCACCATCCTCGCAACAACTAGTTCTACTCGTTGGGACCAAAGGCCTGCTTAATACTTAACACTTGGACGTCAAATGACGCGTTGCGTTGCTATGTGCCTCTGTTCTTTCGTACGTGCTGTTCCGTTCTATTACTCGACATTAACGAAAGAAGCGTGTTCTCGTTGGTAAGTCAACCGCTGAAACAAATAGGCAAACCAGAACGGTGTTAAAGGTACGTACATTTCATTCTTGAAGCATAGCATCCGCAACAGGAGTTGATGGCAACCAATTGGATCCTGCGGACCACAATCCTTTCCCCTGTTCCTGGCCCAGGCTAACTTAGCCCTATAGACTTTCGCCACAGAGGAGCCATGCCCGCAGTCAAGCCCGAGCCCCACAACGGTAAGGGCTTCAATGCACCGTCAGCGCCCGCACGGGACGATGAGCCCCCAGTGAACTCTACCGTGCCGAAGTCGAGTTCATCACATCGGCCGAATGGTTCAAGGAGTTACAAGACCTCTACAGCGATCTCCTTGACGAAAACGGTGAGGTATCGCCTATGCCAAGATCAAAGCTGTTTACCCCCGTCTCGTTAAGGAGACCATGCCCAGGCATAACCCCGTGGGGCTCGTGAACCAGCCATCAGTCCGCAGTGTGTTGGGCACGACAAGGAAGCTTCAAGCCACCACAGCTGGCAGTGTCTACCGCCAATTGCAGTCGTACGTCGACAGCAAGGAGAAAAATACGGACAAATCGATTGAGTACTGGACTTTGATTAAGGTTGTCCGCATCTACACCAAGGCCTCTGTCCTTTCCACAGGAGTGTGCCTCGTCGATCTTCCCGGTGTCCAGGATTCGAACGCAGCAAGAGCGGCGGTTGCTGCAAATTATATGAAGGCTTGTACCGGTCTTTGGATTGTGGCACCCATCACCCGTGCTGTAGATGACAAAACGGGAAAGTCTCTGCTTGGCGACAGTTTCAAACGCCAACTGAAATATGACGGTGCTTATTCAGCTGTCACTTTCATCTGCTCCAAGACCGATGATATCTCAGTTATCGAGGCAATGGAGAGTCTTAATCTTGAAGATCGTGTCTCCGAACACGAAGCACAGATCCGAAGTAAAGAAGACGATATCAAGAAGCTTAAGAAGAAGGTCGTCGATCTCAAAGATCAGATAGGTGCCTGTGAGGATATTCGCGACCATCTTGACGAAGAAGTGGACAAGTGGGAGGTGCTTTTGGACAAATTCGATAAGGGAGAGCAGGTCTACGATCCATCCGAAGACCAACCGACCAAAAAAACGAAAGCGCCGTGGCGGAGCACGGGGAAGCCGCAAACGACGCAACAACAATTCCACTGACAGTGACACTGGCAGTGGCACTGGCAGTGACAGCGGCAGCGATGGTGAGGACTCGGATGCCGAAAGGAGCGACTCCAGCGACAAGGAAAACTCTGACCCCAAGGTTGGCGGAGAGAAGAAGCCGTTGACGAAAGAGGACATCGAGAGCAAGATTTACTCTCTGAGAGATGAAAAGAAGAAGGCCCGTGCTGGTATTAGGGATCTCCAAGCCCAGGAGAAATAAACACGGACCCTCATCAAGGAGATCGAGTCCGAGAAGAACTTGGAGTCAGAGGTCAAGGCTATCTGCATCCAAGGCCGAAATAACTATTCGCGGACGGCGATCAAGAAAGACTTCGCGATGGGGATCAAAGAGCTGGATCAAGAAACGGCAATTGAAGAAGACGAGGAGAACTTCGACTCAGATGTCGACTTGAGAAACTATGATGAAGTTGCGGAGACCCTTCCAGTTTTCTGTGTCAGCAGCCGTGCATTCCAGAAGCTCAGTGGGAAAATGGTGAGGGACAAGTTCAACAGCGCTGGGTTCCGGTCACTTGAGGAAGCTGAGATTCCTCAACTTCAGGCACACGCTCAGAAACTGACAGAAAATGGTCGTGCTGTTAACTGCAGACGCTTCCTTGCTGACCTTTCTGATTCTCAACTCGATGAGTATGTGGGCGACGAATGACGGCACACGATCAAACCTGACAGACAGTGAGAAGCGAGCGGAAGAGAGCTACTTGCGTAAGCGGCTCGGCAAAATGGAGCAGGTAATTGCGCTGGCCTACCCCCGAAGTGCTGGACTGCTGCTAACATCTCGCAGGAACTGAATGATGTGGTAAAGGAAACCTTGAACAATCTCAAGGAGGCGCTTGCGGAGAACATCTATGAGATCCTCGACAAGTATCTTCCAGGTACGAACAAGTTGGAATGGAAGAACAAAAGCATTGCATGGCTAACATACAACCTACGGCTGCAGAGAAAGCGGTACCCACCGCCTCGGGTTGGGGCGCACACAGAGATGCAGGTGGGTTGTTTTGGGCAACGTACAAAGCCACCTGTCGCCGAAACGGTGTGTACTCTGGTGCTTCAGGTCCTCGAGACTTTAACGCGGAGCTCATTGAACCGATCTACACACCGCTGAGTACTGCTTGGGAGCGGACCTTCCAGCGCCGCCTTCCTGGCGTCCTGAAGGACCACGCCAAATCCACCAAATTGTTGCTCGAGACCTTTCACAGGGAGGCAACAATGCGAAGTCAACAACGTGGAAATAATCCCCAAGGCATCAACATGCTGGCGCTGCAACTTCAAGCGCATGGCCAGAAGGTCTCGGAGCTGCCGGATACACTTAATGCCATTGTCCAAGACCTACAGCGCGATGCGAACCGCACCTTCACGCCCGAGATTCAGACTCAGATGGAGAGAGCGTATGTGGGCTGTGTTGACGAAAGAAGTATGTAACTTACCCAAAGCTTGAACAATCGCTTGCCAAGCATAAATCACTAACCAAGGTCACTATTCACCGGTCCGGGATCTTGCAAGCGCATGAAGGACATAATGGTTGGTCACGTTGGAGCCCACCGTATGACGATGTTCCAGGCTGCCACTCGCGTTGTACAAGATCAGCTTGATCTTATGTGCAGGGAGATCAAGAAGCGACTTCAAGATGAGGCTGAAGATCTCCACGACATACTGAGCCAAGATTATTTGGCCACCCTGATCGGTGCTGAGGTTGCGGGCCGTAAAGGGCTCCCGCGAGTTGAGCGTGCACTTCGAGCAGAGATGGTGCCATTGCTGCAAAAGACTGATCCTGTGTTTGCGCCTGTTGTCGGGGGCGAACCTGAAGAGCCCGAGAAGGTGGAAGAACCGGAGCAGGAGGAGAAGAGGGCTGCTAGCGAGGGCCTTTTTGTCGCTCCGGACGCCGCGGCCAACGAAGCTGACTCCTTTGTTGATGACCATGACACAACCATGGCGGATGCTTAGATGATGGACACTTCGATGGCTGATGCATCAATGGTAGATGCCCCTCCGCCGTCTTCCGCGCCAACTGCAACCTCTACCATTAAAGCTGAGCCCGTCGAGCCGGCTCCTGCGGTCACTAATGATCATAATGCACCGGTTCAACCAGCTGTTGCTGCTCCTCAAGCTGCTACTCCACCCAAACCTCTGCAAGCTGGCACTGCTGCGCCTGAGGCAGCCCAGGTATTTGGTGTTGCTCATGAGCGCACTCGAGCTGCTACAGCTGGCCTCGAGGCTGTTGGAACTGCTAATGGTGTTCCTCGGCCTCCGCGAGCTGCTACTGATGGTCCCGATCCTATCTCTAACATCAAGCGGGAGCCATTGGAAGATCGTGACTTGTTCACCAGCTTCTGCAGTGAGCGCAATCCCAACTCTGACGACGAGGAAGAGGGATCCACCGCGACAGAGGGCAAGGATGACGAGGGTGATGATGATGCTGAATCGTCATCAGATGAGGACAGCTCCCGGGCCCCAAGTGTCGACGTGGACCTTGTGAAACCAGAGCCCACCGATCAATGAGTGGCTATGAAGTTTATGGATTGCTCTTCGGCTGTTCATGATATGTTGCGAATGATAGGGATTCCTTGTGTTACAAGATGTCCTGGCCCGTTCGGCAAAATAATGGAATGGGTCATCGAGGATATGATGCCCAATTGGGCGTTTCGGGTGTCTACAGATTTGGTAGAAAAATATGGCGGTCTTGTGTGGTTTATATTTGGGTTTAGGTCATCGGGGTTATGTTTATGTACGGTGTCGGATTCACTTCTTGAGCATATTAACGCATCTATGCGTTATTGTCATGTCGAATATTGGTTCTAGGTCATTATATTAAAAGCTCGTTGTTACATAAGTACACGCATGCTAGCTACTGGGCGATTCGATTATAAGTGTTGGGCCGCGTTTACGCTATGGGCAACACATGATTCACATTGGCAGTAGGCCTCGGTTTGCCCTCGGATTAATGGTTTTGGTGGACAATTAGGGCACTGCTCTTAATTTTGTATGCTAGACTCACCGGTGCGGCACGTCTCATGCCCTACGGGAGGCGGAAGTAGACGTTAAAAATAACAACAACAACAACAACGCATGCTAGCTGGGACTGGGTATAAGGACTCATCGATGGCGAAGATGTGTATGTCATCCTAGCAGGCCTTGTATATTACAAAGGCGGTATTACATACATGCCATGAACGGTCTTGCTTAGAGTATGGCAACTTGTGATAACAACTAGTATATTGTGTTCTAAATACACGAATGATGAGCAAGTACATTCAGTCAACGTGACAAAATGGTTTGGCGTTAGTCCCCACTTCCCCTTGAAGGACATTTTTTCCATGGAAGATAAAACACACAACGCGCAAGACTGCAGAAAGATGAGAAAACCCATGAACAAAATCAAACCCCTACAGACACAGAGAGGAAAAAAAGAAAAAGAGATGATGTTGTCCTGCTACCAGGAACATCGGGAATTGAGCCCGACGTGGGGGTCGAACCCACAACCTTGAGATTAAGAGTCTCACGCTCTACCGATTGAGCTAGCCGGGCGGTTGTTTTAAACCGCCATTGGATGTTGAAAGCACCGGCCAGGATATAGGGCTTATGTACGTAGCTACTACCTACCTGATAATTTGATGATGCCGAAAAATGCACACACAATGTGAATGATCTAGGTTGATTGTCCTTTCGATACAAACCCAAGAGAGTTAGTTTCCAGAATATCAATGAGTAGCCAGGTGGCAGGCAGGCATCTTCCCAATTTGATTGAAAATATCTCTGCCATACGGACAACAAACAAGGGCACCAGGAGAACAAAGATAGGTAGGTAATGATCATTGTCCAGTTGAGTGAGTGAGTCCATTGCAGCATCAACGGGTAACACCACCAGGTTGGTACCCTAGATATCCATTCAATCCCATTGTTTTTCTTGTATAGTAATTTCTTTCCTTCTCGTTCAATTCCCTTGCTCCCCATGTTTTCGATCCCTTGCCTTTCTTCTTTCATTCCTTGCAAGGCGGGACCGACAGGACAGGCAGGTGCATTCCTCGTGGCTCGTTCGTGGTTTCCTTGTCTCCCTCCATCCCGAGGATCCCGGCACCCAGCACCCGGTGTCCGAACTCCGGCGGTTTGGCAAGTTTTGGAACCGCCGTCAGCGTTCGAACATACAACCTAAGTGCACTGATTTCCTTCTTCTCCCTGAGTTTTGAGTTGTAAAGAGCACGTGTTTGCATCAAACTGTTAATTTCAATCCATAATATCGAGAGACCATTGCACGAAAGCACGTGGGGAGCATATCAACAAAGTGCAATCATTGTTTCCATGATTGCATCTCGTCCGTCCTTGCTGATGGGATTTTAATATCGGATTCAGAGGCGTCCCGTTCCCCCTTTCCCCTTGCATATGTTTGCATATATGTTGTAGTCAGAGTAGCATGTAAGTACCTGGATGGTGTACATACAAGTACATATGTACATTCAGTAAGTGGATTTCCTTACGTTCGGCAACGGCATGGGGGTCACATCTGACAAGAAACAACTGCGTCATAGACTTCCAAGACTCCCACTTCAATTTCCCATCTACTTGCAAGCGAAAATCCATGTGTGCTCCAAGCAACAATTCAACCATTCCCGTCTCTTTCCGCTAGCGGTCCTGTTCGAACAGCTACACTACACTACATACACGTACACTCCTTAGAACGCGAGTATCTAGCTAGGTATGCAGAGTTATATTCTGTTGGTTGTTGGTTCGGTCCAACACAGTCCAAAACACTCAACCCTTAGAGGTATAAAAGAAATGAGGATCTTCAAAAGAAACTGCATCACATCAGTGATTCCGTTGTGTGTACCTGCATTACTGCATTTGGGGCTTGCAGCTTGCGTCAAACCTGCGAGCCTACCTACGGGCCGTTCAAAAATTCTTGGTTTTGAGTTTTACATAGGTTCTCTCTGTTTTTTTTTTTTTCACTTTCGCCACCCGCAACTGTCGAAAAGCCGAGAATTGGCCAATTGAAACAAGACCCCATACACCAACACGGGTTTTGTTCTTCCCTTCCCGTACACTACACATAAACCCTGACAACGAGCCGAACGAGCCGTGCACTCCATCTTATCCCCCCTTATCTTATTTCGTGGATGGATGGATGGATGGATGAAGATCCATACATTTCAGTCGTTGCGTGGTTGGTTGGAATTGGTTAAACGTGCATGTACGGTGTGCACACCATCAATCACCGTTCAGGTACCGACCAGATATACGCTCTGACTGGTTCGATGATTCGCATAAGATAAAACGAGGCGTAATGTGCGTGTGCTGCGAGGGTATGTTGATCAGGAACAGCAAGCAAAAAATATGAGATGAGATGAGATGAGATGAACGGCCCTCGTTAGGAACAGGAAGTGATCACTGGCGATCTTAACAAGCAGGATCAAGTTTGGGTACCCGCTATGACGAACGACACGCGTAGACACCTCCTCGATTGGATACACATGGTTTTTTACACAAGGTGTCGTCAATCAATCGCAAACATGGAAAGTCATTGTTGGGTTCAGGTTCGGATATTCTGATTGCCATATTGTAACCCCTAGACCTAGTCAGTGACAGGATTAAGGGGCGCCGTGGCTACACCTATACCTGGCTCTACTATAACCTGCAACATCTACACTACAGCTTTAACCCTGTCCCATAACCGCGGCAAAAGCTGCTTCCGTGACTTTGATCCAAATCTAAGCGTGCGCAAGTTCGCAGTTCGACCGTTGTGTAGTGTCCAATGCGCCGTCGTGTTTCCGCAAAGTTGTCCAAAAAGCCGCAATGCCGTGAATCCGATGTGAAAGTAGTAAGGTAAGAATGCTCGTGAGTGCCTTTCGGTGGTTAAGTTGAGTGAGGTAAAGTGTTGTGTATGCGAGGTAGTCGGGTTCTGTGGTTCTTTCGGTATTCATCTGATATAATACCAGACCGAAGCCACTTTAGACGAACGTTCGTGCGGTACAAGAACCAAAGATGTGCTGAAACCCAAAATCATAAAAGAAAGGAGGACAAGAAAATTAGGGCAGGTAGATAATCGGCGTTCTTGGTCGTCTGTTTGTATGTGCGCATGCAAGTGTGGTTTAACATGAACAAAAAAAAGCGCTTGAAACCCCTCAAAAAAGAACCAAAACATGATGGTTGATGACCAGACATAAGCCAGCAGCACCCCCGTGCCCCTCCTCTTTTAATTTCCCTCCCCTCTGGCCCCCAAAGCAAAACAAGCCCGCCTGCCGTCGCCCAGTTGAACAATGAAACGCAAAAAAAAAAAACAAAAAAAAAAAAAACGACCGTGGTATCTCAATGCAAATGCAGAAGACAGTCGATGGTGGTGGTGATATAATGACCAGGAGGATGGTGATGATGACGATGATGATGATGTAAATCGCAAGGAAACGTTCGTGTGCGTCGTGAGTGATTGTCGAAACCGCCGTCCGCTCAATTCTCATTCGTCCATGACTGGATCCGGGTTTACGGCCCTCAGTACCCGCGGCTGGCCGACAACTCGTCTTGAGTAGTCCTGGTTGTCCTGGAATGATGCGATACTTTCGCGGCTCTTGTTTTGGCCTTCGAACAGAGCGTTGCCGTACGGGTTCAAGCGTGGGTCGACTGGCCTCAAGGTGCTCCTCCTCTTGGATCCAGGGCCATCCCCCCATGCTATTACATCGGGCCCAAAGCGAGTTTCGGTGACTGTGGCGCCCTTCATCACTCCCGAAGAGCTTCCGCGTGGCGAGCCGAATGAGGAACCGTTCTCTTCCTTCTGCCTCCTGCGCCTCATGCACCAAATCCAGAGCAAAACGCCGATAATTCCGAGAGCTGCGACGACACCGATGGCGATTCCCACGGCGGCTCCTGTGCTGATTGCCTTCTTCTTTTCATTGGGTTCCGGTTCGGCAAGTTGACCTCCGCTGGTGGCAGTTGGGGCTGGTGTGACGACCACGGTTTTTACTGTTCCGCCGACAGTGACGGTTTGGGTGCTTGGCTGCGTCGGATCTGTTGTAACGGGGTCATCGGTAGCTTGTGTCGCCTATCCACTATGTTAGCCTTACATGCACCCAGGAACTTTCGGATGAATGCATGGTGTGACGAGAAGGGATGAAAGAAAGTGCGAAACCCATACAGAAGTGACGAGAGTGGTGGAAGAAGTGGTGGAAGAAGAAGTGGTGGAAGAAGAAGTGGTGGAAGAAGAAACACCGGTTGAGGAAGTAGTCACCGAAGACTTCACCGAGGGAATCACAGTCACTGTTTCTCGAACCGTGCTCTGCACAGTCTTGATCGCAGTGGTCTGCTCAGTCTCAGTCTTGATGATCACAGCCTGGGGACCCGAGATGTTTAAGCAAGGGTGAACGAGGGGGGGTTTTATGATATGTAAAAGATGAAGGAAAGATAATCAAAACGCGCCGGGAAAGAGGGACACCGGGGCGTTAAGGGGATAGGGATTTGAGTGAGGAGAAATAGAGAAGACACGTACTGTAGTCGTAGACTTAGTCGCGGGTTTGCTCGTCGCCTTGGTGACTTGCTGGGTGGTGCTGGTTGATGCTGGCGCGGCCGTGCTGGACGGCTTGACGCCCGTAATTTTGAGATATCCGAAGAGGGAGTCACCTCCACACCAATCTGTAGGATATCCGGGGCAAGAATTTGAACATTGTTTGGCCGATACGGTATCGGCTGAGTTGGGTACGGTGTTGGTACACCAACAACTCTTTTGCCAAACCACAGCAAAGGCATACTGCTCCTCGGCACCAGCACAGGTTTGGTAGCAGAGACCCATGGACTGGAAGTCGCTCTCGTCTGCAATGCGAGTTAGCATGTAGGGCTACATGGGAATATGGCGATGGGCTCATTGAAGTCACTCACTCGCGTCCATGTCAGGGTCAGCCGTGTTAACGGCAGCGCAGTAGGCAACATCATGGGACGGGCCCACGGCCAATGCGTTTCCGCAAAGCGAGGCCACTAGGGCGAGACATGCCCACAATCGGGCAGCTCGTTGGCGTGCCATTGATGATGATGATGATGATGATGATGATGCAGCAGTGGCAAGTACAGTATCTGGCGATAATTTGTTAGCGACGACGAGTTTTTTGCATATTTTTTCCAGCTTTGGTGGTGTTGATATTGCTGGGGTCTCCCTTTTGGGTGTTTTAGGTCGACACTTGCCAGAATCCCCACCTCGGCTTCCGCGACGGGAACATACCTCGTGTTTCTTGGCTTTCCCCTCTCGGCCACCTATCGAATGACTACAACAATAACAACGCCAAGTGCCCCCAGTAGCCCGTGATCCTACTTTCCAAAACACGCCGAGTTGAGAGAGTCGGTATCAGAAGTTTGTCGATCTAGAAAGCCATTGCAAGCCAGCCGGGCAAGCTATGTTACTGTAGCGTAGCGAAGATGGTCCGTGTCCAGGACGAATAACGTGGCGTGAAGATTTTTTTTTCTTTGTGGTGGATGAAGAAGCGAGGCGGGCGGAACAGGACAAAAGTCGAAGCAACGTCCAGCTAAAGAGTCACTTGTCGTCTTTGTCGTCGAGTACGTAGCAGCGGGAAGCGAGGTGGGCGTCCAAGGCGATTGGGATTTGGCGATGGCCTCAAACTGGGAGTCCACAGATGGAAGCAGAGCAGACGAGATTCAGGGAATTGACAATCCTCTACAGGAGGCTGAGGTGATGGTTGAGCAGGAGAAAGTTGGAGGAGAAAGTCGGGCGGTGGCAGACGGAGACGATGCAGATGAGCGGCGGAAGAGGAGAGTGGGGGGGAAGGTGGGAGAAAGTGTTTGCAGGAGAGTGCCTTGGAAACGAGACGAGGGACAGAGAGACAGATCGATCGTCTGCAGAGCACGAAATGGGAAAGGACTGGACGGAAAGAAACTGATGAATGGAGACGACAAGGCCGGATGGAGGGGGCTGCCCAAAGTGGCAGGTTTTAGTGTGTAGGTACAAGGGGGCCCGGGGCAGGCCACACTGCCAACCTTCCTTTTACCAAGTCCATCAACCGCACCCGTTCAGAGCAGGCACACTGGACCGACACTTTCTTGGGCACTTGTAACCGCAACCTATACATATGTGTGCTCTCTCCCTGACTGGAATTTGGTGAGGCATTGATTGAATGATCCATGACACACGAGAAGAATTGATCATGGCAGCGACCTAGGGCAGCACGAGATTCAGAGAGAGCAGCAGTGGGACTGGGAAGACTGCTTCACCAGTCTCCGTCCAAGACACTTGCCCAACAACGGACCCGTTTTGCCCTTGAACACTTTGATCGGGGTGGAGTTGGCCGATTGCCTGGGAGGAGCCCCTTTTTCTGTGAGTGGAAGAGGGGACTGGAGGCGACTTGACGTGGACAGGGATGGGGTCAGATACGAGTCCACCCTTTTACCGTCTGATAGTGAGGCCGATCTCGTGTTGTATCGTGACCGTCACGATAACTTTGCAGTGATTGTGTGAATTCATGTTTCTGCACCACCACAAAGAGCTGCACGTATAAAAGCTTATAACCCCCTTCCCCCGCATATAAAGGGTTGCATGTGCTTTTTGTGCGTCGACATTGGCCGCGTTCGTCCTTGGACATAAATAAGCAATGCGTGGGCGTTCGGAACAGGCGGCACCTACTATTGGACAGTACTCGTTGGATGGAGGAGCGGGAAGGCAGATCTGAGGTACACCCAACCACAACCTGACATTGACAGCGGCGTGATAAGAAGAAGAAAAAAAGACCCGTCCCGTGGTTATCATCAACATGAGAGGTACCAAACCATCACTCTCTCCCTCTTTTTCGGTACCGCAACGGCGAACATATCCACTGGAAAAGTTTCATAACATGGACGGAAACAGCGAGAGCAGTGGATAGGGTTGGAGATTTTGGAGAAATTCCAGAGCTTGGCTCAACTTGGCGTCGTGTTCTTGGGGCTTGGCATGATGGACAATGGCCCTGCCAATGTCGTCACTTTTTTGAAGACAAATGGATGTCCATGGAGTCGCGGGTACGTTAGAGGTGCTCGCTTCTGTTAAGGTCTTGACTTGGCGCTTTGGGATCTTCAGTACCAATGCCGCCGCCCTCGCTTTAAGAGAGAAACTTGAAACACTGCTGGGTGGGCCCAACCTTATCTGAGCAGTTCGCATGCGAGGTACATAGTACCGTTGCATGGTCGTAGCTCCCGCGTATTTTCTGGACTGCCTCAGCACGCATCCGCGACCACACGGCGCAGCTGCCCCCCTGCGAGTCTGCCTTGCCTGCCTCGAAACGACTGGGTCGGTCCGCCAACCAAAATGTCGCCCTGGGGCCTGGGCTGCTGATCTTCGCTTCGGCGCCATGCCTTTGCCGGCGTCTTGTCGAAGCACACACTTCAACAAAAAGGGAGACCTGGACAGCAACTCCAAGGGCGGCGGGAATCACGGGGAACTTGAACATCAAAACAGAAAAGCAATTTCCAAAAATCATGTCGAATTCTTGGGCCAATGCGGCCACGGCCAATTCCCGATTGATACAGTATGTCGCCGACGCCCCTCTCTTCATGCCCCGTTCATGCCCGTGTTGGCGCAGGCGACATCCCGACTTCACCCACCTGGGCCACCTCACTTCCAGGCACTCCAGAATCCAGATACCGACTACGTAGCCGCTTGCAGATTCCATCCGCGGGTGCCAGGCCCATCCCTTCAGCACACGAGTCGATGATGCTGAGACCTTCAAAACAAAGAACACGACTGGCGCGTCTAGCCGCAACGCTGGATACCTGGATACCAAAAGCTGGAGACACCTCGCGAAACGGGCGGGCTTCGGGCGGGCAGCCTACAGGTAATCCACTTCGCACACCCGACGGACTCACAAGTCTCCGAAGAAATGTTTGGCTGTTAGTGCAGGTCCCGGGGCGTCTAGCTGTTTAGTCTCGTCTGACTTAATCCACTCTTCAGCTCTTATGGTTCGTCTCGTCTTTCAGTCCCATGTTCGTTTTGTTTTTTTTCAGATGGAGAACTTCGCGCCTTGGCTTTCCTTGACAGTCGGGGCTCGGGATTTTTCCCCCGCCAGTGGCACACCGTCCTCTCAAGTCTCAACCTCCCCTTTTACACCGGCCTCCATGTTTCTTGCCGTATGAAACCAACCCTCTGCCGCCGTTGATGTCCCGGTGACCCCCCTGTTGGTGTTACCGATAGCAGCCCGGCGACCATGTCTCCCGGGTGTCGCTTGCTGAAGAGAGCCCTGCTGCTGCCCCCGTCTTAGCGGCTCGAGGCTCTATTGACGCCGGCTGTTAGCGACATGGAATGGTGCTTGATGTCAGCCAAGGCTCGATATTCCTCTGCACACCCCTGGCCTGTCCTGTAAACAAACAAGTCGAATTTCCCTCGATGGAGTCTTCGAATCTTCAATCGTATCAGCACGTGGGAAACCTCCATGTCCACAACCGCCGGCGCCGATTTCGACAGGCAGCGATGATCCCAGATCTGTCTACACCCTACTGCGGCACGGTTATTGTTCATTGTCCCCCTCATCGCCCCGGCTTCCTTTCGGCCTTGTTTTCTGGAATGGAACACGGGTACATATATCCGAGCACCATCATCTCCTGTCTCCGGCGCCTACGGTAAGTGTAGTGTAATTGAGTCAATAGGCAAGCCGCAGCATCCCCTCCACACGTGTGCTAACAGAGGCTTTGTCTGTCCCAGCAAAAGAAACAACCTTATAGATGGTGTTAGCGCCCTATAGGGACTGCCATTCAAAGTCAAAGACCCCATGTTCCCAACTTCTGGAAGTTGAGCAATGCTGCCATCCCCAGATCAACAATGAGGGGTTGTCCATGACCCTTGCTCGATTGAGAGACTTTGCTTTCTCACCGGCCGTGATCGACACAGACAAAAACAAGGGGGCCGTGATGCGCATTAGTGTTACGCATTTGCTGGTTCCCACAGACATGACTGACTGAGAAAGTCTCAGCTTGGCCTTTCATGAAGCCAGGAAGTGCTTGCTATTCTTCATTGATGACTGCCCTCTGACCGGTTTCTTCTTTCTGTACGTATATCTCATGCTTCTTTCTTCTTCTTCACCAGCCTTTCGACTTTTCGGATGCGGACACAGTCGAGATATGTGAGCGTAAACGCTCCGAGTGAACACGAAGCAGTGACACGCTATTTGAGGTAATACGAAGCACACCTCTATTCACCCTGCAGCGTTTATGGTGGACGCCAGAACAAAGTGGTGCGGGGGTCGCGGGTATCTCGAGTTCTTGAACGACCTTCCGCGTCAACATCACCGTCCATCGTGAAAGTATGGGGTAAATAAGCTTAGTGCCATTGATCTTTCGCACCCGTGATTCCCCAGACCGGTTGTGATGTTGACCCAGTCTTCCTTTTCGGTCCTATCTCGGCCACTTCTTCATGCGGATGGACTAACAAGGGGCTGTAGTTTTATACAAATAAGGCCCAGGATTGACTTCCATCGTGGCTGATTTCGAGAGCAGTTCGTGGACAGCTTTACTCCTCGGCCAGCAGATTGGAGCGATACCGTAATGGAGAAGATGACACGAGCACGTCTTCATAGTCAGCCGCTCTTTATCGGATACGGAGATAAATGGGGCCGATTCATGTCCATCAGGTACTGCTTCCAATGTGCTCCGAAAGGCGGTCAATGCCTTTCTAAAACAGGATTATGCCCCGGGGAGCCGATACATATGTCAGCCGTGCGGTACTCTCACCTAGAACTCCTGACCTGCGTTGGGTAGGGTACGCGTACCGGGCAGTAGATGAGCATCATATTTCGCCTTTTGCAACCCCCATCATTTCCTTCGTCTCCAGGAGCCATCCGCTGCCCAGTGTCGCCGTGACACAACATAGAACACTGAGTGCCGTGTGGCCATGTCCTTTCTGCTGTGAACCCACAGAACCGGAACCGGAAATCGAGACCGGCTGCGTGTTCCGTTTCATCTTCATCTACCAAGAAAGGTTCGAAAGAAAACTGACATGTCCGTGTTCCCCTCTTGGTCTTGACCAGGAGTATCACCACAAGGACAAATAGGGTTCACACCTCCCTGACTGACGGACTTGCCTTGTGCTTTGTACTTCGGTCGCGCAAGATGAGAAGCGGGAGGCTTCGTTGCTTTGCGTTTCTTGTTCTGTTCTTTTTTTTCTTTTTTTCCCGAAGGTTGGCGACAGGATATGGCATGTTGGACTGCCGCCTGCGGGTATCGTACTCGTGCTGCTGACATTGTTGTTGGCATGCTACTAACACCGATTTGTGACCAGTGGTATCTCCCTCGTGTGAGGGAAAGAGCTTGGGTGAATGCCACATGTAAGCTCCCCAACCTCTTTACACCTACTCGCCAGCTAATGTCCTTTATAACGTGGATATTGGCCTTACTATTATCCACCCTTTGAGCTACCACAGCCGCCCTGAGCTAGGCGTGCGGTAAACTCGGCGGTTATTATTGAATAGCGGTCAAAGCTTCCCTCAAAGACACTTAAGTGGTGACGGTAATGGATGACTAACGTCAACTGACTTAGACAGCTAGACCTGAGCAACCTCATCTCAACCTTCCAGGCGCCTTGTTCAACCACCATAACCCTACTTACTACAAAGGACACGCAAGTGTAAGGTATGGGGTGACGAACACAAGAACAAAGTACGCCAAAAATGACAGCAAATGACAGTAAAGACCGACTCGGCCGTGGGGGACTGGACTGGAACAAGACGAGACAAAAAAGATACCACGGGAAAGAGACAAAACGAAACAAAATAAACCCCCAGTGTCCCTTCATTGTCGCTCAAAAACCATCGCTCCCTCACCGCCACAGCAAAGTTTCGGTAAATGGCTCCGGGTTCTTAAGCTCGAATATTCCAAGAAGCAAGGTGGCTGACACTCCGGATATTGGACGCTGAGGAGCTTCTTCCATCATTGTTAATTGGTCAATGCCTGCGCAGCGGCTTACAGAGAAAGTTAGCTGGCCATGTGATACTATACTTCTCAATATCGGATAATGCTAGGTACGGTAAGTGATAAGATGGGTAAACAAGCTTGAGCGGTATATCCTTCTTCAGCATCGCATTATCTCCACCGCTACCTCATATGTCTTTGATCTAATAACATAATAACTTGGTCTGAGCCTTGTAGCCGAGGAATTAAATCTTCCCTCTTGAGAAAAAGAAAAGGAAGATTGGATAAACAAAGTCTCTATCATCCTTAATATGCATGCTAGAGGTCTGCTTTACCCCCGTTTCTTTCAATCCCAATACCCCATTACATCATTACCCCTCTCATCTCTTTCGCACGCACGCACTCATCCAATACCATCCCTTCCTTTCCTACCCTGCGTCTCTTGCTCTCGTAATCATTGAGATCAGACCCCATCACATCACCCCGCCTAAGCCTAAGCAGCAGCAGGAGTAAGCAGAACACAGTCACTCCTGACATCCTTGCCATCCTTGCCCGACGAGATGTAAAGCCCGTTACCGCACGACAGCATATTCCCCCTTCCATTCGCCGACAGCTGAAGCTGTCCGGTACCGGCATTCACGCACCCCTTGACGCGCTTCATCGTTCCCGCCGCGACGCCGGCCTCGACATCGGCCTTGAGCTTGGGCCGCACCGACACGGTCGCGCCCGTGTCGCTGACCAGCACGTAGGCGGCGTACACGGACGTCGCGCCGCTGAACGGCTGCGCCTGCTCCAGGTATCCCTCGGCATTGAGCGTCCAGGTCGAGCTTATAGCGCCCGCGCTTCCTGGCGCGGGGACGCTGGAGAAGGATTGCCACGCGATCACGCTGCCGCCAACGTTGTTCATCCAACGCGTGGAGCTGTCCGGGAAGGGCATGCTGGCGCGGAAGGACTGGCCGCGGGGCTTGCACATTAGGGGGATGACGGAGACGGGGGTGGAGGTGGCTTGGACGGTCTCGACGGCGGAGACGGTCAGGGTCGCGGTGGCGGTGATCAGGTCCGTGGCGCCAATGGTCTCGGTCTCGGTGCCGGAGACGGTCGTGGTTATGCTGATGATGTCGGTGTAGGTGGAGGAGAGGGTGGCGACAACGGTGGTGAGCGCGTTGGAGGCGGTCACGGTCACGGTCTCAACGGCGGCAGAGGCGGTGGTGGTGGAGGCTGAGACGCCGATGCACTTGCAGGCTTTGGAGTACTGGGACCAGTCGGCGCAGTTGGCTGTGGCGTAGGTGGGGAGAGCAGAGCTAGCAGGGCTGGTGAGAGCAGGGCTGCTGCTGGTCAGGGTCTCAGTAGGCTCCTCGTCGATCTGGGTCAGAGTGTCGAGGCGAGCCTTCAGCTTGTAGACGGTCGGGGCGTTCTGGTAGACCGTCGAGGTCGAGGTGATTTCGGGGAGGAGGGAGACCAGGGTCGTGGTGTAGGGCACGGTGACGGTCTCGGTGAGGAAGTCGGTTTCGGTTGCGGATGTGACTGTGACAACCTCGGTGAGGATCTGGGTCGCGGTGGAGGCGATCTCCGTCGTGGTCTCGGTGAAGAGAACGGTGTCGACGGCGCTCTGGACGAGAGTGACCGTTTCGGTGTAGGTGCTTGCTGAGGGGGTGACTGTCACGATGAGGTTGGACTTGCAGTCCATAACACCCTCAAAGTCCGCGAGAGCAAGAGCTATTGTCCGATTGTCAGCTTATACACCGGAATAAAAAGGATGAGTACACCCATTTTACATACCCTTCAAGCACTTGTTGCTACGACAGCAAGCAGCAGAGACGCCCTGCAACAGGGCAGCGCCCGAAAGGGCGACAATACCAAAGTTCTTCATGATTTGAACGAGTGACTAGACTGGAGTTGTAAACGAATGACTGAGGGTGAATCCAACCTTGGGGTAGAAGAGAGGGAGATTAAAATGGTTGTTTAAAGAGTTACGGGACTCGGTCCCTTTTTGTCACCACTCATGACACCTCAAATCTATCCATCACTTTTCATCATTTTACTTTCAGCTCGTCGGCAGTGTGGTCCTCTAGTCGTATTTGGGTGACAAAAATCGATAGTTTGACCCGTTGTAGGATTCAATAGCGTCGAGCAGCGATGGTTAGCCGCCAATGTTTGCTCGGAGCCGAAATGGGCACATGTAGTTAATTGCCGGCATCAGGGCTGTTCAAGCTTCGACGGTCTAGACCGGAGACTTGTTTACCACTGAACCCATGATCCCAAAAGCAAGATCCAGTCTAACTGATCCAGACTCACGGGTCCGGTCTAACGCCTTTCTGCATTTGTTAGCGAAGAGTCAATTACCACTCTACATCATATATCCCAGTCTGGCGAACACAACGAAGACCGAAAAGATGTGCTGGCTCGCTCGCTTGCTCGCTGTCCAATTAACGTACAGACATCGCCCTCATAACATCTAACTTTCTAATACACTGATGACGGACAAACCGTTGTTGCTTGATGATCCCTACACGAGAAAAAAAGAAAAAAAAAAAGAAAAAAAAAAGACAAAAAAAAAAGACAAAAAAAAAAAGAAAAAAAAAAGCAAAAAAAAAGCACACCCCTGAACTCCCTTGCCTTTGGAAGTGTAGATAGAAGGATGGCCTTATCAAGACCGCCTTCTCGATGCCTCGGTAAGCCATCCGGCAACCATACCGCCCCGTAACCCAGCCAATCCACGGAAACTGAAAAGACCAAACCAAGCCGGCTACACTAGAAAAAAGGGACCGACCGCACCGCCTTGCAATTCGTACACATACACACACATTAATTAACCATAAGAGAATGGCCGACTGGTAATTACCTAGCTTCCAGTCTGCCTCCTTGCTAGTCCCGGCCGTCCACCACTGCCACCACTATTTCCACTGACCGCCGACGGCGCTGGACTGGATTCCCGGCTTCCTGCCGCGCCTGATCCGACACTCTCAAACTTTTCCACCAAGTCCAACACCCTCGTCCTGGTTCTTCTGGGTCCTCCGGACAGCGCAGCACCCGGACCAGGAGACGGGGTTGGGCGCGGAGGCGGAGGTTGCATTGGTTGTGGCTGCGGTTGCGACTGCGAAGACTGCGAGTGAAGTAACTCAGAATCGAGTGATGACTCTCGTGCTTGCTGCTGCACCTCAGCCAACGCCTCAACAGACGACCGCACCTCCGACACCGAAGCCAGCGACACTCTCTCCATCTTGACCGCCTCGGCCACGTGCAGCGTCGCGGTGCCGGTGTCAGATACGCCGCTTGCTATGCTCCGGAGGGAGTGCACGCTGTAGGTTGAGCGGACGGAGGGGGCGATGGATTTTGTGCGGCCGTGGCCACCACGGCCGTAGCTCTTCTCGGGGGAAGGCGACGGCGAGGGAGTGACTTGGGTACTGTTGTTTTCTCCTGATGGTGTTAGGCCGGATCCCTCAGATGAGGGTGTGGTGGGGTTGAGACCGTGCGTGCTTGGTTGGTTGCGGATGGCCGTGCGGGACTTGGTTGGAGAAGGAGGTTGGAGGGATGAGGAGCCTGAAGAGTGCTCAGGTTGTCGTTGTGGCTGGGATAATTCTGGCAGCTGAAGCGAGAGTGATGGCGAGGTAGAACGTGACAGGGAAAGAGTTAGTGGTGATGGAAGGGTCAGATCCAGCAGAGGTAATGGTGAAGGAGTTTGTCCGCGGGTAGGGCTCCCGGTTGGGTGAAGATAGACCTGAGGATGATCCTGACCGGTGGTTTCTGATGCAGGTGTCAACATCGGGTTGGTGGTCCCAGAGTCCGACTCTGACTGTTGTTGGCTACCGCCGGATGTCTTCCTCACGCTCGAACCAGCAATGATTTCGATAGTATCTGGCACCTGTCCCTCGGCCCGTTCTTTCCCCTTCCCCTTCCCCTTTCCAACACTGCTGGGAGTACCGCTTCTACTGGTCCTGCTCCCCTCCTCATTGACATCACAGATCAAGATAGACTCCTCGCGCTCAATCTCCGCATTGACCACCCTCAGGCGCTCCTTGGGTACAGTAAACATGACCTGTACCAACCGCTGCTCTACCATCTTCTCCACATCCCAATCATCTCCTTGGCCTCCTTCTCCCGTGGCGTTGTTATTTTCTCCCCCGGCAGCCTGTCTAGCCGACGATTCCTCTCCGTTATTATCCCAGGCCTCACGGCCTTGCTTCCGCCTCACCAGTCCCAAGCCCAAAGCGCCGGGATTGAGGCCGATCAGGGAGAGATGATGGTTATCGAAGCCACTAGCTTCGTTACCATGCAACAAGCTCTCCTTGGTCGGACTGCTGTCGCCACCGAAGCTGCCAGATCCGCCCGACCCTCCGCTGACGCTGAGCATCCGCTTAAGGCTGCCCAGCCAGCTGCGCGGACGGGAGTCGAGACGGGAGTTCCGACGGGTTTTGGACGGCGAGCTGGGGATTGGTTCCCAGTCCTCTTCGGACTCTTGTTGCTCCCCACCTTCTTCCCCACCCGGACGCTCATTGTCGCCTGACCCGCCGGACATGGGGAAAAGAAGGTCAGCGCCTTCGGCCTGGAGGGAGTTGAAGTTGGGAGTAGGCGTAGGGAGGTTGGATCGAGCGGATGCGAAGGCTGTCGAACCAGAATGGGACCCACTAGAGGCAGAGGAGGCTGCGAGTGAATGGTTGCTGCCGCTGTTTCCTGAGTGGCTGCTGTTGCCAGACTTGCCGCTGCCAGAACTGCCTGGCTTGGGAATCTCTCCTGCTGCGGCCGCTACGCGGAGTTGGTGATGGGCCGGAGAAAGAGGTGATGCGTGATGATGTTCTCTACCCGAGATGAAACTGAAGGCACTTTTGTCGGACAGATTGCTTCCCGTGCGATGGTCGCTGCCTGCGCGGGAGTCGTCCGAAATATCTAACGTGCTCTTACTCAATGGGTTAGAGGCCCTCCTCGACTTGGTGGACTTATTCGATGCTCGCCGTGGGGGTGATGTTATCGCACGAGCACTGGTAGGTGATACAGGCTGGTGCGTGGCAGCCTCAAGCGAAGCAGCGGTAGCTGCCCGGTGAGTGGTGGTAACGGATCCATGCCGGCTGATTTTAGCGGCCAGCACGGCGTCCGCCACGTCCACATCCGTCTTCCAACCGCGAACTTCTGGGTCTTGATCTTGCCCTTGCTTCGGAGAGAAGGATATGATCTCGGGTGGTGGTAAGCCAGGGCTTGACTTCTCTTCATGCATGCTCCCTCCGCTTCCACTTCCGCTCCCACTGCTAGTTGGCGGATATGACGTGCTGGCCACAGCGCTTGCCCGTAATACGCTTCCGGCAGGGGTAATGAACGGGTCATCGTCATACTCAGGACTGATCAGCCGCCCGGACGCCCCTAGATCTCCTCCATCTTTCTCGTTGTATTCGTCATCTTCGTCTGCCTCCTCGTAGATGGGGTGGATCCCATTAGGATTCGCAATCCCTCTTCCAGATGGCGGTGAAAAGTCCATACCATTAGTAGGGATATAGAGTCCCCTCGCGTTGCGCAACCTGCCGACTCCGGACCCGGTGCTATTAGCAGCTGGTGGACCGGATGGCTGGTAGTGCCCTGGTTGACCAACAACTTGATACCCACCGCTCAGAGAACGAGTGCCCTGTCCGTTCGAGTCGTTATTCGTGTTCCAGGGGAACTGAAAGCCAAACCCACTGCTTCTTTGCTCGGCCATTTCGTTGTCATAATTGGTGTAACTAGATGGGTTCTCGCCCCAGTCACTGATGCTGTGCCTAATGCTACCGCCAAAAGCTGTGCCGTAGACACTAGGAGGCATGCCCATGGACAAGCTGCGAATGGTTTGGTCGCGCTGAGCCCGGCGGCGTTGTCGTCGACGCCACAGGCAGAAAAGAACTGTGAAGATAATGGCTACGAGCGGAATCCCGAGACCGAGTGCCAATCCCAGGGTAAGTCCGAGATTTGGGCTGACTTTAGAAGAATCAGATGGATCGCTTGCGGTAGGAGGGATATCGACAGTCGGATTGCCATTCGAATCCGGTCGCGGGTTAGTATAGGTTGTCGCCCAGGACTGAGATGTCATGTTGAAAAATCTCGGACTCGTCGTGGCGATAGGCGACTGTCGTTTCTCAAGGTTGTTGCTGTCGGCAAGACCCAGAAAGGAGTTGAGCCACCTCTTGACCTTTGCTTTGGAAGATGCTGTCCTGGGCGGTTTGATTTCCCACCCTCCATACACCATCATGACGTTCCCTGGCAGAACCACAGCACCATGGCCGTAAAGCCCCTCTCCCTTCTCAAATATCTGTGCATGGTCGTCCTCCGGAATCTCCCAGCTCCAATCATCATAACTTGCCCCAATCTTGATTACCACAAGCTGTGGCTCCGCCGGTTGCGACACATCCCCTACCCAGCCTCCCAAGATGACCAAACTGCCTCCATCTTCACTTAACACGGTTGAATGTCCCGATCTGCTATCCACAGTCGTTACTCCTCCTCTCTTTTGCTTCAGCTTGGACCGCTTTTGGTGTACGTTCAAAACAACCAGATCTGCCTGCTCGCTGCCAGATGACGATCCGGCTGGTTCCTCCGCAGGTGGATTAATCGACACAAAGCTCCAGGTCTCTGCGGGCAAGCTCCAGATAGCCGCAGTGCTCATGTTGACAAAGGCATGCTGCGTGTGTCCACCCAGCAGCACGTGAGAGGTCTGTTGTGTTACGATGCCCGATCTGTTCGTGATGCTCGGTACCAGAGAGGTAAAGGTGAAGCCGGCTTCCGGGATGGGAGGTCCGCCCAGTTGGGGATTAGAGATGGTGAAGTCGGTTCCGTCGTTGCTGTCGTTTTCCGGTTGCACAACGTCATCCTCATCGCCGCCGGTCGGAGTTGAAGGCGTTGCTCCAGAAGAATCTGAGGAAAGAGATGAGATCTTGAGCATGCGATTCGAGTAATGGGCAGATGCCTGCCATGTCGAAGCTGTAGAGTTGGAAAAAGGGCACATGCCGCCGTAGATGTAGATGACGGGATCGGAAATGGAGGGGTAGATTTGTGAGGAGAAGGAGAGCGAGGAGCCGAGGAGATAGGGGATTCCTGGTCCTGTCCCTATACTGCCCTTCTTGAGGTTCTGTTGGGTGCTGTGTTTTGTCCAGACGCCTTTGGGATCACCGTCCTTTTCGAAGGAGGGCGCATAACTCCATACTGCGGGAATGGCATCCTCGTCTCCATACTCTTCCGTGGCTCCGGCAGCACAATCACCTGCTAGCACTGCCAATGTGCCATTCTCTAATAATGTTGGCGCAAATCCGCTCGTCTTTGACTTGGTAACAAAGGGTAGCCCGGAGGTTAGCGTTATCGGCTTGAAGGAATCCGCATCCAACGTCGACGAGGTGTTGATGGCGAGCAAGTCAACGCCATTGTTGTCCCCATTAGCAGTGAAGATGTATGCGAGTCCATGATTGTCCGAGTTGCTCGAGAGAAGTGACTGCGATCCAGAAAGGAGGATGGTGGTGGTTGTGTAGGGAAGAGTGATGGCTGACACGGGTACTGCCGCCGCCAGGGTAGCCAGGCAAAGAGATGTGGTGAGTGAAGTCTGATGTCGTCGATGTCCGGTATGTGACTTTGTCGTTGATTGCCGGGATGGCGATGTTTCGGACCTGCTTGGCGGTGACGGCGCTAATAATTGAGACCCGGGTCGGTGCCGGGACTGGAGCCGGGGCCGGGGCCGGTCCATGGCTTGGGGTGCCCCGGATGATGATGATTGGCGGGGAAGGAAGTGCCTGGACGCTGCAGCGCTCAACCTTCAATGTGTGCTCCTCCCGTTTGCTCTTTCCTCGTCGTCGACGTCGCTCTCGAAACCGAAACCGTTAGGGAAAGGACGACTTGACCATTGTTTCCTCCCCCGGTCCTTCTTTCCTTTCTTTCGTTGGTTGCGGTTTCACCTTCCGTGGTTCCAGATGCTGAGGCCAGTATCAATAATTGCGGTTTTGTCTCTAGGTTGCTTCCTTCCTTCCTTTGTCACCAGGTCGCCCGTTTGTCCCGGTCGTTTCAACTCGACCGATTATGACGGAATGGGTGTCTCTCGTCTGCAAGTATGAGAAGTCGAATTGCTCCGCCGAATATTGAAAGTCCCCACTTCTTTTCCCCTTCTCGAAGGCAGCGACCGAAAACCTGGAATGCAGAGACGGGGAGTTGGAATGGAGAACGAAACGTGGAGTTTTGGAGATAGGCGCAGACTAAAACCGGGCTTGCGGTAGGTACAGTACCTAGATTTCCCCGCAGAGGGTAGGTAGCAGCTGCAGAAAATATGCGGCAGCTTGCTTGCTTCCCGCGATGCTTGACGTGCTGGTAGTGCGAGGACGGAGTGATGATGGGACGAAAACCTCAAGGGAGTTTTGCACTTGGTGCTTCGTAAGGCAGAATGAATGTCAAGTCAAGGTGAAAGTCAACAGTCGATGATACATTCACCCGTCGTCCAACAAGGAACCAGTAGAAGTGAAGAGGACCCTTGCCTACCTCGACCGATTGCACTGCAGCGATGGCCCAAGATCCAGACCGCACAACCACAAGGCTCAAAAGAACAAGCGGGCGGCAGCTGAGCAATTGGAGTGGAAAGAATAGGGCAATGTTACGGTGTGAAGAAAATAGAACTCTACCAAAAAGATCCGGTCAACAGCTTCTTCCTCCCCTCCGCCCTTCGTCGGCGGACTTTCTCTCACCACCTTGGGAGGAAGCCAGCCAGGTTCCAGTGGAGCTGGACGGTTGAAAGAAGGGAGGCTGGTAAAGCCGGGAGTGGGCGGCGCCGCGGCTGGTTTGGGGGTGGGGTGGTTCTAGCTCCGCTGCAACTGCGTGCGCGCCCAGAAATCATGATCCTGCTAAGTCAACAATGGCCCGATATGGCACCTCTCATTGGTCAGTTTTCCGCGACGAGAGGCTCAGGGAGGGGCTGCGCAAAATCGTAATCTCCAGGGCGCGCGCCCACTCCCAGTCCACCGGTCTCGTCGTCGAATCCGGAATCTGTCGCAATCGCAATTGAGTCCCATTGATGCGCGCGCGGTGGGGTTGTTTTTCTACAAGTACAACGGGCGGTTGGGAGGGAAGATGGTTGGCAGGGAAACAAACAGTGGGACAAGGTGAGCTTATCGTTGGAATCACCAACCGGAGAATAAACAAAGAAACCAATTGGGGGGTGGGTGGAAACAAGGAACCAGATGATGGAGGGCGTGTGGGATTGTGAGAGTGGAGCCAAGAAACGATCGTTCGTTTTGATGATGAATGTGCGCTGCGGTCGGCGGACCAACGCCAAGGCAAGATCGAGGTTACAAGGCGGACCAAATGCTGGACATTGTCGATCTTCCGCTTCCATCCTCGTCTCGTCTCTCCATGTCTTTACCAGACCAACCCGGATCAGGATTGTGTCAATGTCAGTTCAGTGATCAGTTAGGGTCAGAGTCGAACTTGTTAACATTATCGCATCGACATCGCCATGACCCAAGCTGTCAGCTGCCCGCGCGCAACACCAAGCTCGAATCTCCACCCAAGTACAAGTAAGTAGCACACGAGACAAAAACCGACGGCCGTTCTTAAACCGGGTAACATGAGGAAAAGTACAATTCATCTCCTTATGAGACAAGTCTTTTGCCTGTGGGGAGATGATAAGAGCGTACAGAATCACAGCTGTGGATCTAAAAACTGAAGTGTAACACCTCCCAGATGACGAAGGATATAGACATGGGACAAGGAAGAACCGAAATGGTTTCAAGCTGGTCTTACGTCTAAACAGAAACAGAAACAGTTTCCCACCACGAAGCCAGACGAAACGATCAACCGTTTGTTACACGTTAAGAGGATAATACAGACAATACACTTTCCCTCCTTTAGTAAAACCGAACCAACTCCAGACAGGACAAACAATACCGCAGCAAAAGTCAACAAAAAGAACAATCACCAACATCATTCGACCATCAAAGAAGCAAGCAGTCTACTACGCCTCCCAATCCAATTCCATCTACAGTTGTCCCTCCTCCTCCTCACCCCTCTCCTCCTCCTCCTCCTCCTCCAAATCATAGTCATATCTCGTCGCCGATTTCAACACCTTACTCTTCCCCGCCTTCAACTCCCTCACCAGCTTCTCCGCCCTCTCCGCCCTCTTCCTCAGCACCTCCGCCTCACTCTTAGCCTCCATTTCCCCCTTCCCGACTCCATTCAGCAACGCATCCCTGGCGTGGCTCAACCTCTCCACCTCCGCCGTGAGGGTACGGATCTGCTCCTTCTGAGATCCCATCTCGGAGTGCAGGTCGAGGTTCTCCTGCTGGATCTTGCCCGCCTCGCGCAGCTTCTGGGTGTACTTCATCTCCAGCTCAGACGCGCGCGGCGGGTAGCGCGGCTGCACCGTGGCCATGATGGTCGGCTGGGTTTCCAGCAGGCGGGTGTGCTCGACGCCCGGGTGGACGGCGTGGGCGGGGATGACGAAGAGGACGCCCTTGCCGGAGTTGGCCAGGCGGTAGTAGCGGGTGGTGACGTCCACCTGCACGATGCCACGCGAGAAGTAGGCGCCGACGAGGTCTCCATCGACCTTTTCCATCTGGTCGAAGAGGCTGTTTCCGTCAGTGCCAGTGCCGTTGTCGGCGCCGGCACCGGTTTGCGGGTTCTTGTGCCACATTTCCTCTCCGACCGCGCCGTTGCGGCGCCAGACTCTCTCCTTGGCCTGAAGGACCGCCTCGCGCTTGTCGAGCAGGCTGTGGATGTACTCGTAGACGTCGTCGCCTGAGTTGACGAGAATGTACTGGTCCTGCGGGTAGGCCACCGCTCGGCCCGTCCGGCCGTCGGGTCCCAGCTTGCCGAGCACCTGGTGCGGAATGGCGGCTTCGCCGGCCAGCACGTCAAGCGCGTTGCCGTAGCTGCGCTCGAGCTCGTGCATGCGCGCGACAAGGTGCTGCGTGAAGAGAAGCCATTGGCCGAGCAAGGTGGTGCGCGCGTGCTTGATCTCTTGGGTGTCGTGGTCCGCGTCGGTGGGGAGCACGCTCAGCAGACCGCCCGTGGCGGTATACTCGTGGTCGAGGCGCTCCAGGCAGGAGTTGGTGTGGGTGAGCAGGTTCTGAAGGTTGGAGTAAGGGCGAAGTTCCCTTGGGCCCTGGTCTTCCTGGCCGAAAGTGGTGGTGTTGGAAGTTTTTACCGGGGGCGAATAGTGCTGGATCTCGGTCAGGGGACAGTGGTAATCGGTGCCGTAAACCTCATTGCGTCCACGGACTTCGTTGATCAGTGAGACAAGGGGCTTGTGGTGGTTGACATCGTCGGTGTGGTAAGGTGTGCGAATGTCGTTGAGGAAGTCGAAAGCTGAGTTAAGTTCGAGTTTCAGAGCGAGACCGTCGTCGGCCGATGAGGCACTGGTCTTGCCCTTCCCCTTGGAACCTTCGTTGCTGGTGGATGTAGCGCCATCAACTTGGACCTCGGCGACCTTGACATCTGGCTGCAGAATTTGGATGAGGGCACAGAGAGATTGGGCGTGCTGCTTCAATGCGAGGAGTGTCGGCGGAATACCATGCGTGGAGAGATAACCGCAGTTGATATGGCGGAGTAGCTCGCTCTTGACGTCTTCATCGTTGATTCGTGACCATTGCGACATGTAAGGAAGCGCATAGTCGGTTGCTTTGACGTAGCCCCTGAGTCCCCGGTTTTCGTCGTCTTCGTGATCCGCCAAATGAGTGGCCACGATCTTTCGGCCTGGTGGTGTCATGATGTTGAGAACCTGGTGAAATTAGTTCTGGTGGTAATGAGAGCTGGCTCTTGCTCGACAGTCTGAATGGTGATAAAGTTGAAGTTGAACAGCATGTTTCTTCCGAAAAGGCGATCACCTCTTACCATAAGTCGTGCCTTTTTCTCCCAATACTGTAGGGATGGCTCATTGTCTCCTCGGCCATAAGCTCAACAAAGAACCGTTGTTCTTTGCAACGTGAACGAGGCATTGTCAGACAGAGCTGTCTGATGCCAAATGCAGCTCTAACAAAGGAGTAGAGACGGGGCTGCAAAGAATAAAGATGACGGAAACAGCAGAGAAGCTTGCGGTCATCTGCTTTGTTTGTCCAGAAGGGGCCGGATCTGTGAGTAATGTAAGGGATACACTCGACACTCAAGCCCTGTAAGGAGCCCATGTCCGCTACCAAATAATCTCATTATCCCAAGAACTTTCGCGTTGGATTCCAGAGACTCTCTGATGTTGATTTCCTCAGTATCCCGGCAAGTCGTATTTTGTTGTTGTAGTGCGTTGAGATCCAGTTCAAACACTCGGCAGGTTGAGACACTTGTGCCAACTTCACTCTACCGTTGTTCGACTGTAAGTCCAAACACCATTAGGCAGTTGACACATCCGTACATTGTCATCACCCCAGTCTAATACTGTGTGATGCCGGTCTTGATGTGTTACCGACCGCGCATAGTCATGAGGCCTCCTCGACCCTGACACAACTGTCAAGTCGCCTTGAATCTCGATCCCTGAGCATCAAAACGACGTGAGACATTCAAAGATGGCGCCATGGCCGCAAACATTTGTCGTGAATCGCTGGCCGTGGAAGTTTTTCTTAAAACCGTCCGTCTTGCTTCAGGACCTTGGGTACGTTGATGGCGATGATGGCCTCAAGTACCAACGCGTGTGACGTATGGATGGTGTTTGCCGCTTTCAGCTCTGATGGCTGAAGAACCATGAGCTGCTGAACACGTGAATTTGAGCCACAAGCGGTCTGTGTTTGCGAGTAACAAACAGAACGAACCGGGTGCCGCGGACATGTCGCCGGTCTTGTTGGCAAGGGAAAAAGGAATCGATTACATGTGTGAAAGTGTTGCGATGAAGAGCTCCATTTGTCCTAAGGGTCCGAAAGCGGGGCCCACAGCCACGAGGCAGTTGCCCTTCGGCCACTCAGGGTCCTCAGATCCCGATGTAGTGGAGCCGGGATTTGCGCACCCTTTTTGGACCTGACCGGCTCAGTTGTTGCATTTGTCACAGGCCACGCACGTCTTGCGCAATGAAGGACGAAATCGAAAAATGGCAGCCAAAGATATGATAAACCTGTCGCATTCAAAACAAAAAGTCGCGTGTCCCTTCAGCTTAGACGGGCAAGCTGTTCTCGTGGTCCATCGCAGTCTGGAATTTGCGCATTCTTTCGCGGTGTAGAGGTAGGCAAATCATGATCCTGATGAAAAAAAAGAAAGGGTTTCAATGTCCAATTTCCTACCGTGGCATCCAGTGGCTTTCGACGTGGTTCGTGACTGCTCCAAATGGACCATCACAGCTGAAAGCTGCAGTAGCGCGGGGTGCGAAAGCGGAGCTCTCCTTCCACAATTCGGTGACCAGTCGCGTCAAATCACGATTCGGCATTTCATCAATTCACATTGCCCGACCATTCCTCCCTTTGATTCGCATCAGAGGCAGACATCACAGACAGACAATGACGGTGACCGACGATGGCGGTAGCGGCGGGGATGCTTCATTTTCTAGGGTATCGGTGGGTGGATTGCGGCATCGACCCGGATGATTGCCCTTTCAGATTGACAAGATTGCCAGAGGCCAAACGTTCGGTTCTGAAACAAATGGTCTCGACAATGGTCACTGGCGCACCCTGTTTCGGAAACGCTGGTTGCACATCGCTCTTTCGTGATGGTTCCAACGTAATTGGCTGGCGGTGACAAGAGGTTGACGAGGGAAGCGCTCACGGCTTTCGGCAACCCGGTGATGAAGGCCAATCTGGGAATCATAGAAAGCGCCTGCCCGTTTCAATATCGGTCGAGCGCTATCATTTCTGCCCTCATCTTGTCTTGTCTTGTCAGTGTCAGTGTCAGTGTCGTCGGGCTGTTCGCCGTCATCCGAAAATATTCGGTAGTAGGATGCAAATATCCTTTACGCGGTGAGTTGTTTGCTGCTTCTTGCTCCGTCAGAGGCTGAAAACACGGGCGCAGGCTCAGGTTGGCATGGGTCAGTGGGACAGTAGGAGTGTGCGATGGCAGTGAATTTGAATGGCTGGCGAGTGGCAGGATCTCGAGGTCAGGTTCATGATTGCGGTGATCTAGACCGTGCCCGCCATCCCTGCTCAATAGTGGATATGGCTTGGCAATAGCTCCAAGTACCGGGGTTACGTTGACCAATAAAAAATGTTGATTGGGGCATGAGCCCCACATGCACCGAGCTTGATCAAATCGTCGGGAAGGAACGAAAGCAACACTACGTGCAGATTTCCGGCGTGTTGCGTCATTGGAGATGTCACCCTCTCCTTTCCACTTCCTCTTGGGATTTTCTTTGGCGACGGAAACTTGATCATGGCGGGAGCTCGATGCTATGACCGAAGGCGCACACAAAGAAGAAACGGGAAAAAATGGAAGAAGCTTGAATATCAAAGCTTGGCCTCATCATTGGGCGTTCAGTATGATATCAAATGCCAATTCCTTTATAGTAACATGAACTACCTACTGGTTTGGTGATACTGACCCGACGGACCCTTAACAATTTGTATCGATATTTGCCTCCTCTTTATTTTCCTGTGTCTTATTGATAGGGTCCAAGCTCTTTCAGTTTTTGCTCCCTTGGATCATCACCTCCTTCCGCTTCACTTCACCAAGTGGGCATTTCAGCAGTCCCTGTCGACCCTTACCTCTAGTTCACCTTTGGGACATTGAACGCACAGCACACATACTTACTGCGTTGCCGCTGCGGATTGCTTTTTGCGCTTGCGTGTGCAAAAGTTGTGCATCCGTCTCTCAGTTCTTTCTCAATCAACAAAGTCACACAACTTAAACCCGACAACGAGACAGCCTAAAGTCAAGCCAAGTACGGCAGTCCCCGTTTCAGCAATAGCGTGAGTCCATTCCGCAGTCCACTATCTACCCTACACAAAAACAAATGTCCACCTGGTCGTCGAGGGCCGGGGTCTCATGTTTTGTTTCTTTTGCACTTATCCACATGGCCTCCCCCCTCCCGTCTCCAGTTTCTTTTCCCCCGTTTTTCAGTTTTCTTCTCTGTCGTGTACCCTCAAAAAGGGCACATCTCACCCGTCAAGGGACACTCGAAAGCTGATCTGTGGAATCTGGAATCTGGGTAGTACCACAACCAGAGGCAACCAGAGAGCTACACGGGTGCAACCTTCCTGACCATCCAAAAGCTGCCCTGTCCTGGTTCCTTGCTTCTTCTGCCGTGGCCTGCAACCTAACGACGTAAATGCCCAGCCGCCCTCCCTTCTCCTCCCTGGTCCCATCCCTATCCCGCCACTCCCACTTTTTTAGTCTTTTAGTCTTTTCTTCCCCCCACCTCATCTTCACGTTTTATCCAGACGACCTTTCTTTCTAACAACCCTTGAGCTGCAGTGGCCCAACCTTATTTGTCCCAGCTCCCTCTGCGGGTGAGCTTCACGTCAACAACAACTAACTACACCGGACTCACACACTGGAACGTCAACCGCCATATCGACGCAACAAAATACCTACATCTAATATCTAGAGCGGGTTATCCTGCGAAACCGCCGAAATGAGCGACATACCTAGGAACACCTCCGACACGGACGAGGCCCAGACACCGGTATCGCTGTCGGGTAGGTCAAGAACCAGCATTCTAGAGCAAAGGGCGGCAACACTAACCATGAAACACAATAGGAATGATCTCAACATTGGTCCCGGTCCTCGTCACATCCGCCATTTACATAGTCATCTTCTTGATCTTGCGCAAGAGCAACCGAAGATACTATGCTCCCAGAACCTACCTAGGCAGTCTGCGAGAGAACGAACGATCACCAAGCTTATCAAGCGGCCTATTCAGCTGGTTCAAGGATTTCTGGAAGATACCCGATGTTTACGCCCTTCAGCACCAGTCGCTCGACTCGTACCTCTTCATCCGCTACTTGCGCATGGCCGTCACCATCTGCTTTGTCGGTTGCTGCATCACTTGGCCCGTCCTTTTCCCAGTCAATGCCACCGGTGGTGGTGATCAGAAGGAGCTGGATATTCTGACTTACGGCAACATCGACCGCGACACACAATACAACCGCTATTATGCCCACGTCTTCATCAGCTGGATCTTTCTCGGTTTCGTCATGTACCTCATCATGCGAGAGTGCATGTTCTACATTAACCTTCGCCAAGCGTTTCTCATCAGCCCTCTCTACTCCCAGCGCATCTCATCCCGCACGGTTCTCTTTACTTCGGTCCCAGAACCCTATCTCGACGAGCACAAGCTGCGCAAGATTTTTTGGTGCCTCTGTCAAGAACGTGTGGATCACAAGCGAAACCAAGGAGGTCGACGAACTGGTCAAGGAGCGCGACAAGGTTGCATTGCGCCTCGAAAAGGCCGAGGTTAAGCTGATCAAGCTTGCCAACAAGATTCGCCGAAAGGCCATGGTCAAAGGTGCTGTTGACGACATCGACAAGCAGGCCCCTCTGGATGCCGAGTCTGGTAGCATTGCGGCCCGCTGGGTCCCTAGGAAGAAGCGTCCAACTCATCGTCTTGGACCCCTGGGCCTGATCGGCAAGAAGGTTGACACGATCGACTGGTGCCGCGAGGAGCTGATGCGTCTCATTCCCGAGGCCGAGGCAGCCCAGGACAAGTATCGTGATGGAGCCTTCAAGAAGGTCCCTGGCGTTTTTATTGAGTTCAGGACCCAAGCTGATGCTGAAGGAGCCGCCCAGATCCTGGCCCACCACCAGGGACTTCATATGACTCCCAAGTACATCGGTATCCGCCCCTCTGAGATTGTCTGGAAATCACTTGCCATTTCCTGGTGGCAGCGTGTCATTCGTCGCTACGCTGTCTATGCCTTCATTACCGCCATGATCGTCTTTTGGGCTATTCCGGTTGGTGTTGTCGGTATTATCAGCAACGTCAACTTCCTCAAGACAATCTCATTCCTGACATGGCTCGACAAGATCCCCGACGTCATCATGGGCGTTGTCACCGGCTTGCTACCCTCCGTCGCTCTTTCCATCCTCATGTCTTTGGTTCCGGTCGTCATCCGTATCTGTGCCAAGCAAGCCGGCGAGCCGTCGCTCTCCAGGGTCGAGCTGTTCACTCAGAACGCTTACTTCGCTTTCCAGGTGACCAGGTGTTTTTGGTCGCTACTGTCGCCTCATCTGCCACTGCCGTCGCGAAGAAAATCTATGATAACCCTGGTTCCGTGCCGAGTCTCCTTTCCGAGAACTTGCCAAAATCCTCCAACTTCTACATCTCCTATTTCATTGTACAGGGCCTGAGCATTGCGACTTCGGTCTTGACGCAGGTAGTCGGGTTCTTCGTCTTCAATCTTCTGTACAAGTTCTTGGCCAGTACTCCTCGCGCTCTATACACCAAGTGGGCGAACCTAAGTGCCATTTCCTGGGGCAGCACCTTGCCAGTCTATACCAACATTGTGGTCATCGGTAAGTTTTCCATGTCCCACCTACCTACCATACACGCATTTTACTAACTTCTTCATAGCCATCGCATACTCGACTATTGCTCCTCTTATGCTGGGCTGGGCTGCACTCGCTATGGGCTTGTTCTATCTCGCTTGGCGCTACAATGTCCTATTTGTCACGGACACTCAGATCGACACTCGTGGTCTCATTTACCCTCGTGCCATGAAGCAGCTCTTCACTGGCGTCTACTTGGCTGAAATCTGCATGATCGGCCTCTTCGGTGCCTCTGTTGCCCCCGGCCCGCTTGTTCTCATGATCATCTTCCTCGTCTTTACTGTCCTCTTCCACATCAGCATGAACTCCGCCCTAAATCCCTTAATGTTCAATCTTCCTCTCAATCTTCTTGCGGAGGAGGAGGGTCCTCTGCTCGACACTCCTGTCAATTCGCATGCCACAGAGAACGGACACGGCGCTCCTACCAATGGCAACAGCCCGACGACTGGCCCTAACTACACCGAGAAGATTCCGTCAAATGGTACCAACGGTGCTCAGAGCCGCGCCTCAGATCCAATCCTTGGTGCAAAGGAAGCTCTTGATGCCGAGAGGCATGAGCCCAATTACATGACGGGCAAAAAACCCAACTTCTTGACCAAATTTCTCAAGCCCTGGATCTACTCCGACTACAGAACCCTGCGAGCTTTCTTGCCCAGGGGTGTTCACTTTGATCCCTACGCCGCAGAGGTCGAAAGAGATGCGTACTGCCCCCCCAGTGTCACCTCTGATGTACCACTTCTCTGGATCCCCAGCGATGCCAACGGTGCTGGCGTGTCTCGCCAGGAGGTGGAGCACACGAGCAGGGCCATCCCCATCACAGACGAGGGCTGCGAGTTGGACGAGAAGGGACATTTGGTCTGGGACCAGGAGGGGACTAGGCCTCCTATCTGGGAGGAGAAGATCTACTACTAAACGTAGATCCATCTTGACTAACGTCTTTTGTTTTGTTTCTGGCTTGAGTTTTGTACCCAGGCTCTCTTCACATTGGTATATGCGCAGAGGCACTGGCAACGACCTAATACCCTAACGTTGCCTAGGGTTCAGATTGGAACCTTGGTTTTTCAAACTCTATACCCGGCATTTTGGCCCCTTTACCTAACGAGAATTATCAACTTTTTATCCACCGGCTTTTTATCCTGTCCTGTATTTTTAATGATATGTCATGACACATGGTGTACCAATAGTCAAGCTCGCTCAGGACGCCAGAGGTACTTGGTGTGGCGGAAAAAACATAAGGAGCCATTGTAGAATAGCATTAATCACCGAAGGAATGGTTAATCACTTGTCATTCCCGTTTCACAAGTGTTATGCAATAAAGTGATAACCCCCCGCTTGTAAGATGGTATGTAACATAAATATGCAATGATGCTCATGAAAGATAACTTCTTTCTTCCTCCACCTAAACCAGCCCACGAAACTATCGATGGCCGTTCTGACTTCCATGCGGATAAGACGCATGGCTTACCAGCCCAATACTATCCTCATCCTCCCGTGGCGCCGGCAGAGGATCATAATACCCACTGCTCTGGTTCCTGTACACGTTCGGTCGCATACCATAATCTACTCCATGATAAGTCGTAGCCGCTCCACCACCACCACCGCCGCCAGCGTTGCGACCCTCGTAATAATGGTGCTCGTCAACGGACGCAGCAGAGCCGCTTCTCGCTCGTCGTTCATACTGAGCCCTCGGCATCCCTCCCCCCGCCAAATCCAAGCTATCAAAGCTTTCACTCCTCCCTACCGCTGCATTCCCATTCCCCGCCGCGCCCCTATAACTCGTATCAACATGTCCATGCCCGTCATGTCCATACACCCCATGGGCATAATGATGCTGATGCGCCTGCGCCGGCGCTTCTAGGTCTCCTCCCATTCCCATCGTTGCTATTCCCTCCCGTTGTTCAACCACCACCTCAATCGACGAAGAATCACTACTCTTTTGTCTCCCCCTGGTGCTGGCGCCTCGCAGCGGGATCTGATTGTGGCCCAGAGGATGGCTATCCTTGTCAAGATGCAAGTAACTCACATCTCTCTCCCTCGTTTTGACGCCCACAAACAGCCACCGGATTCCTCTCCCAAAACCCTTGACAACATCCCAGATGTTGATGGCGTCCCAGAGAGCCAGGATGCCCAGCGGCCCTCCCTGTTTCTTGGCGCGGCCGTCAAAGTTCATACCCCGGTTGCTGTTACGCGGGGTGTAAGGGGCGTAGGGGAAGGCCCATAGATGTAGAATGGCGAAGCAGGCCATTTCGAAACATAGGAGTAGAGACGGGATGCCGACTTTGATGTCTGGATAGGCGAGGACCGAGTTGGGTTTTATCACGTGGATGGTTTCGGAGGTTCCGACTGAGATGGCGACGGATTGCCAGAAGGAGAGGAAGATGACGAGCTTGATGGCCAGCACTTTGAGGAATGGTTGCTGGGGAGATAATTGGGGGGTCGCGTGCAACTGGGCGTAGAATTGGATGAGGGCATACATGGCTATGGTGACGGCGATGGATTGGATTGCTACTATCTGTTTTTTGGGAGGAAAAGGGGGGCTGGTTAGTTGACAAGATCGGGGAATAAGGGGGTGAGTGTAAAAAATGGGAGTTGGCAGAAAAAGGGAACAGGAGAAGAGGAGGTGATGGAGAGGGGAAAGAGATGGACACACCCAAATATGCCCAAACATAGGCGAGTTGCTACTTTCGCAATACCGTCCATGATACTGGCTCAACACGGCGGCAACCGTCATAGCCACTCGCACGAAGCAGTAATGGTAAACGCCAATCCAGATAATGTTAAACCACGTCAACCCGCTCCTCGGCGTCCTCCAGGGACCCTTCCTGTGCCCACCGCAGCACTTGGCCATCCAGTTGATCGGCCATACCCAATCCTTGATGGGCTGCATCTCGCGAAAGTACTCCTTCTGCGAGTGCAAGTCCGGCGCGATGTAGTGACACATCAGACTGAAGAATGAGCTGATGGCAAAGGCCTCGTAACAGTCGCTTAGGACTTGGAAGTATATGGCGTGGTAGTAGAAGCGCAAGGACAAAAAGGAGGAGCAGGCGTAGATGGGCACCATGAATAGAATGCGAATGATCTGCTTTTGCTCGTTCGGGACGGTGTAGTTGGTCGCGTGTCGCATGATCAGGTAGAAGCTCATAGCTACGGCTACCACGACCGAGGCGGCAGCGATGATGAGGGCGAGGGAGTGGAAGGTTAGGGGACCGGCTATGGGACGTTCATCGCCGGGGTGGACTGTGAGGTTGATAGGTTAGTGACCTTTTCTGTCTATCTGGAAAAGGGTCCGGTAGAGGACTTACTTCGCATTTCCTCCAACGTGGTGTTGCAGAATAGGGAACCCATGATGGGCGATAGTCTGGCGCTGCCGTCGGCGCCAGTTGCAGTACTCTTCGTTTCTGATGGCCAAAAAGTCGTGGTTTAGAGGTAGAAATTGCTCGGTAGATTCGTAATATCGCAAGATAGTCGGATTTGTTGACCAGAGGAATTCAAATCGCAATCGTCTTGAATATCCTCCCAGAAAGGTCCGCTGAGTCCTTCTTCAAAGAATTCGTCCCATCAAACGTGTCGTATATCAGATGTTGCTCGCTTTATGCGTGTCAAGCTTGCCGGGCGCAATGTGACGATGTTCGTTGATGCCAAACTCCTGCACAATGTAGGTAAAAGCATGCGAGTAACGTTCCTCCCCTAACAAATCTCAACTCGTCCCGTCGAGTTCCTCCTTTGGAAAAGATCCAGCACTCAAATGAGCATCTGTGAATTGTGTGCGCAACTGTTGGGTGAAAAAAAGCGTGGAGGTGACGCACTACACCGCCGAATGGCGCAGCCGAAATTGAGCGTCGTCGGTTCGGAAGGGAGGGGCCGGAAAGTTCGTTGTTCGGCTCGCGCGAAAACAGACGCCTGAATACCTCAAAGGTAGCTGAAGAATCGGGCAGCGTTGAAAAGCTGGAATGTTTCGAATCACGTCGTCGTTCCGTTCTTCAACCGAGGCGGGAGAAGGTGAAGAGGAAAGGCAGTCGGGTCAAGAGAAGGATGGAAGGAACAAGTCAGGAACCGCTGCACATGACTTCTCCCTGTTTCGTCTCGTTCTTTCCGCTGCTTCTAGGTAAGGTAGTTGGCTTGGTAAAATCTCGTTTGTTTTCGCGGGGTGCTCCCGGAAGCCGGAAAGAGGCCGAAAAAACACAACCAACAATCGATAAGGGAAGTTGGAAGAGGAAATTCGAAGAAAAAAGAAAGAAAGGAGGAAACAAAACGGAGACTGTGAAAGTGTGAGGAAGTGCAAGAAGTGAGGTGGGAGTGGAAAGTGTGTTTTGTCATTCTCGACCTCCCGTCCCACTAAACCCTGCGCCCGCCTTAGGTACCTTATCTAGCACCGTTATAGCCGTGGAACGCGAATCCCATGGCTTCCATCCTTTGGACCCATCTTTCGACCTGCTAGTAATTAGACTAAAGTCTACCATACGCTGTGACATCCTTCCTCCACAACGAACGAACCCGCACGGGAACGTTCGGGAAGCTTTCCTCCTGCAGTGAGATGGAAGTTGGGATATTCAAGAAGCGCGCTTATCACTTCCACGTCAACCATGTCCAACCATCCCGACCACCGAACATCCTCATTCGCGGCCTTCTTTCTCACACCCAAACCTAAACCTCAGATGAAACCCGTGTCAAAAAAAAAAAAATGTCCATCCACCCTTTCCCGTCCTCTGGCCGGGCTGCATGCAACCCCACACTGCCACAGGGCAGAAGCCAAACAGAAAGAAGCTTCCACTTGGCTGCTTGGTTGATCAGAAACAACCGAAGTGGGAGTGGGTGTGAACCCGGACTGTCAACTGACACCCCTAACCCGCCCCTGTAAGGGTCCATCTTGGCCCCCAGGGCCCCTGAAATTCCCCTTGCTGATCCCTGTCCCGCGTCCCTGAATTGCATCGCCAAGAAAACGCCTCAACTGCACAAAGGGTCGGGTTTCCTGGTTGAGAGAACTTGAGGCTCTCTCGGCGTCAACTACATATGACAACGGGACATTCTATCGAAGTTTAGCCCGAGGTCTCCAACCAACAAACAAACAAACAAACCAGTTTTGGACTGTATAGTATCAGCCCGCAAGAGGAAATCAGATCAGACGCAATATGGATAAATCATTTTCATTATAGACTCTACTGAGTAACCATCTTCGCTTCACTTCCTCTGTATCAAGCAAACCCAAACCCGCTAGCCATTTGTGACTTCGCTGTTGTTCTGCATATCCTTGTGGACCTTAATTCAGCAAAAGCACCAGCAGCACTTGACTCACTCCAGACACAACGTCCGCCATGGCATCAACATCAATCTGATCCCTTAGTCTCTGGAATAGACTGATGAACCGGTGCCGATGTCGTTCACCACCTTCACCATCTTCACAACATTCACCACCTTCACGACCCTGACCACCCTCGTCATCCCAATCACCTCTCACATCTTGCCCTTCCCAGTCTCCATAGGAATCCTATCGCAGAGGATGCTCCGACTGAGAAGTCCGCTCATAAAGGTCCAAAACCGTACTAACCCTGTTCGAAGTCTCCCGTGGTGGTAGTGGCGGTGGCGTCCCAGCAGGAGATCCTGATGACTGCCCGGTCGTAGAATTACCAAAAGGTAGTCCGCCTTGAGACTGTTGACCCTCCCTTTGTCTGTGAAATAGCCATTTGGTGAGCCGGTGCGGGCGTCGTTCACGGCCCTGACCAACCCCAGCACGCCTACGGTCACGGCGTTCCTGGTATTTATTCAACGGCCGCCGAAAAAACCTCCGAGTCCTCTCCCGAGCCCTGCGACGCTGCTCCCGGTGTCTGATTCTTTCCTTCCGCTCACACTCTCGAAAATTAATTTCGATTTGGTCTCGCCTTATAGCTGCGTCTCTGTACTGTGCCTCCTTATCTCTCTGCTCGGCCTCCTTGACTCTCTTCTTGGCCTCTTCCAATCTCTTCTTGGCCTCCTCCAGTGACCGTAACGTCTCAGATCGAGTCAGTGATGACTGACTAGTTACCATTTCGTGGGTTAATATTATGGGACGTGCAGGTATTTGACGTGCTTGTTCTCGAAGTGGTTGGCCCTGTGTCGGCTTCGTCACTTCGTCGCTTGATGATTCTGAAAGCGGAAAGATTTCGCGTGGTGAGTTGAGCGTCGGCCTTGTTGGATCGACCCTTGGCAACCCGGATGACGAACTATCAACTTCTTTCCTTTCTTGCCGAGCAGATTGAGATAAAGCAGCCCGAGATGAACCGGCCCCAGTCCAACCATCCCAAGAATCAGCCTGAGATGAGCGAGCCTGAGAGCCCAAAACCTCTTGATCTGTGACCCGACGATTTGGCAACAACTTCTTGACGGCCCGCGGAGAAGTTGATTCACGCCTAGGGACAGGCCAAGGATCGTGAGGGTGCGGAGGATCGGGCAAGACCAGTTCTTCTTTTTTGTTGCGCAACTTGTCGAACGGCTTGCGGATCATTTTCTTGATTCTGTCCCTGATTGAACGTTTCTTTGCCCCCTCAGGTGGCGGCTGTTCGTTACCCTCCGGAGCTGGTTCTTCACTCAACTGACGTTCTGGTCTAGTTGGTGGATCTCTCAACCGATGTCTCCCCATTCCTGCCTCGAATTGAGCGGTGTTTGGAAACATAACTGGTGATAGACCGCCCCTGAGTCCGCAAACAGCTCCATTTCTTTCCTCTGAAAACTTCTCCAGCAAACTCTTCGAGGCCTTTGAACGTTTGACCAACACATCGCTGTCTACCGCTGATACCCTTTTACTACAAGAAGACGCCTGTCCGACAAAGAAAAATGTCTTTCCAGTTCCGCTGCAGACCTCTTGAGTGAAGCACTCATCCGAAGTTCCCATCCGATAATGTCTTCTTAACATCTTCCGAGCTGAAAGCCTCTTCTAGTAGCTGTAGCCTCCTTTTTTATCATGTCCCTCGTCTTCGTCGCCTTCCACCACCCCATCCAGGCCGCCGCCACCTTGGTCCCCCCCGCCCGAGAACCAACCGCCAAAGACAAGCTTGACCAACAGTCTGTCCACACCACCCACCCGTCTAGGCACATATTCTCCCGCCTCTTTGATCTTTCCCTTGCCAGCTTCTTCCGACCTCCACCCCCTCTTCCTTTTCCGACCAGCTTGGACCGTATCAGGGACGTCGTCGACAAGGAGATAATCATCGGCTCCGTCATCCTCTTCTTCCTCTCCCTCCTCGAGACCGCTCGCACGGCCAGAGGCATCTGATGACGAGAAAGGCGATGTTTCGATCCTCTTGAGCTCCTGTACGACTTCCATGATGCCGTTCTTAACTTTGTTGGCAACCGTTTGGAGTTGTGCAGCAAGGTCACGCTCCTCCTTTTTTCAGATCAACAAAGGCATCAACGACACCCACATCTTCCTCAAGATCGGTGGCTGCCCAGACTTGCTGTAAGCGATGCATTAACGCGACCAGGTGATCGATGTTGACGAGTAGTTCGTATAAAGGATCGGTAAAGGATTCGAGGGTAAGCAAAAGGCGTCTAAGTAAGGCGCGGAGGTAGACCCGATGAGCGGTAGCGAGGGTCTGGGGGTCACGGGGTTGGTGGTTAGGGTCATTAGAATTGGCAGGTGCAAGAGGAGGGTTGGCGGCGGTGTTAAGCCAAACATCGGACTCGTCGAGATCCCCCTCGGCATGAGACTCATCCTCATCCTCAATCATGTCAACGTCATCGTCGTCGTCATCATCGTCATAACCGCCCATGGAGACATCGCCATCCCAAGTCCTCTTTGAACCGAAGCTACGCTTGGATAGCCTCGAATCTCTCCCTCTTCTTCTGGTCAGACTTTTGCCGGTAGAAGCTCTGCTTCTCCTCCCATCAGTCCCATCCTTCTTCTTCTCATCAGAAGTCCTGTTGCAGCTGCCACCGTGCAGCCAGTCCTCAAAGCCCTCAGTCAGGCCCTCCACCACTTCGCCCTGAAAATATGCTTCCGTCTCGCCTAGGAAGAAAATGGCCGCGCTGGCGGTAGCCCACGCAGTGCGTAGTGTCTTCTCCCGCTTCCCAACTCGTTCTCTAAGCGCCTTGACACGCATTCTGCTCCTGCCTATGCGCGGAGGTGCCGGATGATGCCGTCTCAGACTAGTAATCTTCCACAGATCTGTCAACCGAAGATGTGCCCTGCGCAGCGATAAGAGATAGCTGTTGATAGCCGTGTATGTTTGGACATCTTGAGAACTGAGAAATAAGTCCAGTGGGGAGGGTATGTTCATTGTCAAGATGGTCGGGGCCGAGAACAGGAGGTTGCGGAACGGTGTCTTGGCAATCTTCAACGACCCGATTTCCTCAGCTACGGCGGCGGCTGTGGGCGTCATCGTTCTGGAAGAGTTGTCCGTGGCGGTCTTAGAGATGGTCAACCGGACATGATCCCTGGCAAGTTCCAACCCCTCGTCCTCCTCAGACTGAAATTCCCCTTGAAGAGCACCCATTGCTTGCCATACGCGGGTGAGCACGCCGGCCACTTCACCCTCCTTGACAACAACAATGCCGTGACTGCCACCCGCTGGAGCACCGCCACTATCGCGGGACTTTTCATAAGCAGACAAGTTTTCGGCTCGCCGCCATCGGCTGCGCATCTTCTCATCAGCTTGCTGGGTGAGTGCCATGGCAAATTCTCCGCGCCGAAGAAGGAAAAAGTCCCGAAGAAGCTGAAGATACTTCTCCACATCGCTGAGGGGGAGCAGTTGCGCCAGAGTGGTTCTTGAGAGGTATTGTCTGATCTCGGTAATGGTATTTGAAAAGGTTGCCGGGTCAATCGGATGCGAAATGGTCGAAAGCTTGGCAAGTTGCGTTGAGAGGTGATCCGTCCCCCTGAGACTGGAGTCCTCCACACTCTTGGCGCGGATCTGGCGCAATGACCTCCCGATGAAAAGCATAGAGGCTGCCGTAGATGGCGTCACGAACTTGGGAAGAAGCTCTTGCACACACAGGAACTGTTCTTCGCCATCATCATCCTCCTCCCTCCATACGAAGAAGTCATCAGCCCCGAAGTCTGGCAACCGCCCATACAACACCCACGCAGAGACTTGTTTCAGCCACGCTGTCTCGGCCACCTTGACCAGACTCTTGACCACTTCTTCAATATCTTTATATCCGGTCTGCATCAGCTCTCTCAGCCGGTTGATCACCATCGGGCCTGAATGCACTGGCGGCTCACGTCTCCTGGTCGACGAACTACTGTGCCCCTTGTGGGCAGGCCGATGAGTCAAGTCACGGGGTTGACTCCCTTCCCACTCCATCTGGTCGACATTCTCGGCATTCTCCTTCATCCCCTTCATCAACAGCTCTACAAAGCTCCATAGCCATTCCATGCGTCTGTTCCACTCGTCGAACTCGCCAACCACCGCCGTCAGCGGCACAATGTTGTAGGCGCCCACAAGTGCGGCATCCTTCTTTAGTATTGTCTCCTCCACTTGCAGCACCTTGCACTGAAAGGCAGCCAGGTGGTCATTCCGGATGGCGGTAGCGATAGCACGACATATTATGGAGGGGTGAGACGTGCTAATGCGAGCTGTATGAGAGAGCAGGTTGATGTGTAGTTGTGAAAGGCTGGCAAGCTTGGACAGGAGGGCGCGTTCGGGCGGGGTGAGGGCTGAGTTTAGCGGGGAGTCATTGGGGGTTGTGGAGGTGGCTGCGGCTTGTTGTAAGAGAGGTGAAGGGTGTCCTGAGAGGGACAGGAGAATTTCGTGGAGCATGGTGGCGGACTTGATGCTGATGTTGACTTTGACGTTAATGGTGGTGAGGGCGAGGCGGGTGGTGATGCTGAAAAGAGGGATGGCAGGGGTCTAAAGCGGTAGAGCGACAGCTGTTAGTATAAATGACGGTGAGATGTTGTTGATTGTAGAGGTACTACTCACGGTTTCTCAGCCAGGTACGGAGATTCGTCGTCGTCCTGCGACTGTGATTGCCGTCTGACAAAGGCTTGAAAGAGAAGTATGAGGGTCCCGAGGATCTCGAACCTGCAGCACATGAGGTGTGAGTGCCTGCGGCCTGAGCCAGTAGAATCGGCAGTCTATACTGCTGAACGTTGGTGCTGCAGCGGGGTGTCGATCATCCCAACTGTAGGGGCAGGGACGACAGCGTTGTCTTCACACTAAAAAGTCAAAGAGGTGCGTAAGTGGGGACAATGTGAAGTCAAGCGACAGTGAGAAGAGATCCAAAAATGGCAATCTCGAAGTTCGAAGAGATAAACGATGGTGAATGAATGCTCAGTATTAGAAGCTTGGTGGGGGCATTTTGTCTCCTTTCTGAACTGATTCAAGGTAAGTAGGGGATCAGAGCACTTTTGTACCCCGACCGACGGATTAACAGGTCGTGCCTGTTTGTCTGTAAGCTGTTGCCCGTGGAAGCCGCTGTTGACGTAGCAAGCGTAGACGGAAACCTCGATTGGACTGAGAGTTGGTCTAGGCCGATTTGCAGGGGGTCGCGATCCGAAGTCTGGACGCGTTGTTCGGTTGGAGAAACCAGAAACCACGAACAGGGGATGCCGCGGTCACATGACATCATGGCTCTTGAAGCTGCCCCGGTGATCCACTCATGGGAACCTTGAGGGGTAGATAAGAAGGATAGCTGCCGATAAGAATCCGATACTGGTTTCAATGTTTGTTAGCTCGAGACCTCTGGTCAACCTTCCTAGGCATTTACCCATTCTGATTGATCCCCTTCGTTCCATAACCAAAGCGTGATCATAGTTCAAATATGCCTTTCCAATCCGTAACTAGGCATTACATTTCGTCCTTGTGAGGTTTGGGACGGTTCTGGATAGATCCTGTCCTGCATACTAGAAGTACCAAGCTAATAGCAAGCCAGTCTTGAACTGTACGCTTCAACACAGAGTAGTCCATCGATGCAGTCGTCCAAACGTCTTTGAAATGAAGAAACAGGTATAACAGATGGTAGAAGGAAAGACCTAATCGAACATAACCGATGGTGCAACTATCCCTGCCTCATCAATCAACCCCATGTCTCAGACCTGCCGTTCATCCCAGCCGGCTGCTTTCCACTCCTAATGCCCCCCGGCGACCTCCTTCCGGCGCCGTTCATCGGATCGTGGTTCATTCCTCCCTCACCAGGACTCAACACTCCTCCATCACCTCCTCCGACCGTTACTACTCCTCCGTCTGCCGTCCGACCAACAACCATACCCTTCGCGACGCTCTTGAGAATCGCACGCCTCGAAACACCGGTAACATCAATATAGACTAGACCGACGTTTTTCACGCCACCACCAACGCTCCTCGATATCTCGCCAGCTTCCGGACCCCACTTGTGCGCAACCACCGTTGTCGCAGCCTCTGAAGTTGACGCAAGCAAGTGTCGGCCTGCCTGCTCCACGCCATCCATGACCGTCGAAAACGCCATGAAGCTCTTGTTCAGCAGTCCCGGTTTGTAGTTATCCATCGGCTGCCCATCCGGCCCGAAACCCCTGGTACCAGACTTTCTAGGCCCGCGACCGCCGAGGTTGGCGCCAAAATTCTGTGCAAACTTGCCAATCTGTCCTACAGTTTTGGCCGACAAAACAGCTGCGTTTCCGGTAAAGTGGCTGATACGGCGAATGTGTTCGCGGGTGGCTGGCTTGAATTTCATGGGTTCAGCAGCTGGTTGTGACCTTCTAGTGTAGTTATCGGCTTGGTTCTGCAGGAGCTTGGCAAGCATGTCGGAGCCGGTGATGATAAACCGCGAGGCGGCGGATGCATTCGAAACAAGAAAGGACTTCTTATAGGCAGGGTGAAGTTCGGCATCGAGTAATTCGGGCGAGGCGGGAGCAACGTTGATCCTTCCGTTGGGCGAAGTCGGGAGCGTAATCTCAACCGGGTCTGTTGGACATTAAAAGTTAGCCAAAAGCAATTTGGAGAGGATAGGACGTGGGATGAGAAAGCCAAGTACCGACCTTTTGATCCAGGTTTCAACATGCTATCTTCATGAACTTGGTAGCCCTCAGACAACTCGCCAATGACGCTACCGTCGTCCTCATCAATGAGCACGATTTGTCCTGGCGTGGGGTTGCTTCGGCTTCCCTGAGCATATGCCTCTCCAGGCCTATAGTCACCGGGGTTATATGCCGGCAAGTCCTCTGTTACCCCTCCCTTGGACCTTGGTGATGTGGTTGTGCCACCCTTTTCACCGCTGCTCTTGTTGGTCCTTTGGCTCATCGCCGGGGGTGGTGCGCGTTCAAGAAACGCAGTGCATTGCGCAAGGATCGTCTCAAAGGTGTCCACATCCTCCTGAATGCCCTTCCTGCTTTCGACCGAGGGGAACTCGATCCGTGTAAAAGCACCACTATCGGGTCCGAGATCCCATCTAGGAATCAGGTAGCTCGTAGGGGGTTGGTGGTAGATCTGAGTAGTCGCGGGAAGAGGAAGATCGAGCTCAGGCGGGAGGTGAAGGTGCAAGTAGAAGTCCTGCTCTGCGTTCTCTGTGCCGAGTGCCGGGTCCGCAAAGGCAGAGCTTGTTGGTACCATGAGCAAGGAGAGGGTTTGTGGCCCGGCGGGCGTTAAGGATTCCTCCTTGCCATTGGCAATGTGGTATGCTGATACGCCGTTGATGGCGTAGAGCAGCTTGGGGTCCTGTCGGGGGGTGGTCATGTTAGTTCCGGTTCAACGAGCGGACAGTGACTCGCGCCGTGAGGGTGGTTGTTTTGTGGTTGTTGGTGCTAGTGCTGTTGCTGTTGCTGGTCTGGCACTGATTTAAAGATGGCTGAATGATGGTCTTACGTTGTGACTCGATGCCATTCTCGAGTAGAACTGTAGGTCGTGTGGAAATCTGATTGCTTTTATTGCGTCGAGCTTGGAAAAGGTGACACGGGAACGGTTGGAGAAGTGTTGGATGGCTTGGAACAGGAAACGACGTAACCGTCTGTCGAGAGTCGGCGGGCAATGCGCTCGCTGCTTCCCTGGCCAGCTGATTGGTGCAGCTGCGGGGTACCCTGCTGTAAGTGTTAGGTATTATAGCACACCCTCCTGGTAATAACTCGTTCGATTGGCGGGCGCAAAGTCGTGATGCTCCGAGAAATGTCCAAGGGGAGTATGGGATGAATTACTTCTAGAACCACAAAGCGGCAGAGGTTTATGAGGTTTAAAAGAGATGGGATGAAATGCTCTAACTCCGGGATAGTATGAGTTCTTGAACAAGCGGGGCCAATGTTCTGTCCCGTGGGGATTTGAGTTCAAAATAGCAACAGCGTCACTTCTTTGCCCACCATCCTTCCGCGGTTCCTGGGCAAAGAGCTGGGGTTTGGTTGCCTCCAGGCGCTTACAGCTCTCTCCTGTGTGGAGCATGCAACAAGAGGCCTCTCGTGGATAAGCACTTGCGGCCGACGGGCCACTCCACTAACATCATTTTGCCTTTGTGCGTTTATGCCTTCCTGTTACCTACACTTTTGAAACTCTGTGGTTTTGCTCATTTGCCACGATAATAGAAGAAGGAAAGAACCCTTTGTGTGTGGCTCACATGTTGCCTGTTAATGCTGGCTGTGCATCGTCGAAAGGCAAATTGGAGGCATGTTGGGGACATCATGGACCGATGTCCCCGCGTTCCTTGGCATGGGCTACATGGGAAAGCTTATCGCCATTTGGGTCAGCGGATGGGGTTTGCCAAGCCTTCCGTCTGTTTGCCGTTGGACGTCGGCTGGAACTCAAAGTGCTTGTCACAGCCTTGTGTGGCTGTGGTTTACCTTGATGCTTACACCACTACCATTTATGTTGAAAGTGGCAAGAATGATGGAGATTGGGATCATGACTTATGGCTTTTGACTGCCCCTGGAGGATCAGAAATTTGACGAGTGTCCAGGTTGCCTGGCATTTCCACGAGAGTGCCCTGTCTCTCCAGTTGTCGTGCTCACTTCAGGATGCAGAGAGATCCAGGGTTAGGGTTGTCTCATGGCAACCTACAAGCCGCTTTTAAGCTCGATATGTAGTACTATGCCCAGTTGCAGCCTGAAACGCGAAATAAAGAAGGAAGCGGGAGAACGGAATCTCTTTTTTATGTCGTACAACCAGTTGTCTCGACAAGTGGTCCAAAGCCGGCCAAGAGTCGCTCTGTTTGCTGAGGAAACCACATCCTTTCTTCTCGTTATGAACCCCCAATGCACATCGTCCTGTTGTTGAAGTTGAAAGCCACTTACATGACTTGAAATACGCACTGGACCAAGTATACATTCGTTTTCACCATCCATATCATAGCTGGTCTGCTGATGGAACAGGTCTTTGTGGCTGATCTCTGTTCTCTAACAACTTACATAGAGGAGGTTGAATACGGTGCCGGGGTCCATGATACACGACACGCAGCCGCATTAGACCTGGTCGATCATCAATCAGCCGAGTAACGGCGTACGAGTCTCGGAAGCCGACCGCCAAAGAGTAACGAAAGAGCCACTACGACCGAGTGGCTGCAACAATTTCCGTCCCGACCGCTACCAAACAACCACACAGGGTAACCAGATTGTCCACCGTTCAACGGCTTTGAAAAGAGGCTGCCGAGACCCGGTGTGGTTACTCGCAGAAAAAGCCCAATTGTTGCGGTTCGTGATCCGGCAGCTCGAGGACCCTGATGGTCTGTGTCAGGGTGTTGGGAAAGCTGGAGTGAGGACGGGAGCCGCCCAACCCCCGAAAAGATTCAGGTAGGTAGGTAAGGTGGTCAGTATCGAATGCTGTACGCAATGACCCTGCCATGAAGCGGATGAGATCATAAGGATCTCCAGCACCAGACCGAAGAGGAGATGGGTGGCATCGGGTATTTCTGCAAGCCAGCGTTCCTTGACACTGTTCAGAGGGTGTGGCGCTCAGTGTCAGGTCTCCTGAACACCCGTCTTTTCTCCAGAGAAGGCATGACTGGTGACCCATGGTGGCGGGATTGGGTGTGGTATATATGTTGGGGGTCAAATACTGTGCACGCGGTAGACTCGTCTAACTTGGTGACCAGTAGCATACTTGACGAATTTTGACAGATACCGGAAGTGTATACGCAGTTTTAATAATTGTTGATGATTTGCGCGGGGGACTAGGCAAGTGATGGCCGGACGGAATCCTATTCAACGGTTCTGCAGTCAACATGGCCCTAAATGCTGGCTGTCACGCTGCAGGAATGGTTTTTTAGAGTCGAGTTAAGCCAGGCGGACCCGACAGGCAGCCGGGAGAATGTGAATATGAGTTATGAGCAGTTGAGAACCTCACTCACACATCCAATGCATGAAGAACGCGATGCCGAAAATTGTGGTCCGGGTGATGCCGTTCTGGCCCGGTCTTGAAGCCTCTTTCGCCCGGTTCTTTTCTTTTTCCTCATCACAAGAGTCAAAACGGTATTTGGATATGCAAACATTGTGAATGCTACCCAGCAGAGATGGCTACTTACGCTCGCGGGGAACGACGGTAGAGTCAACTCAGGATCAAAGCCCTCGAAGAGTGGAAAAATTCGTGATTGAGCTATGAGCGTTTCCAGAGAAAGTACTGTAAGAAGTATATAGAGGCAGTTAGGTTGCTATTTTGAGCCAGCAGCTCCTTTCTTGTGTTCAATAAGAGAGCAAATGAGAAATGAGAGGGAAGGTAAAGCAAGCTCAAGAAAGGAAACCGGCAAGAGTGAAACACTGCGTTGAGGAAACCGAGAACGAGGAGAAAGAAGCGCGGGAAGGAGCAAGGGTGGGCGTGGTTGTAACGAAGCTGAAGTTATCGGGGTAATCGGGAGAATCGGCCGTTATCGTGCTTATCGGGTGGAGATTTAGCGGGCTAGTGGAGATGCTGGCCTTATCCGATCCGAGGGCGGAGAGGGAAGGGTCCACTGGACTAACTGGACAAGGGTAATGAGGTCCAGGGCCCGCCGTTCGTGCCTGATCAACACTTCCCAGTCACTCAAGTGCCCCGACCAAGGTGTCCGTTTACGGTCTTATCCGTCATCACCAATGCCGCCCGGTCCGGTCTTTCATCTGAACTTTCCTCCGACATCACCTCCGAGGCCATCTTTCAACGTCCAGACTGTCAGCGAAGTATCACAACTTGGCTTTCATTCCAACTGCAGTCGGTATCATTTTCACTTTCAAGTTGATCACGACCTCGCCAGTCCATAGTACACATCTCCCCACGTACATGCACGGTACCCGGTGCATCATCACCTGTCACGGCAGGCCCTCGGCCAACAAGAATTCCAGTTGCGGAACCTTCAATTTTGTGTGCATCAGAAGAAACGCCAGCCGCCTTGGTCTACTTTAATGTATACACTCAAGTTCTTCAAGTCAACTGCTCGCTTGACCTGATCCTCTGTGTGGCCACCAGCTACCCGTGTACCTTGTCCCTTACCTTAATGGGTCAGCACACAACACCACCACCACCACCACCACCACCACCACCGTCAAAGGATATACTGCAGCTGTAAACTTCACAGTACGTTGCTTACGCAGGCCAAGGTACACGTTCTAACTTCTAACGCATCATCGGCCCCCCCCTCCCGCCTTCGACTTTGAACTTCCTTGTGCTTGGCTCCAATTGCAATAGCTACCTGGTATCATCGCGCTATTACATTGGCCTACAAGATACAGTCTTCTTCGTGCCAGTCCGTATCTCGCCTCGCATTTCAGTCCTTTTTTCACTTTGCTGTTTACGGTTTACGCGACAACGCTCAGGAGGTTGACGGCTAGTTGCATCCACGCTGGATGCTGTCATACATTGCGCAAACGCCCGCCTGCTTCTGTTCCCGTTGTTGCTCCCGTGCTCCGTCTGAGCCTTTGAGCTGGCCTACCTAGCCCAGTCTATCCAGACACCACCAGCTTACGAGGACGACCTTTTCCCCTGGGCCAGCCATCATCGCCGCCGCCGAGTCTACAACCATTGGCACCTTGACAACTCGCCTGCTGCTTATCCGAACCGTTACTACCAAGCCTTCTCATCCTGTCGTTCCGGACGCGAGCACCAACACTATCCTGCCGTGCCCGTTGTGTACTGCCCTGTCGTGTCGTGTCGTGTCATGCCCATACGCCTTCTGCCAAGCAACTCGACCTTTGATATTTGATTGCTCTATTAGCAAGCAAGACATCGACCCTCTCGCATTCGTTCCTGCATCAGGTCGCTACCGCCCCGCGCCTGCTTTAACCGGCGTCTGCATTGTGGAGTCGGCCCCGGCGACATCTTGCTTGCTTGCCGAGCTTGCCCGGCTTCTCTCCGCAGACTGCTCCTCGTTCGTGGGCTGTTCTGTGGGCATCTTGACTATCTTACTTCTGCTTTAGAGGGTCCCCTTGAGAGACCCAACCACCGGCACGATAGCGTCCCAACTTCGTATCCAGTCTATCCTCTCCCCTGCCGATCCACCGGACATTGATGAAACTTCGCCAACCGATTCTGCTCCAAAACGAAAGTATAAAGACGCCTTTGCCGTGCCGGTCTCCGGCGAACCGCCCTCCATACTTCCCGCCGAGTCGGCTATAGCACCCAGGTTTTATCCCCACGACCGGTTACCAAACATTCGCCAGCCGCTGCCTCATAGCTCACCGCTCGCTACCGGGGGTGGCGGGCTTCGCAGGCACGGCCAAACACCTGAGGATGCCAACAAGGTCTCGATGACCTCCGCGAGTATGGCGCCCACCCCCGAGAGCCCTGCGAGCCCTGGCAAGCCTGATCTGAAGAAGGGAGCCAAGCGCACCCCTTTGCGCTCAAGTATCGCCTGTCAACGCTGCCGAAAATCCAAAATCAAGTGCAACAACACGGGCGGTGATGCGCCTTGCGATACCTGCATTCGAAATGGCAAAGAATGCATCTACCCTGACGTGTTGCCCGCTCCCCCAAAGCGGGCCGAACCACCAGCTGGTGTGAAGTCGGAGCACGGTTCCGAGCGGAAGCGGCCGAGAAGAATTGATGATATTGCCAAGCTAGAAAGCGCTGTTCCGCCTGCCGCCTTTGCCGAAGAAGTTCTCACAGCTCCTTACCTTACCGAAAGTGTTTGGTCAGAGATATTTGATCTGTACAAACTTCACTTCGCCACCGAGCTGCCCTTCCTCCACTTGGCAACCCTCAAGGAGAAAATGGGAAACAGGTTCAGAGCCAAGCAGAGCGACATATCTCCAGAGATAAACCTCGTGCTTCTAGGAGTCTTGACCCTGACAGTACGCTTCAACCCCACGCTGGTGTCCTACGTCACAACACTCAGGACTGCTTCTACTGTATCGAGTGGTCCAAAGTCGCGCCAGCTGGGCGTCAGTAACGATGCCACGGCCGCCTCCGAGTTCTATGCCGATGTTCTCACAAAGGCTCTGGGTGGACTTAGAGCAAGCATGAACATGGCATCTGTTGAAAGGGTTCAGGCCTTCCTAATGCTAGGGTTGTACGAATGGGGGCAGGCGCGACCCAAGGTGGGCGGCATGGCGGCATGGATGTATGTCGGCATGGCCATTCGTATGGCTCAAGCTCTAGGTTTGGGCGACGGCGATAAAGAGGCCAGCAAGGCGTTCAGATCCAGACCTTTGGAGGGCTCCAAACTGTCCATGTCAAAATCGCAACTCATCATCGCCAAGGAAATCAGGCGTCGCACCATGTTTAGTTGTTTGATATTGGACCGTTTGTTGGGCTGTGGCAAGGGACGTGCATCGACAATACGCTCCGAGGACTTTCGGATCCAACTTCCCTGTTCTGAAATGTCGTTTGACCTATCCGAAGATGTCTATACCGGTTTTCTCAACCCTACGGCCCAAGAGATGGCGAGAGGCCCCATTTCTGACAGTGCCGATAGCGTCCTAAGTCGCTTCATCCGACTCGTTGATATTTGGGGCGAGATATCGAAATGGAGCTTTGCCGGTGGGCGCTTTACAGAACAACATGCTCCCTGGACCCGCGAAACAACATTCTTCCAGCTCCGGATGAAGCTCGAGACGTTCTATAGCGAACTACCCGAGCGGTTTTGCTGGTCGAGGAGCAACTATTACAAGCACGAGAACCACCATGCCAGCAGTGTCTACGTCTCGCTACACATGCTAGGTGCGGTGTGCAAAATCATGCTCCATCGCGAGTACATACCGTTCATTGCCATTCGATGCAAGAAGCCAGTTGGTCCTCTCGATGAGCCTACTTTTGCCGAGGGCGATGAGCCGCCGGGATTCTGGAACGAAAGCGCTGAAGAGATCTTCAAAGCCGCCAGAGACATTGTTGATCTTATCGATATTTCCCAACAGAAACTTCCCATGTCGACCCTCGTTTTGTTCGCAGTTTGGACAGCTGCCTTTGTCGGCATATATGCTGTTTACTTTCCGCACATCGATGCTGAACGCCACATGCTTACACCAGCGGAGGAGGATTCGAGGATCGAATTGGAAGAGATCAAGAAGGGGCCGACGGACTTGACGTACAAGACACTACAGCAAATGGGCAAATGGCTCAAGATGGCGGACACATACGTGCAATACTTTCACGATATGGTACGGTACTACGACACGGTAAAAAAGGACTACGAAACTGCAGCAAGGACAGCGGGCGGACCAGCCGGTGAGGCTAAAATCAACGTTCGCCTTCTTGGTGGCGGCTTAGAGGAGTGGAAACACCAAGGACTGAAGGTCGTCAACAATGGCGAAATCCTGGCGGTTGATGATGACCGACACTCTCGTGATAGCACGCTCGAACCAAGATCCAGGCAACAAGACAGCCATCATACGGACCACGCCAAAACCCCAAGGTCAACTTCACTCTCCTTCACGCCTATCAACACGACACATCACCACCACCAGCACCATCCGTCGGTGGATTCATCCCAAACGCCTGATGGTGAAAACATCTCTTGGCACCACCCACAATACCAGCGTCCCGTCACCGGCGGCATCCCCAGCACCAGCAGTCAACACCAGTCCCCGTCCCAATCATCCTTCGCAGCCCCAAGTCCGCAGTTGGGGATTATCAAGCAAGCATTAGGTCCGCCACCGCCACCACCGGGGCCTGCTGTCTCAGGCTCCGGTGCAGGAGCCTCGATATCAACATTGCCCAACATACCGATGTATAACTCTTCAAACGAGGTGATGCAGTATATCCAGGAAAACCAGAGTATACCCTGGAATCAGTTACCAGGCGGCGTCGACCACTTCGCGCACGGGACCGATAATTTCTGTTTTAGTGAGACGGGCAATGGGTTTTGGGGGTCGATGCCGGATGTCGTAGCTGCACATGATTATGTGCCGCAACCGATCGTTGGGGTGGGCGGAGAGCAGGGAGCTGGGTGGAGTGGGTGTATGTGAGGAAGCAAAAAAAAACAAAGGCTGAGTCTGTGGTGCTGTTCATTTCTCTCATCGTTGTCAGGCCCTGATATGGGTCAAGTTTGCATGTTGTTGGCATCCATTGCAGTGTCTTTCATGGTCTTTGTTTTTCATCTTGTTGGAGCTGGGCGATTAACGATATCCTACATGTGGGCCCGGTGTTAGGTGGTCACCTTGAACCATATACGGCATGTTTTTTGTCCTTATTTTTGTGCTAGTTGTGTATGTGTTTCGATAATCATGTTGAACTTGGACGATGGTACGATGGGGTCTTTCTGGGACCAGTCTTAAAAGGGACGACAATATAAGATATCTTGACGCATTTTCCACCCGGGGTAACTGCGATGCTGGCCTTTTACGTCTACTTCTCCTTCGGTTGCCGAATATACCGATAACGTTAGATGCTAATGCGCATTTGGTGTAAGATGGAGTAATCGAAAGGCATGAACGAAGGGACCGGCCAGCCAAGCCTCCAAGGCAAGCGAAAACAAAGGTCCGGAGATGCTGTGTTTAGATTATACAAATTTGGTCGTTCCCTGGGCAAGCAGCGTTACCAACTCGGACAATCTGAAAAGGCCATAGAGTTGCAGGTCGCCTGGGCCGGCCGTCCACCAGCAAGTCTTCTATAACCTCTGCAAGTGTCATCCTCTTCCCCGTGCTATCGATCAACACCACCCCCTTTACCCCCAAGGCCGGAACTTCAGCAGCGTCTCTTCCACCTCGTCCCACACCAGGGTCAGCACTAACAGGTCTATGTCGTGAGGACAGACTATCTCCGCCTCCACCAACATTTTAACTCCCTCCTCTCCAAGGCCCAGTAGGGCATCTTCTCGTAGTATCCGGATCCTTTTGCACCGTGCACAGGGTCGGTTAGGTAGTTGCGGGCTTCTTGGCAGGCATGGAGCGCTGCTGGGGCGGGAGTGGACGTGAGAAGGAGCTTCGTGGACAGCTTCAAGTCCGAGTAGTGCATGGCAATGTCTCTTTTAGGTAGCTGTCTGACCTGTCCGACGTGGATGTTGATGACGCGTGGTGAGTAGACCGCCATTTCCCAGATGAATATGCGGAGCTCGTAGGGGAGGCGGGGGAAGAAGTGGAAGGTGGTGGTGGTCTCGCTAGAGCTGGAGCTGAAGCTAGGAAGAGCCATGATTATATGTTGCTGAATGGAGCTTGGAGGTTGTTTGAAAGACTCAATGAGTTGATGAGATTTCGAGGAAGGAAACAGAAAGATACGGTAGCAGAGATCGAGAATACTTGACTAGGTACAGCGGCTCAAGTCATACGTTCATGTTTAAAGACGGAACCTGGCGAATGGAAAAAAAACTTCCCGACATCATACGATACTTATTTGTGTATGCCTGTTTGTGTACATGCACGCAACGGTTCATGAGTCGAAGCGATGTAAAGCAAAAAAAATTGGGGATAGGTACCCAAAGATGTCCAAGAAGTGTTCGACTCTGATCAAGACAAACACCGCCGCATCCCATCGTCCCCAGCCGGGATCGCAATAAGCCATCGGCTTAATTTGGGGATTGACCCTCGTGGAAAGTCTTGTGCTCTAGGAACCTAAGGTATCTGTTGCCAGTCATCCTCGTTTCCGTGGCTTCCTTCGTAGAAGATGCGCCTTCTTTCCTTTCGTGTGAGGTGTGGGGTGCAGGTGGCCGGACAGGCAGGCACACCCGACCCGACTGCAGCTGACTGCCGTCGGTCCTGACATCATCAACATGAGTGGACACTGTTCCTTACCGATCCAAAGAATCATTGCAGTGCGAGACGGAATGCATATAAACACCTGAAAATTTGAATTGAAACATTGGCGTTTTTTCGGGTTGGGGTATCTTCTCATAAAGAAACTGAACGGGGTATCTTCCTATTGCCAGCCAGCCAGCCAGCCTATCGATAGCCTCTCTGAAAAGTAGGCATCGCCTTCTTCAAAATCGGAACGTCATCATCCGTCCTGCTTGTGCTCCTGACCACGCCAAAGGGCGTCGACGTCGTCTGCAAGTGCATTCGTTGCGTCCCATTTCCCCCGTAGCTCCCGTAACCTCCGTGACCTTCGTGACCTCCGTGACCTCCATGCCCAAGCCCATGTCCATTCCCATTCCCGGTCTCAAGATCAACCTCACTACCAGGGCCGGGACTAGCGGTGGGACTCGGGGTCGCGCTATGTATAAAGTTCGTGTACTGCCCGGTCCGATACTCGTGTCCATTGATGGTCGTCAATGTCTGCGCACCCTTAAAGTCGTCGCCAGCAGTGTTGTTAGCAGGGCCGAGGCTGCTTCTCTTGACGCCAACCTGGATGGTTGACAAGACCACCGGTGGCGCCATCGTTTTGCCTTCGCTTATTGATTTTTGTCTCTGCCGTGCCTTCCTGTTCGCGACCATGTCCTGTAATGGCTTTGGTGCAAATTTGGTCCAGAGGTAGTCCCGAAAAGTCCGCGTTGTTCCGAAGACGATGAAGATGAGGAGACTGGCTGACACGCCGGGAACGAAGAGGGCAAAGTCGTCTTGGGCCCGGGCAGCACTGAGGTCGGGTTCGGGTGGGATATTTTCCTTGGTGTTGGTGTTGGTGGCGCGAAGTTGGAAGAAGATGACGACTAGTTCGAAGAGTCTGTGAATGTTGGAGATAAAGTGTTAACTTGGGACAGGATACTGGCGATAAACAAAAGGATTGGGTTAGAGACATACCCTAGCGCCACAAATGCGACAGTGAAGCGCACAGCAAGCCAACTGTCGTAGATGTTTCTGCGAGGTATGGTGGGTCTAGGACCAGAGGGCATGCTCCCATTACCCGAGTAGGGGTTGGTAGTCTGTGTCGAATTTTGGCCATAGCGAACATTCCACGACATCAGGACAGCCCTTGAGTGGATGTACTTGATGAGTATAGCGAGCAGAAGCAAGCTACCGATGGCAAAGCTTACTATCACTGTAGGGAAAAGGCATATTAGTACGGGCATATTGTTTCGGAGGACATCTGGAGCCGCGTACTGATAAAGTCGGCCAATACCATGTAGCCCAAGACACTGTTCTGAACAACATCGAGACGGAGGAGGTTCATCTGGACGACAGGCAGGAATATGGCGCTGGCCTTTGCCCACAAACTCCCCCTTAGGCGGTTGAGCTTGGAACTCCGAAGCTGGAGGATAGAGTTTGCCAATTCAACGGACCTGGTCTAGTCAGTCTCGTGATTCTCGATCACTTATGTCGAACGGACTCACCAGAAAACCACCAACATGGCATCCACATTGTATGAGTAGTACTCTGTTGCTGGTCAGAAACATGATGGGAAATGTTTTCAAAGAGAAGTAGACATACGGATATAAAAGAGAACGAGGTCCAAGCCTGTAGAAGCGCCGGTGACGTTTAACTCGGGCCTTCCAACGTTCGCTACCACGTTTTCATACTGCGATGTCTTGACATCGTTCCAATTGACTATGGTGTTGAATTGTTGCACAATGGATGCCAGTGTGCCCAACGACATGGAAAATGAGAGCATGGCCACATCTTGGTTATGTTAGAGGGAGTACTGCAGTGTGGTGAGAAGGGCAGAAGAATCACGACTTACAGCTTTTCCGCTCATGGTGAACCCACACCAGCCATAACAGAAGCAGGCTCAAAGACAGACAAAAGAAGCTGTAGACGAGCACACCAGCGGCAGGGCCGATGGCCTCGGAGGGGAGCTGGACGGCCATCTCATGGCACTGGGGTAGAGTTGTACATTTTACAATAAGATCTGAATCATGTAACTGGGGAAGCGCGATGTGCGAGACGGGGTGTTTAAAACGGCTTCCTGGTGGGCGAGACATAGGCCGAGAGTCCCCACAAGCTCAAGCTGGGTAGGATCTCGCCTCTGAAGCTAGTCTGATGCTACTCTGGCCCTGTTGACACAGACACACGACAGTAAGCATGGTGACCGATGTGGTGAAAGATGTAGCGCTTGATGTGAAAAAGTCTGGGGATGATGCATCCGATGGCGTCTGGGCCGTCCAAGCGCTCGCTTGGCACGACAGGTGATGTCGGTTAGAGAGTCCGAAGTCTGTCAAGTCGGCAGAGCCGGAGGAAGCCATGAGGAACTAGAGTAGGCTGAATGGTTCTAAGGGGTTTAGTTAATAGACGGTTTCAATCTGGCACTCGCTTGGGCGAAACCGATGCGGGCGAAGAACCTGCATAGCCTGTCCCATTCCATCTCTGGAGAAGATGTGTGCCTGTGTCGTCCATGGGGGGTTCGGAAGAGGCCAAATGAGACCCGATGGAACATGGGCATGTTACCCCCGTTGCTTCTAGCTTCAAAATAGTGAAGCATGCCCGACCCTCCCCGATGCCTTGCAGTGCCCTCTTTCATATGAAGTGTTGGAAAGTATAAGGTGAAACGGTGTCAAGCTCTTACTTGGCACCCACTCCAGCAGGATAACCGAACAACTCGCCGAAGCTAGCGGAGTGGCAGCATCTCGAGACATTTCAAGATTGACATTTCGCATTCTGGATTCCTAGCGAGAAGGATCCCATCCCGCTGCTGATTTCAGACCTCTGCAGGAACTGGGAGAGATCCAAAACGGGCGATCAACTCTGAGGCCATGGGTCGTCGAGTGCTGGGCGACTTGGCTTCCACCAGGATCATGACCGTCGACCAAACAGTGAGCCAGTCTGAGGGGTTCGACCGTTCGCTACCCAGCAAAAGAAAGGACCGTTTCCTTCGTATTGCATTGCAAGGACGCTATTGGCGACGATTGGGTAATGGTACTCTGCAACAGGACCTGGAGTTGGGTCACCTATTTCTTTCAATAGCGCAGCCGGGATTCCACGTGGAGACTTGGAACAAAAAGGGGCAAGGTGAACTCGAGGTCAAAGCGCAAAAGTCTGATCATGATAAGCTCTCGGTGTTGAGGATTGCATTGTGGCTTGCATAAAAGGAAGAAGAGAAGGATGTCGAAGGGAAGCTGCAGAGGCCAGACAACTGTTCTTGGCCTCTTGAACTGGTGAGGATCTCCTTCTAAAGGCGGAAGGCAAAACCTGAGACGACCACGATGAAAGGATCGCTCTTCCCCCAGCACCACCACCTTTGGCCGTCGCCTTCCTTTCCAACTCGGCATGCGCGCTCCGAGTGTCGTGACAGAGCCATTTGTAACCGGCAGGACGGAGAACCTCCCGTCAAGCATGCGAAGGAACCTGGGGCGGAGTTGAGTTCTAGGAGGTGCACGGCCCCACAGCGTAGGGCACCCTCGTCCCCACTCACACCACCCACTGAATGTCAGGGACCAGGCCGCTGGATGGCGTGAGCTTCGGCCCTAACTGCAGTGGACCTTTCTGGCTGCTGGGGCTAACCCCACCTGCCGTCTCCAAACCTCCCCGCAATCAATTCGTTCACCTGAGTGGGCAGCACCGAACAAGCTTCATCGAGGTATCATTCCCGCTTTCACGACGCGATCAACACGCGTTCCCGTCAACCTTTTGAATCGGTACCAACCCAGCAATATCGAATAACTTATCCATTTCGGATTTCGGGTTCAAGCTTTATTGATATCCGTGCTCATCATACACGACCACATCACCAGCCCCGCCACCACCCTATCACCACATCCAGCACCATGGAGGACGAATGGGAACCACCAGTACCAGCAGGGTACAACGATACCAACCGTGCCTTCCTCCAAGCCTTCATGGCACGAGGTACTCTTACCTTTTCCGAGGGACAGAAGCTTGTGGCTGCCATTCTCGCAGCTGCCAGAGGCGAGTCCGTGGACCCAGAGTCCATCACCCAGGAAGCGTTCGCAAACTATGTCCGCACCGCCCGCGAGGCTGTCGAGCCTCTAGACTACGATATTCGCAGCTCTCGGGACCAGCTCCGCAATGGGGAACGCATCTGGGCCTTCATCAACGCACACAGCGACCCCCCTACCCAGATGGCCACCACCCACACGCCAGATGAGGTAGCCTACATCAAGCGTCTGATGGACCTTATGTTCGATGAGTACAACACCGTGCGAATGGAGGTTATGGCCGTCGACGAGGGACAAGCCCTCAAAGCGTCCCGTCCCCGCAAGCCGCGCGAGAGTCAACATTTGAACGGCGAAGACGAGGAAGACCAACCGGCAACCGCCGCGTCCGACCGTGGTCTAAAGCACTCCGAGGTTTTGACCCTCCTCTCCAGCCTCGCGGCCGAAGGCTGGCTGGAGAAGAGCCGTGCTGGGTTTTACAGCCTCAGCCCGCGCTCGCTGATCGAGATGTGGAGCTGGCTGGTTGCTACTTACAACGATGATTCCGAGTCGGCTAAGGATTGGCAGCGAATCAAGTTTTGTGAGTCGTGTAAGGAGATCGTCACGTACGGCCAGCGCTGCTCAGAGATGGACTGCACCGTTCGGCTGCACGACATCTGCCAAGACCGCTACTGGCGCACGAGGAGGGGAGAGAAGAAGTGTCCCAAGTGCGAGACAGAGTGGACTGGGAATCACTTCGTCGGCGAGCGAGCTATTACCTCGCGCCAAGGTTATCAGAGGGGTAAGGGCCGTGCTAATGGCAGTGGCAGTGGAAACAGCCGACGGAGCGATTTGGAGGACGCAGTTGCCGCTCAGCAAGAGGCTGCCGACGAAGATGAGGACATGGAGGAGGCTTGAGGATTTGCTGTTGCATAGTCTGTGGCTCAGCAGTGGTCCAGCGGTGTTGTCATAACACTTGGCTCTTTCCGAATCTCTTCAAAACATCGGGCGCCAATCCAGCACAGACGACATTCATCGACTGGCAACAATGGTTGGGTTTGCACACGAAATACCCATGATATGCGAGACTCGTGCCTTTTGCGCCTCAGCTCCGCGAAATACGGAAGTGTTATACATCCACGAGCGTTCCTGGAAGACGGAAGACGTTTTGGCTTTCGTTACGGGCATACACTCACCTTACCCTTTCAGCACAAAGGGCCGGCGATCCTGGCATCCCCTGGCGGATCCATCCACACACCCGGCACAGCACAACCGTCCGCTTTGGTCTCATCCTTCCGTCCTCCGTGTTGCGATTTCGGCGAAGATCTGCCTATTCCCTGTTACTATCAGTCACTTTCAAAGCGACTAGCAGTTATCAGGTATCGACAACATGGCACCTTGACATCTAGCCAAGTACCGTTGCTGTGGTACACAAGGGCAAGACAGCCAAAGCCTCAACTGCTACCAAGGTGGAAAAAGGGCAGCTGCCAGGCATCATGTGTGGTATGGAGAGTTATTGTGAACATAAGGTGTCGGAAGGGATGGATTGTCAGATGTCGGCCTCGAGGTTATCGAGATCGAAGTGGCCAACGGCTGTGGTGGAAGGAATTCGATCGCTTGAGCGTCTGGTTTGAGTCTTTGTTTTACTACTCTTTGGCCAGGAGAGAACAGCATGGCAAGTACATGTTAGATTCGAATCCCCAAGCGAACAATCTTCTTGGACTACTGATATGCTTTATATACGATACTCGGCTAGGAAAGCCAAAATAGGTCGTTGATCATCTAGCCTGGAAAAGGTTTGGGAAAGTGGATGATACACAGGGAGGGACATAAGATGTGTCAAATTACCGCCGGCGGGTGCTCTTACTAGGCAAAGGGGTCAGCAAAAAGGGGGACATGGCCTGCTAAGATATACAAGTATAGCTCGGTTAGTCATCTGGGTCAACTTCGCAAACTCATGGATGGCGTTTTCTTGGTATTTGGTAGAAATGTCAACGATGCCGCCAACGATACCCAGTACGATATGTCAATTTACTTCTCTTGCGTTTGTTGGCCTGCTTGATTTCTCATGTGAGTGGTGAGTATATTATCATTATCCTCAGTGCTTATGATGCCATTCAAAGGACTAACAGACATTCATCCGGGACTTTGAGATCCCCAAGCCGCCTACCAATTTTATCACATGGATATTTCTCCCAGAACTTCATCCGATGCGAACCTGACTCTGTTGAAGCTCCCTTTGCTGAATTTCGATATCGGGCAGATGTGTAAATGCAAAAAGACGCTATATGGAATCCCTCAGAACCCGAGACATCGCGGAATCGTGTTGTGGTTCCTACCCCAAGCGAAAGAGAAGTCGCAATGTGTATACAGGTAACTGGAAGGTACGCCCCTTGAATTCGTGGAAAGATGCCGCGCATCACACCGCAAGGGAAGGAGCGCGTTCCCCAATCAAGCCGATGGATGATTGTGAGCCTGGTTAGGGACGACGGGATGTGTGTCATGACCGTCAGGCATTCGGAGAAATTCTCTCTTCACCAACATCCAGCACTTATATCCCACCCTTGGGGTGTTGTTACTTGTTTGCGATACCAAAACAAAGGTGAAATCGGGCCGTTTGTCCACAATCAGACTGGCAGCTGGGTTCTACCCTCCTTTCTACTGCTTCTTTCCATTTATATCCAATTTCCCTTCTTCTCTTATCACCAGCTTACTCCTCAGAGGTATTGGTTCCTTCACCCTTTCCTCAGCTGCCGAACAACACAAAGATGACCACGTCTACCTCGGCGTCTACCTCTAATGACACCTTCCACCTGTTCCCCTACCTCCCCTGGGAGCTCCGCGCCTGCATCTGGCAACTGACTGTCTCGCCACGCACCATACCCCTCAAGACCGCACACCACTCCCTCCCACCATGCGCATTCTCCGTCGACATCAGACGCCGCCTTAACGGGTACTACGACAGGTTCCCGGAACGGTCAATATCCATAAGGCTACTTCACACATCTAGTCCCATCTCAGCAGCGCTCCATGCCTGTCAAGAAGCCCGCAATTACCTAACTCATCCCGCATGCGGCGCGAACGGGTACGGATACTACGAGAAGATGTCCTCATCCAACCTCGCGAACAGGCAGCAACTGTGGTTATGGGAAGAGAAGATCCCTTCCCCCTACATCTGGGTGAACTTTGAGGTCGACATGATCGATATAGGCGTTACACGTTTTGGTCTATCTGGAGAGTCAACCTACGCTTCCAAGTTCAGAAGGGTTAAGTTTAAACCCATGGGGGCGTTTGCGGCGTTTGAGTGTCTGACGCCGGATCCTTGGCTGGGTGAGTACACTAGCCATACGAGCTTCCCGCATGTGAAGGAAGCGGAGGTAGAGTTACCTAGACATGCCTCTATCGCCGAATGGGCCGATTATCTGCCATGGGATCAGGTGGAAGACTTATTTTGCGGATTGAAGGATATTGTCTTTACAGATCCCTCAGGGAAGAGGATGACACTTGCGGAGATCATTAAGACATTTCCAGAGGGTCGCCCACCCGGGTATGCTCTTGAGAACTAATTAGTGAAATGCGCCGTTGCGTATGGTATGAAGATGGAGCCTCTTCTTGTAAGTTCAGAACATGATGGATTGATTCTGACGCGAAAGCTATTCAGCCATGATCTTGCAGCTGACAGCGTGTGGCACTATCCGGTCGGACAGCCGCGCAACTTGAATCATCCAAAGGAGTCACTCTTTCTGTGCTACATTCGAGCTATCGCTTCAACTTCTTTTAGCATCAAGCACGTTTACCACATCTTTCGAATGTCATCGCAAATCGTTGAATTACAGCAATAATAATGAGCTGGTGCGTCATGCCCACGATTATCTCGGACTCTAGTCGTATATGCACGAACTATCAAATAGGTCAACCAAAGACTGGGTCGCCTACAAATTAGCAATGGTTTGGTGGTTGTTAGTTCAGTTCTTGGAACCTGGCTTAAGCAGGGGGTCTGAATTTGGTGGCTTCTTTAGAGCTTAAATTAGTCGTCGTTTGAAACGAATAACAACAACTATGACTAATACACCACGAGGCCTCTTTGATTCATCTGACCACCCATTCTCTCCGTGATCCTTACGACTAGGAGATATATGTCTCTGAAGACTCCAACTCCAACAATAACGAAAACATGACCCCCTCTTGCTCCAGTTACAACTCCAGCAACACCACCTTCCACCCGTTCCCCCGCCTCCCCTGGGAACTCCGCGCCCGGATCTGGGAAATGTCCATCTTGCCACGCGTCGTTGAAATCCACGTCAGAAATATCGACATTTCCAAAAGAGAACATGTCACATACTGGGCTTGGCCGCTGCGCTCGAAGCTCCTGTTATCGTCCACCCCCGTCCCGGGAGCGCTCCATGCCTGCCGAGAAGCCCGCGACCATCTAACCCACCCTTTGACTGCGTGCGGCGCAGATGGAAGAAACGCATACTACGAACTGATGTCGTACTCCGCCATGATGAACGTACAACAACAGTGGTCATGGCAAGATGCAGTCCCCGGCCCTTACGTCTGGGTGAACTTCGAAATCGACATGATCAACATAGGCTCGCAACGGTTGAGTCTTCCTCCTATAAGTTGCGGGCGCAAGGTTAAGCGGGTCAAGTACATATCCCCGGGCTCTTCGGTCGGCCAGGCTTTTGACGTCGTGCTGCCAGGGGAGTATGTCTTCCCGGGCGTGAAGGAGGCGGAAATAGAATGCTTTCATGATGTAACTTGGTTGGGAAATTTTTCACATCTGTCGACCCGCTTGGTTTGCGGGGTGGAGGGTGTGGTGTGTATAGATTCTGTGGGAGGTAAAGGTAGAATGACTCTTGCAGAGGTCTTGCGGGAGTGACAGGAGAGGAGGGGGGAGGAATACAGGAACAGACCTCGTGTTGATCTGTCTTGGTTGCATTTTCCTCCGTATATCTAGATGAAGTTTCCAAGCAAGGCTGCCTGCCCAACGCCACACTCACGTTGGATACCGCGAAGCTAGCCTGCCTCCCGTCCCCCTTCTTCTAGAAGCGGCCCGGCGGCGGCACGCTGTGCGCCTCCTCACCTTAGATCCTGCCCACCCGCTCGTCCCGCGTCTTTCGGAACCCCGAATGACGCCGCGTGGCCTGCCTCGCCGCCCTACAACTCTACAGACGGCTGCACAGCTCGCCTTGCCTTTCCCGCGGCCGGTTCTACAGCCGCCCGTCTATAACGGAGACACTCACAAAGATCCAGCGCCCACGTCTAAGGACAGGGCTGCCAAGGATTTCAAAGAATGGCTTCTCCAACTAGATCCCTCGGAGATTGTCGTTTACACCGACGGCTCTATGATAGCTAAGCAGATGGGCCTCCCAGCGCACGCGGAGGACCCCGACGCCGAAGAAAGACCAGAGGGCGAGTGCGTAGGCTTTGGTTACGTAATCTTCCAAGGACAGACAGAACTCGGCCGCGGATGCGGTCAGTTAGAACAAGCGGAAGTTTTCGATGCGGAGGCGGAAGGGGCGCGGCATGGTCACAAGGCCGCTGTGGCGCTCTTACCGGAGGCACAGGCCCGGCCACGCATTACGATATGCCTTGATAACACGTCCGTCATTAGAGGACTCCGAGAAACCCCAGCTGCGTCGTCACAAGCGGCTTTCCTCGATTTCCGCGCAATCCGAAAGAGCTATGGCCCCAGTCTGGTGGACTTCCGCTGGGTTCCTGGCCACAAGGGCATCACGGGCAACGAGATTGCTGACGAGCTCGCGAAGGCGGGCGCCGAAGGAGGAGAGGTAGTCAATGAAGGCTTGACTACCCTTGCGCACTCAAGGCGGCTTGCTAAGAGGGAGGCACGTACGGATTTCAAGGCATGGTGGGCCACGAACAAGCCAGAGTCTTACGCAGATTACCGGCTGGGGGCTTCTATCAAGCCTAACGACGAATTAAAAGAGTTGGATAGACGGTCTTTACACCACCTCCTCGCGGCCAGGTCTGGCCACGGTGATTTCAAGGACTACCACGAGCGCTTCGAGCACGAGGACGCCCTGTTAACATGCTATTGTGGCAGCTGGAAGACCCCCTTCCACCCTTTCCACTGCAGGAAGGCATATGCGGTTTTCCTGGTCACAGGCGAAGCGGCTATGCGGGAGAATCTCTCCCTTACTATTGGAATTTACTGGCAGCGCTTCATCGCTAGGATCCAGGCCTCGCACTTCTTTTCATGGACTTGCACGAGAAAGGCATGGCGCCAGACACTCTGGCAACAGCACACTGACGGCGGTGGCGCCGCTGACAACCTTACAGGGTTTCTACGGGGTAGAGGGGTGGAGGTTGGCCATGGCCACGACATTGAGAGGGTTACGGTGGACTTGGACAGGCTAGTTCACCGTGCAAGGAGACGGGAGGAGGCCTTGCGGGAGGAGGAGAGCGAGAGCGAGAGTGAGAGCGAGAGCGGAGAGGACTGATTTTATCCTTTCTTTTATCTTTTCCTTTGTTCTACAGGTCCCGCCATATACTGGCAGCACGCTTACTGGGCGATTCGATTATAAGTGTTGGGCCGCGTTTACGCTATGGGCAACACGTGATTTACACTGGCAATAGGCCTCGGTTTGCCCTCAGATTAAAAGGGTTTGGTGGTCAGTTAGGGCACTGCTCCTATTTTTGTATGCTAGACTCACCGATGCGGCACGTCTCATGCCCTACGGGAGGCGGAAGTAGACGTTAAAAATAACAACAACAACAACAACAACAACAAAAAGCTCCTTCCGTAACTAAGGTATTGTTCTTTCCATCCGAAAGCAACAAGAATACCGCCAAGGTATCAGGATGACATAACACTTCATCTCCTCAACGCGCGTGGTCGGCTGCAGCGACGTCCTAAGGACGCGACGAAACGAAACGCGTCCCCTTGATCAGATGTATCCGTCAATCTTTCCATCGAATGTTTTGAGTCACCCTGGCGAAGGAGGAGAGCTCCAGAGCCTCCCGCAGGAGTTCGCGCATCAACTCTCGGAGTGAACTCTCGTGCTAACTCCCAGGAGTGATTCCGCAGTAATCGTGTCCACAGGCCATTCAAGTATGCCAAAGGCTTACCACCTTTGTCAAACAACCCAGCATCATACTCCCAGTCACTGCTTTACTTGTGCTCGTCCAAAACCACAGTAATACAAGGCATCTTGTCCTTCTTTCACTTCCGTTCCAAGCAAGTTGTAGGCCGCTAACTCGTGTGGAAGAAGGCATCAGCTCAAACCATCCCAGCAGGAGATATCTCCTCATCACAGCACGACTCGGCATCCAGCGATGAGTACCAGAAACCTCAGGTGTGATTCAAGTGCAAGAAAAGCTTGAGCATGAAGATATTGAGCACAGAGTCTGGAGATGTTGATAGGTAGAAACCTGGTCAAGGCAGCATTAGCAAAGTTCTAGTGCGAGCAGAAGAGATAAATGTCAGGATTGTTTCTACCTGACCATGATCTGAAGATTAAGTGATGCCCCATGGCTCACTTTTCGTTTAAGTTCCATATCATCCAACCATTCTCAAAAGTAGCGCCTACCACTTGTTCACCGTACCTCTATTACAAACGCTCAGGTATCTGCGCTTGTATCTAATGACTTTTCCAAGAACCTTGCTTAGAATGGAGTCACCCGGTTTAAGTGTGGTTGTCAAAAGCAGAGACAGGATTTGAACAGTCACCGAAAAAACGTCCTAGACAACCCAATTATCCGCATTGAACCTTGGAAGTCTACCGCAGAATTCCGCGAAATGTATATTTAGGGCCTTGTGAGACATCCCAAAAAAGCAGATGTAGTGTATTAGGTATCTTATGTATACTTCAATGATTATGCCCATCAGAATCTCCATGCACAACGGTAATTCTGAATGTCCCTACCCTCCAGTTCGCGGGTCTTAGTAGGGGGAAAAGATAGGGTCTTAGAAGAATTGAGTTTTTTTTTTTTGCACAATGCCCCGGGCTCTCTAGCTCTATCTCCCATTATGTATTGCAGGCATAAAAATTATATATTCGAGCAGTATGGTTACGATTTCTCTTCGCTTTTAAGTAATCCTCAAGATATATTTTGCGCAGTTCTCCGGTACCCGCCGGCAGTGCATCTCACATGGTACATGCACCTTCACTGGCACTTGACCCTCTATCATCTCCTCACCGGTATTTTTATCCTGGGACGTTCTTTTTCCATATTCAAAATTGGTCTTATCATCCAACCTCGTTCGTTGTCCTTCCTCTCCAAAACACCATCCTCCCTTTTCCGTCGATAGAACACAAAACCGTCCACAACCCTACTACATACGCCCCTCAAAACCAAGCTCTCCATTGTACGTCTCTCATATACTCCTGTACCTCTATAACAATCACCATTAACTCACCTTGTCCTACCTTTAGCAACCTTCCAACAAAAAAAAATGCCCGTCCAATCTAAACCCATCACGACCTGCCAGGACACTCGCGCGTCCAAGGCCGAGCACCGCCGCGCCAACCAGGCAGAACAAAAGAGTAGGATACAATCACGCCGATAATTTATAGTTCTTGAGGAATCAGAGAAGCTAATAAAGCCAAAAGCAGGCAACGTTGTTGTCCAAGAGGTCGAAGTCGAAGTCGAATCCGACATGAGCCCGACCGAGCGTGCCAGGTTGGAAATCATGGCGAAAGTGGCATTGGCATTGCTCGAGATGATGGAGGGCCAGAAGAAGGGAGGAGCAACCAAGGAGAAGGAGACGTAGCGACGGGGACGTTGGGGATTCGGTATATGACATGATATCTTCCCACAAGCTAGGGTATTTATCCCTAGGGTAGGCCAAGGGGTACACTTCGAGGAAGAATGAGAGATGCAATGCAAGCGCAACGAAACTTTTCACACTCCAATCTGGAGGAGTTTTTACACGGATGATTTGTTATAACAACACGGTATTGACACTTTACTACCTTCAATTCACGTAGCGCTTCGTTTGCGTGACAACCAAGGACTTCTCCCTAGAGGTAACTTTTAACCTGTCAGGAGTCAAAGGTCTTCATCTCAGGTTTTCAGGTACGGCAGGAACACGCTTCATGCATTCACCACGTCCCAACCTCCTGAAACCTGGACCCTGAGTAAGAATCCACCTCTAGACACCTTCACCATCCAACATGGCGGTGAACCTTTAATCCAGTCCCCTTCACCGTCCAACCCTTCACCCGTTGTTAATCAAATATTTGGACCGTCCCCATCCATACATTTAAACCCCGTTCTATCACCCAAGCTGGTCAAACTTCCTCCACCTCCCAAATACCATCACATTTCACTTTCATTCTTCTCTTCTTCGTCGACAGAAAGTCGCCCACTACCTAAACAACATCCTGCCTCACTTAATTTTCCCAGAGTCTGTCTCCCATTAACCACATTACCTCATATAATACCTACCTACCATTTACTTACCACTACCTAACCTTACCCAACCACCAGTATCTTCCAAGGCACCTTACTAGCAAATCAACATGTCCAACCATCCTGCTGCTGCCGACTTCTTCACCCCCGCCACCACCACCGCCGAATTGGACGCTCTCGTGAACAGTGAGCCGCCCGTGGCCTAGCAAACCCGCCGTCGCCTCCCTACCGAGCAGCGTCAGGGGCAAGGCCAACGCATGAGCCGCGCCGCGGAGGCGGCTGCCACTGCTACTTATGTCCGACGTCAAGGAGGACACTACTGTCCAGGACACAAACAAGGCAGCTGGCGCGGAGGACAACGGTCCCGCCGAGTTGACACTCGAAAAGGTTGCCAAGGATCGTAAGACATATCTATCTCAAGCAACCACCGTACAGACAGCGAAATCAGTCAAAACCAGCAGATCCAAATGAATAAAGAAGTAGGCGACCACCTCAGAGAGCAGGTCAAACTTAGCCAGCCATTGTCTGTCGCTGTCGCTGAGGCATTGTCCCCTGACTATGAGAGCCGCGTCGAGGCCGAGGGTAAGAGATGCAACCACCAGGAACAAAAAAATTAAAGAAGTCCGAAAGCTAACATGAAAGTCATAGCTGTGGCTAAGGCGATGCGCTTTTTGGCTGGTTAGGAGAAGTAGAGTGGCTTTCGAGAGGGGGATTTACAGCTAGAAATAAACATAAACACACCCAAAACAGCCTTTGAACTGAAACTTGAACATGTGTGATAGCCACTTGCTTGATCAAGGTATAATATTTCGTGAACGACTTGAATCGCTAACAGTTTATCCAATACGCCAAAAAAAGAAAAGACGACTTCGGCCGCCACCGCCACCGAGTATTTGTTCCCAAAATTATTTGTATCTGTGACATAAAATCGTGTAACATGGCTCATAAAGGTCCAAAGTGGTTATCATAAAGAAGGGAGCGTATAAAGGAGGCTATGCAAAAACATTTGAAGAGAGAATATATCCAAGTCTAGAGGCAGTCATAGCAATCAACGCGTCTAGCCACTAGTTGACCGTTCCGTTTTAGGTCAAGGTAGCCAACATGGCCTTCATCAACCTCGGCGGAGGACCTGTTGAGACAAAAAAAGTCAGCACATCTGTCTCAAGACATCACACAACCCAAGAAATCACACATGACAAACGCACCGCTAGTGACGCTTTATCGGCGATTCCTCGGCACACTGATAGACAGCCTACCTCTCTTGTCCTTCTCAAGCCTCACGCCCCTGCTAGGCTCCTCGATCCTTTCAACTTCCTCCTCGAGCAGGACCAGCTCGCCGGTGGATAGCCGTTCGGCCCTGACGAGATCGCCTCTGCTGCCGTGTCGTTCCTTGCGAGCCAGCTGTCTCTCGAGGCGGTCGATCTCGGACCGGATACTCTCTGATTCGTACGAACGGTGGCGGCTCTTGCTACGACTGTGGCGGCTCTTGCTACGACTGTGGCGGCTACGGCTCTGATGGCGACTGCGGCTCCGGCTCATACTGTGGCTCTTATCGAGAACCATCAGCTCTCCGCCTCCCGGCATTTCTCTTGGGTGAGCGACGTGGACCACTTGGGGCGTGTGCACATGTCCTCGTGGTGTGACAGTTGCGGTCGAGCAAGTAGAGCATGAGGTACCCGTCGTGTAGGTCGAGTCGGTCCAAGACGAGGCACTATCCCAAGAGCTGTAGGAGGAAGCCCGGGAAGGAGAGACGTCGCGGACCTGGACAGTCTTTGCGAAGTCGACTTCTCGAGTCTGTACGGGCACAGCCGTGTTTACCATCACTGGTTGGGTATATGTGGCTTGAACAGGCGGGTGGGTGTGTACGGTGGTAGTATGGACGTGAGGGTGAGGAGGATGTGTAGTGGTTTGAGTGTAGTGTGTCGTGTGATGTGGAGGCCCTGGCATTGCTGTGTCGGTGCATTCGATGATCTCGGTGCGGTGTTCTTCGCGTTCCTCGATGATATCACCGGCACTCGAGCGGGAAGCTTGGATTTCAAGCTCAGCTGGACCTGCGTTAGTGTGAAGTTGATACCGACTGGACATTCGACACTCACCTTTCTTGTACTCGTCGCTCATCTTGAGCAAATGATCGATATGCTCTTGACCAAGAGCCTTCTGGATAATGGTAGTATTGCCCTTGGAGAAAAGTGTTAGCGAGAAGCCGTGCCGGCTAGAAAAATGAACTGGGAGCCTACCTCCTCAACAAATGGATAGCCACTTTCAATCAGGGCCCTCCTCGAAAGCAAGCGAGTGGGGATTCTCGTCTTCCCCTTCTTAGGATACTCGCTCCTTGATGTGATAGTGGTACCGCCGCTGCTGCTACTCGAGGAGCTGCTACTGGTAGATGCCACTGATCTGCTTCGGCGGCTGCTTCGATGGCTACGACTGGTAGCACGTGAAGCACGCGAGTCCCTACTCCGGTCTCTTCGGCTGCGCCTTGTGTGGATAACCTCCTTCTCGATCTCGCGCTCGCGGACCTTTTCTCCCCCTTGGAACGCGTGGAACTCCTCGTCACCATATCGATGAGGATCCGAGACTTGGATATCTCGGAAGTAGTCGTGTTCGGCGTAAACTCTAGGTGGAGGCAATGCCTTGTGCCGGGGCAGAGGGATGGGTACGTTGGCAGGAATGCGGTAGTCGGACCTCCTGGGTGGCGGACCGTACTCTTCGCGGTCGTAGAAGCCCTTTGGCTTTCGGTCATAGGTGTCGACACTGGAAGTACGTCGCATCATCCTAGCAGTAGGGCGTCTCGGCGGAGATGGGCTGCGGAATCTTTCTCTTTCGGGAGATGGCCTTCGGCGGGTGAAGGAGCTTTCGGAAGGAGATGGTCGTCGGCGCATAGTAGAGGGAGGGCGGGGAGTCTCCATATCGTCGTACATAACACGCCGCCGTTCACGAATGAGGAGTTCATCGTCTTCTTCCTCGTCGATATGTGGGCGACAGCCTCGGCGGTCGTGTGTGTAGCGTTCATCGACGGAGTGCTCCCTTGGTGGAGGTACACGACGGTCCTGGCGGAAGTAATCATCGTCGTCGTGCGGGTTGCGAGTCCGGATAGGAAGGGCATCGAATCGAGGTTCGCGATCAGGGCCGCGGCCAATGTGACGCTCAAGTGTCATATTTTGTTCCCGTTCATCATAGAAGCGATCTCTTTCCCATCGCGCAGAGCGATCAGGACCTGGAGCGGTCCGACCCAGGTCAGGGTATGAGGCTCGGCCAGCCATGGCAGGGGTTGTGATATGTTGATGCTTGTAGACGATCCGTTGCTCCCCCTTCGCTAGAGTACAGCTACTTTGACACTAGAGTAGGGCGTGGCGAAGACTTCGGGATGATATGTCGAGAAGGCGAAAAGGTAGAGCAGGAGGGTGGATATTTGTGATGGAAATCGGTCAGCGTTGAATGGCAATGTCAGGTGTTCCTGGGGGATCAGGCTGGTTTTGGTAGACTGGGTGACAACCAGCAACTAGCTTAGACTCGGAAGAGAAGGGACGACGTTCAAGTTTGGACGAACGATGTCCAAGATGTTGGTCCTATGACGACAGTTGCAGCAGGGTGGGTGTCAAGCTAGCGGTGGAGACAGCGTAGGGTCTTGGCTTGGAGCTCTATGAATGGTCACTTCTCACTGCCAGGCCCCGCTTTGGCACTCATCCACTTGCAAGGTACGAAAGCTGTGCCGCTGTTTCAAAACGTTGAAGAGTGTGTGAGTTGAGTTGAAGATTGACGGAAAAGTACACGGAGAATGAAGATTCTATGACGAGTCGAACGGTTGACAATTATCAGGTTGTTATAAGAGATGGCATGATGGGAAGTTGAAGAGAAGGTGATGCACACTATAAGAATTCCCAGAACACGATGGAATCTTGCACAACAATCAAGTTAGTCACCCCTTCCACACCGAAAAGTGCGCCAAGAATCATGGCCTGGGCAGTTTACGAACGACCTCATCACTCAATCCCGAAAAGGGTCTTCTCTAGCGCTCAAAACGGGGCAACCTAAGCTCATGGTAGAGAAACACGAGGTTGACCTCCAGGCTACCTATTCCGATGTGGAGGTTTGTCAGAGTACCAGGCTTTCAGGGTCCTTGCTCCGGATGGAAGCAAGGGAAAAAGAGCCTTACGAAGCAGCCATCCGGTCCGCGTGTTCGGCTGTCACGGATACAAACTCTTTGCTTTCTTGATGCGTCGGACAGCATCAAAGGCAGACACAATGCAGCTTGTCCGGATTTTTGCATTGCTGAGCATCAACCTTATTTTCTGCCCTTGTTGTGAAGCACAGCCAAGGTGGACTTTTTAGTGTCACCGATGTTGCTGATATTTGCTGTTAATGTAAAAGTAGATGCACCATGCTGTCTGCTAATAAACACTATCACTTGCACCGCGTCCCAACGACGGACAGGGAGCATCCATGCCTTCTCTTCGCTTCACAAAGAACAAGCTGCTGCTCCTATCACTCATCCACAAGCTCCGGAGCGCGATGCAAGCACAGCATATGTCCTCTTACCTTTGTGTGAATGAGGGGATTCCGGGGTTCGCTGCAAAGAATGTCTCACTCGGAATCGGGCATATCCGACCCTTGAGCAGCAGCTCGGCGCTCGGCTAACAAAAAACGCTGCAAGCCGCCGAAGACATCTCGACGCGAATGTGGACAAGACTTAGCTGCCGTCCTCCTTCCCAACCTCCAATCGGACTAATTTTGTCGGCCTTTTCTCAAGTTCACCGTCTATTATATGAATAGCTCCAAGTTCTCTCATCACCTGGCTTGTACCAGGTGAGAAACTTAGTTCACCAAAATATAGCTAGGGCTAGCTATGATATGTATGTACGATATGTACGATGACGTCGTCGGTATTCTCCCCCTTTTTTCCACTTCAGCCCAACGCCGAACCAGACGACCACAACAGCAGAGAAAAGCAAAATAAAAGCAAAATTTCGTGCTGCCATATACAAGCGAAACACACAAGGTTGGACCCTGGAATTGAGGATGACCTCTGTTTCTTTGTGCTTTTTTTATTTTTTTTCGTTGGCCTGGAAGCACAAAGGGTCCGCCCGAGTGCCTGAGTGCCTGGCACCGTACACTACAGATCGGTATCTCGATCTCAGCCGCTTTGTTCAACCCACTTGAGCCACTGTACGATGACCTTTATCTTTGTCCCTGGCTCCAGACTCGCACGACCCTCAGGTGCCTCAGTTGGCTACCGCTTAATGGAACAACACAGAACATCTGACCGGCTGTTCAACTGCTTCATCACAGCATTTTGTTTCCTTCTTCTATTTTTTATCGTCGAAACAAGGGTACTCCGTTCCAACCTTACACTACCGGAGCGGGAACGGAGAAGCGTGGAGCCAGGCGGGCCCTCCCGGCTCCCGCTGTCACGGTAGTAGCGGACGAACAGTTCGGGCAACAACCGAACAGAGGGCCGGGGGCCGGGGTGTCCGGCGCTAGTCCAATAACTCCCCGGTACATACCTCTAGAGAGGGAAGCTCTTGGTATGGTATGGTATGACTGCTATTTCCTATCACAAAGTTGTACAATGCATGATGAGTGGTATTCACAGACGTAGAACAGCTGGAGGCAAGCACCAAACGCTGTGCCGCTTAAGGTACACCAGACTTTCACCGTGCACTATGTCGTGCCTGTGCCCTGTAGAAGTGTCAAGTGTGACCATCACCGTAGTGCTTAGGTTGTAACATAGCACCACTAGCCTCTTACACCGGTGGCAGTTCACAATTCGGCGAACTCTTCTTAGATTTGTAGGATCTCGGTTTATAGTTTATATATTCTTCCATGTACTTTGTGACTTGGGACAGCATTCGACTCCACTACCCGACATTTCCCATGAGTCACTCCCTAACCCACGAAGAGCCCATAATCACCACCTCAGGATCCGGTTGGTCGTCCCAGAGTCCCGCTGAACACAATGCTCCACCTATGTCCTCAACCCATCCTTTCAGTCGTATCTCGATCTGTCATACAATACTCATAGGTATCTTACGTCGTCTTACAAAAAGACCATCTCGTAGGGTTTGTGTATGGAGTGGTAGTTCTAGTGTCCCCGGTATTCCCAATCGAACCGAGGTGGAGTTGCGGATATCAGCGGCACTGCCTTTCCTTAGCCGCGCCCGAGACTACGGTCTACGGCAAGGCAAGGCCGTTAAGCGAACAGCGTGAGAAGGAACATCATCCGAGCCTCGCATCACCTTATGGCTGGGTCATGCGCCTGCATCAGACCAGGGGTTCGTGCCAGAGCGTCGGGTCTCTTGGTGGAGTCCGCCTGGCCGCATGGTGCTCCGTCACTTGCCTCCTTGCCTCCTCGCCTGGAGCGGCTAGGCAGTGTCGACTGCGGCGGCCGTGTGAGCGGTCCAGCCCGTGATGGCTGCCGGACCATCACCGGCGTTGCAATCTGGGCCCGTCCGTCTTCCGAGTTCCGAACCACCTTACTGGGACTGGACTAAGGACGGTCAGATCCGTTCCCTTTGCAGTGCGTGTGGATACTTCAAGCGGGAGGGGAGTGGCTTCAGCCTTGGAGTAACTCCAAGACCACCCAATCTCACTCAGTTGGTGTTGCTGGCTCTTCCCGATACCTACCCAGAAGCTCCACCGAGGCTCCTGTCACGTTGATTATCACAATTTGAAAGGGCAGAGTTGATGGACAACGGGTGACATTGTTATGCCCGTCTCCCGTTCATTTTGTCTATCTCATGCTCATACTTCATCAAGCATTCCCCCTGATTAGGAACACAGTCGGCAGTATTGGCCTGCTCAGTCATCCTCGTATAACCCAACCAACCCCCTTTTTGCTCCCCAAACAGGGAGATTATAGTACTCAAAGAACTCCGGTGGATGTGTGGAAAAGGACCCCAGAAAAGAAAAAAGAAAATCGTCATGATGCCAGCATCTCTCATCGTAAAAATCCTGGTATATTCACCGTCATGCTAAAACGACAACTTGGGTTGTCAAACTTCGATGGTCGAACGCTCTGCTTCCGCTTAGTTCTCGACGAGAGCGGGAGTCTGGAGCTTGTTCTGCTCGTGAAGGCTGAGGTGGAAAGTACGGATGATCGAATCGGCGTCGTCGATGGCGATGGGGCGGACATCGGCAAGGGCCTTGATCTTGGCAGTGCTGGAGTTATTGTCAGTACTGCGTCCCGGAAATGTTCTGGGAGATATTGCACTAACCATTCCTTGACCTGGTCGTCGGTCATCTCGAGACCAAGCTGGCCAACACGGGTCTTGACAGCGTTCCAGCCGGTCAAGCGCGAGGCGAAGTGGACGTAGCGGGTAAGACCGAAGTCGGCAGGGTTGAGAATCTCGTAGGTGCTGGGATTGTTAAGGATGGCCTTGGCGTGGATACCAGCCTTGTGGGTGAAGGCGCAGAAACCAGTAATGGGGTTGTTGAAGGGAGTGTTGATCTCAACAGCCTCGGCGACCAAATCCTCGAGCTCCTTGAGCTTGTGGAGCTTGTACTTGCTCTTGACGTACTCGGGGCTGGTGACGATCATGCGAGCCATCAAGCCACCAAGAGGGGTGATACCGTTACGCTCGCCGATACCGAGAACCGAGGTGTCGATGTGGGTGGCACCAGCCTCGAGGGCGCAGTAGGCGTTGGCAATGGCGCAGCCAGTATCGTCGTGGAAATGGGTCTCGATATCGCACGAAACAACGCCGCGGAGGGTACGGACGAGGTCATAGACCTGGCGAGGAGAGGCACAGCCGACGGTATCGGCAATACCGACACGGTGAACACCGACCTTGTCAACCGCGCGGTAGAGGGAAAGGAGATCGACGAGATCGGAACGGAAGGAATCCTCGGAGGAGACTGGGCATGTTAGCGTGCATTTCCAACTAAACATAGTGCCGGAGTAATGATTGGGAGAAGTTGTTATTCGCCGTGCCCGGAGCTAGCACGGAGTCCCGTTTCCCGCTAACCGGCGTCCGCCAATCCTTGGAAGACACCTTGCGGGGGCGGGCTCCGTGCCGAGAAAACGACCGGTTTCGGTATCAAATAGTGTTTTGCCCGAAACCGCTAGTGGAAAGGGGTGTTTTGGGCTGTATGCGAAACGGGGCATGTAAAACTTACAGCGAACCTCAAGTCCCTTGGACTTGACATACTCAATAACCTCAACGGCGGTCTTCTCAATGTAGGCCATATCCTTGCCGTGGCTGTGCTCGCGGAGGAAGCTGGAAGTACCAATGACGACATCGAGGCCGTCGACACCGGTCTCTACAGCGAGCTTGGCATCGCGCATATCGCAACGGACGTGAGTCAAGATCTTAGCCTGTATGTGGAAAATCGGGTTAGCCGAGGGTCCCAGCGAGCTTCCGGACCGGCAATGGCATCGGGACGCACCTTGAGGCCGAGCTTGCAGATGGCCTCGCAATCCCTCCGAGACTGCTCCGAGGCAGCGGGAGAGGTCAACTCGATGTAATCGACGCCAAATTCGTCAAGGGCTGTGTCCGAATACCGGGGTCAGTTGTCTGTAAAAGGAAAAGGGGCGGGGCGCTTGGCATGGTTACCCTTGGCACTAAACGAATGGGGAGTCAGCACTGGTTCCGCTTTTCAAGCTCGCAATCCTAGGTTCCGGGTTCGGGGGCTGCGGAAGGGGGAACGCAGATGGGGAAGCGGATGGTGATGGGGTCGGTGACTGGGACTGGGAATGACTAACATCTTGATCTTGGTCTCGGTGTCGAAGTAGGCGTTGGCGAATTGCTCACCCTCTGGCTCTGGGGTTAGCGAATTGAAGTCGCAAAGGCAGAGTGTTGTTTATGTTGTTGGTACGAACCGCGGAGAGTAGACTCGATAATCTTGAAGCTGCCGACATTGGAGAGGAAGTCACCGACGGGCTGGTAGGGGTTGGAGCGGAAGTTGGCAGGCTGTAACCGGAGGTACCAGCAGTTAGCATTTTCGAGTTGTAAAGAATTGGATTGCGAGGAAAGTCGAGGTCGACGTACGTTCTGGCCGTTGGCCGCGCCATTGGCGCCGCTGGGAGCGTCGGTTCCGCACATGTTGTTTAGTTCTGTAGAGAGGCTCGGGCTGGGACGAGGGGGAGAGACTGAGGAGGACTGTGTTGGCAGAATTGAAAGGAGGAAAGATTGAGAAATGTGAATGGCTTCCCGATGCCGCTGATATAGCTGTGGTTTTAAACTTTTCGCGGACCCTTGCGGCTTTACGACAGCACGAAAGTTCATATGAGTCAATCAGAGATTTTTGGTCAGGGCAACCGGCAAAGGCCAGGCCACTACAGTACCACGACGTACTATGCAACCGGTACAGTACCAGTATGGCCCCCGACCCCGCAGTGGCACAAGAGACGGCAGCGGCCAAAAACTTAAACGAGTCCTGAATCTTGACCGCCCGAAAATCGGCCTTTGTGATTGGCGTATTGGTTTGAGACGGCGATGGCTCATCACGTCACGCATCAGAATCCCGTCTTGTTGCTCCGCTGGCCTGGAGCGATCAACCAGTGGGAGACACCACCGAATCCACACACAAAGCCCATTCCGAGACACAAACCGTAGCAAGAACGCGTGCGGACGTGTTCAAGCCACATAAGCGTGGCCGGATATAGTGCTGGCACATTGCTACCCATTCAGCCAATTCGCCCTTATCATTCGCCTGTAAGCCAAAAAGTGTTGGAGCACCGCAACTCAACCCCAGATTTGGTGGCTATGGATCCCAAGTTTGCAAACGAGAATTTTGCTAGGATGTCACGGATGTCGACCATGGACTTCCCGTTTTACGGACTTAGAAGGAAGTCTTGGCATTTCAGACAACCTCTCGTCACTTCGGTTGATCTGGCCCCGACAACTAAGAGTTTTCTTCAAAGTCTGAGAGCTTCGAGTTGATTGGAAAGCAAACTTGAAAACATGGTCATTGTCTCCAACTTGCTTGGGTTGTTTTTCGACTTACACGACGTCCCAAATCTCGATTCGGGCAGGGGCACTGCCGCACTTGCTGCGAGGGACAACAAGAAGAGTCACACTTGTCGTCCTTCGTGGCATTCGTGCTCTTTGTGTTCAGGTGTCCACAAACAAATTCTCCGCTGTCCGCACGCCGACCGGGCTGTCCCTAGCAAATATTTACCCCACATCATTGTCGGCAGTCCACTGGCTAGTCGTTTCTGGTGGTCTGTGCTCTAAGCCAACTGCCAAGCCGACGCCACTGAAGGTGGGGGAGCCTTTGGACCCGCCTGTGAAAGTGGGGTGGCACCTGGCAACAGTCAACTGCGCTGCCACGTTCAGTCGCCATGTCCGTCGCTCCTACTGGTCTTGGCTTGATCCGTTGAGACCGTCGTGCGGCACCGTCCACAGGCAAGGGATTCTCCGGCGTGGAGGTTCCCCTTGGTTGGCCTCATCCGGTTTGTCAAATTCTCACCAACAGCACCAGTCAGTTTCTTCAACTTGGGGACCACGCTCCTACGCAAGGTGATGCCTCTTTACATTCTACCCAAGGTGAAGCAAACTTTTAGGAAGGACACATTCGGTTGTGTCTGCTAGAGAATGCTCACAAATCGAGAGAACTGGGGCAACTCCTGTTCCAAGATCCGGGTATCGGGAATCGGTATCCATGGCAGAGGATGACTCCATGAGTCCAACTTGCGGGGTTCTATGGCATCACTTCAAGATCCCTTTTTGACAGTCACCAAACTCTGAAGGTGGGATGTTTTCACTTAAACTCGTTCTGGCTCCCTACCGATCTTATTCGGTGTCTGTTTCTTCTCAGTATCCTCCCTAGCCTCCCCACCCTTCCCGCCATTTGCCGCACTCATATCTCCCAGCTGGAGCATCCTTCGAGTCTCACGACGGCGTAGAGAATACTGTGCCGTATAGCTGTATCAGTAATCTTTTCTTTCAAAGAGTTGCAACCATTCCCAAAAACCAAGATCAAAATGATCTACATCTTACACATGTCTGGGCGGGCAAACCGAGGCTAGACTTTGCCAGCCGCATAAAGTGCATGATGTACTTGGTATGGCCTGACTTTAGCATGTCATCACTGGCTGTTTGACAGGCCATCACCAATGCCCAGAACATCCAGAATGGTATCGTCCCCCCTTTTTCAATGAAAACATAGGGTCGTAGTGTAGAGCACTGCCCTTTAGCCCTTCGTCCAGCCCATTCCATAGTGTCTTTTGCCTATCGTTCCTGCAGTTGCCAATTTGCCATCAGGCGTCCCCTACAGTAGATTGACACATGGCGGCTTGGCCTGGGAAGAAGTCAGATCAGATCCTTCAACCAAACGGTTGACCACAACGACCACAAGTGTTGGTCGTGTTGCTTGCTGTGCCCCTAGATATTCCGAAGATCATCTATAAATACCAAAGAATCGCCGACCACATCTTTTTAAACAAGTGTTCCCCGGTTACTCTTGAAAGGCACAACCTTGCATATTCGTCCGAAATCGAACATCAAAACAATCGTCATCGTCCGGGAGCTCGCCCCAGCAACCCAGCTATAGCTCGCTCTTAGTCAACTACATCATCGTCTCAACCTAAAGTTCCCAAGAAAACAACCGATCTCATCAAAACATTCCCCAAAAACTCTTCGCCAAAAATGTGTATCGTTCTACTCACAACCGCGCACCCAAAATATGCGCTCATTGTCATCGACAACCGAGACGAATACATCCTCCGGCCAACTAGCAAACCTCACTGGTGGACGGCACTGTCAGACTCGCCCTCTACTGACAATCATGAGTACGACTGCCGAAAAGTCGAGGTCGTCTCCAGCCGGGATTTGGCACGGCCTGAGCATGGAACATGGCTTGGCATGACCAAGGGCGGCAACATCGCCGTGCTCACCAACTACCGCGAAACCAACACTCACGACGCGGCACATCCCATAGCTGGAAAGCGTAGCCGCGGTGGCATGGTGACCGCCTGGCTAGCGGCGCATCCTGACGAGCCGGTGCAGGACTTTGTCAGTCGGATGGTTGGGAGTGGCGAGGCGAGGGATATTGGCGGCTTCTCTCTCGTCTGCGGCAAGCTGCGGAAGAGGAAATCCGACAAGGGGATCGAGCCCCTGGCCATCATTTCCAACAGAGCCGCTCATATCGACCACGTCCCATGGATCTGCGGAGACCGGGACCACATATACGGACTCAGCAACGCCATCTACCTCAACCCTAGCGAGGAGACTGATGATTTGACATGGCCCAAGGTCCGGGACGGGAGGGAGAAGCTGAAGCAAGTCATCGAGGCTACCTCCAGTGAAGACGTCAGCGAAGATGTGCTGGTGGAAGAGCTCTGCAAAGTCCTGGATTCTAACAACTTCCCTGCGGACCGCTGTATCGACCTCGAGGAGGGCATCCCGCTGCTCAAGGATTCCATCTTCATCCCAGCCTTTGGAGGCAAGCAGCACCAAGCGGAGATGGAGGCAGCCCGTCAACGGGGCACAATCAAGGAGAAGGGCCCTCATGACGGCGCTTCAGACGCGGTGACAACAGTCAGCCGTCCAGATAACCAACCGAACGGGTTCCAGACTGGACTCTACGGTACTCAGCGACAAACCATCATCCTCGTGGATTGGGATGGAAACGCCACGTATAGGGAGCGCGCGTTGTTTGATGCCCACGGCAACCCCATTCCACGGGGCTCTGGGGACGAAACGTTCAAGTTCAAGATTGAAGGGTGGGAAGAAGCGGTGGATGGCGAACTGGAGACCAGGAACTAGGCGCGAGGGCAAGCGTTAGTCCAGGATCATGGAGATGAAGGGTTTGGTAGCAATGAGGGGTGGTGTTTTCTTTTGATATCAACATCATCGGACTCGAAAAGCGGATGTTTCAGTTGCATTTTGTTTGGAAGAATTGGATTTCAATTACTATGCGTGGCTCTCACCAGCCTTAACTCTTGTCTTACACTTTTGGTCAGGATATCGATGTGTTACCGTGATATCCCAGTTCACTTTCTGCTCTATTGTTGCTGTTTGTTTTGTTTGAGATTTCCTTGCCGGGCAAACCATGGCGGCAGCGTGTGCGACACTAGGAGGGAAGGCACGGCATTCAAACACCAACCGCGACTCAACGACTTTCGGTCTCGGTCCTGCCAAAAAAGCTCCCAACATATAAGACACGCTTCACACCTTCGGATACGAACTTCTATGAGTGGAAAACCCAAGTCGGGTCGTACCTTCCCTCTTATATATCCATTCACTCAACTCTTTTTCGTCCCAAGCAAGAACGAAGTCCAGGCAACAATCTGAAGTCCCAAACTTGCGCATATCACTGCCGTCTGGCCATGGCGCGTCCCCCAATTTTTCGCCAGGCACAACTTACCATTCACTGCCACCGGCTCTCAACTCCCTCGAGAGTTTTTGGGGGCTGCCACTTTTCACTCTCTGCCTCCGCCGTTTACCCTTCCTTCCCCCGCTTTTTCGAACGCCAGAACTATCCTGCAGCTTTCCACCCTTCTCCCCATTTCTCGCCAGCGCACACCCACGACCTTCGCTTTACGACTTCATCTCTGATCGCGACTCGTGCTTGGAGACAATATCCTTGCTCTTCAAGCAACAAAGAAGGTACGTTTTGAACAAGGCATACCGTATGATCTCGCGAAATTCCACACTCCTTCCCTCTTTCAGCGCCGGGCAGAGGGCAGATCTGTACAGGCAGCTGGCAGGCGGGTCCAGGAGAAATGCGCGCAAGTTTGAGTACTGGGCAATGCCCTTCGCTCTCACTCACAGGACATACACGTATGCTGGTATATGCGTGCTTGCGCAGCACCTGGGATATTTCTGGCATATTCTGGCTTTTACCTTCTGTCAGGCGCTCAAAGAGGGAAGGAGTTTGGCGGGTTTCGCGAGACACGGTATTGACTCGACCCCTCCCTGAACTTGTCGCTTGCTGGGATGCCCTCGTTCCCTTGATCCTCGCTCTCTTATTCTCAACTATCAAGTCAGAACTTGGTCACCTTGTCTGGATATTCCTCCCGAGCTTCACTTGTACAACACGTTACCCACTATCAAGGAACTCTCGAAAAGTTCCCGTTCACATCTTTGTCGGTTCTCCATCGCTAACCTGGCCGTCATGAGCAGAAGACCACCCATCGACTCCGGGGAGTTTGAGCTTAGCACCTCCGTACTCTCCCTCCTGTCGCCCTCCAAAGCGAGCACTCTTCTCGAGGAGACAGGCTGCGAGCAGTCAGACGGCACGCCGCTAGCCCTCTTGGGTGACAACATTACCTCGCCTTCCCCAGAAAAACACCGGTTCACTCAAGTCAAAAAGTCCCAAGCCAGAAGCGGACTACTACGCTGCCTGGTGTAAAAGCAACCCCCCACCAAGCTTTGCCGCCATAGTTAAGGCCCACGGAAACGAAGATAGAGCCTCGAGCAAGATCACGGAGCTACCTCCATCAACAGAAGCTTCCCCTACTCTCCGTGGCTCCGTTGTTGCCAAGGCAGAGAATCAGCTCGAGCAACTTCAGGACGACGAGCCTGCAGCGAAGGACCAGCCTAGCCTCTCAGACGAAGAGACCTTAAGACCCAGCGAAAATTCCCAGTCTTCCATACCAAGACTCCAAGAGGACAGCCTCCAAAAAGACAGTACCCAAGAGGACAACATTCAAGACAACAGCATTCAGAACGACGACGTCCACAGTCACGAAACGTCAATCGCCGAGCTCATTTGGGCTTTACTTGTCACATTCGGCACCGTCGCTTGGGGAACATCTCGTCTTGTGTTCTTCTCATTCTTGGCACCCCTTTCCTTTGTGAAGCACCCGGGCCTTGCTTTGTTCGAGACATCCAAACTTTGGCTCTTGTTCGCAAGCCAGTGCTGTACAACACTGCGCCTCATCACAAAGAGGCTCATCCTCATCGCATTAATCCGACTCTTCAAGGTCCTTACCTGGGCTCTACAGCTGTTGATATGGAGCAAAACATCCCAAGCAACGCCCCAAAGCGACGAGGGTCCCGCTGGTCACTCCTCAGACCAGCCAAAGGCGAACGGCGGTCATCAACTGTAAAGGCTGATCTCAGCAGCACACCCGAGCCAGATCTTCCTGACGCACAATCAGTGAAGACAAAGGGTGTTATCCCCGTGTCTGACGATGATGGCAACGTCGGATGTACCACAGGTATCCCGTCTTTTACAGGCCGGGTGAAACAGCACAACAACGAGAATCAATCCCCTGAGCGAATTCAGGAGGAAACCGTTTCTTTACCATTGCCCAGACACAGCATACCAAAGTCCCGGACATTTAATGTATTTTCCAGCATTACTCATAGCTTTTCCCGCAGCTCACTACTTAGTCACTCAACCACGACGAGTACCCAGGACCTCCCGAACCCATCGTCTACCGCAACCGCCAAAAGTTCGCGGTCTTCACTATCTTCTCGCTTTGGCCGAAAAGCGATGAACCACGACCAAGATCTCCCAACCCAATCCCCGGAGCCTATTTCGACGCTTGAAGAAGCAGCACCACCGCTTCCGACCAATCCTCGCTATGTTTCCACAGCAATGCCGTCGGCGTGGTGGGCTGGGCGCTTTTCGTCTCTCCATGACCGGTTCCACGGCGAGTTGCTTACAGCTCGTAATCTCAATCTGATCATTGAGGCACAGACCTTCCAGGCCATGTTGTCTGGTGAGATTAGCAACTCGACATCTACCCCCTCGGCGCCTACAGCATCAGCATACAACAACCCTTCTACCTCTGTTTACGCCTCTAGCCGCATCATGCCCGCCTGTGATGGCAACTTCGACACACCTGCAAAAAGGCGCCCGGATGCTGCCCAGCTCGGTCTTAAGACGACTGAGGATAGACACATACCGTTCTATGTGCGCAATCAAATAGGCATACCGCATTCGGCCACCACCGATGCTGTCATGCAGACTCCCAGAAAGTCTAGCACCTATGTCAGCGAGCGGAATCCTGCAGTCTACAAGACGGTGCACCACGGGGAGAAAGCCCATCACCAGGCTCCCTCTCCTTCCATGATACCTACTCGCGTCATTCCCAGGTCTGAATCTTCCAGGATTCTTCCCCGGCGACCCCTGCCAGATCTTCCCGTATCCGAATCTTCAAGGGTCCTACCTCGACGGCCCCTGCCAAGAATTCCACATTCTGATTCATCCGGTGTCATCCACATTTACACAGATGACGGCGACAATGACGATTCGTCCGCGAGCTTCCGGATGAAGAACACCGATCGCCGAAACAGGATCATGAGCGAATCCCAGGTCAAGGCCAGGAAGGACAGAGAGGACAGACTCCGAAAGGAGAGGGAGGATATGCTGAGAAGGGTGACAATTGCCGATGCGACTGCCCTGACTGATGACGATAACAGATGTCGTCGTGTCTTTCTCCATCTCGAGGCAACCTGTACGACAGATGAGGCACGCAACTCGCTGTATGCTTGGCAACAGGACCATGCGAGAAAGACAAACCGGGAGGTGCTGCTTCCAAGGGGCGGTACCATGCACGATCCGCGCAGCTTCAGAAGCACTGTCTTTAGGAGGACTCTGTTTGGGAGTCGCCGAAATATGGGGTCCTTGCCTTCTGGTTCTGGCGGAGGCATCGTCACGACTGGCCTCAATGTCAACCTTGGACAACCTGAAAGCGAGATCCGGCACTCAAAGACGGAACGTTCACTGCTCCAGGTGCCGAGGAGTGTGTTTACCCACGGAAGATCAGCCAGTATGGAGTTTGACAATACGGAGCCGAGTTCCTATGGGTATCGTCTTGAGCGACACGGCACTGTTCGCGGAGCTCCGGCAGGGAACGAGGTCAAGAAGGGACGGTATCAGCATCGTATGAGCCTTGCGTGAGCATACCTCGGCGTTTCTTTGCAGATGGACGAAGTTCCCAGCGATGATGGATCATGGGTTTTTATTATGGGCTGTATTATTATTGCATTTGCATTACTGGCTGGAACGACAGATCAGGCATCACGGTTTCTTTCAAAGTGGGGGAAATATATCAAGGATAAGGGGATTATCATACAGCTTCATCTACCTTGGGTAGGAGGCAATGTCGGAGTTCATGGAGCATTACGGTTTCTTCTCATGTGAGCGATGGGCTCTAAAGGGAGGGTATGGCATTATCACAAGGCTTTGTGTACCCAGGGTAACAGGCATGGTCGGAGTTCAGAGGTTATTTGTTGCATTTTCTCGGCTTCCGACCTCATTATACCGCTTCATATACCCAGGGAGAGAGGCAAAGAAATCAGGCGTTTTGGAGGGTATTTCTGGCATTCATTCATGCTTTGAACCTCATAATGACAACGTCAATACTTGTTAGTTAGTCTTGTAATATACTAGTTAGATGCAAACTTTGAGTGTCCCGAACATGTGCAGTGAATGAGCATGACTGATTGTTCCATTATTGATGATCCAATGATTCGGGCTCATGTTACTGTAGCTTGCTTAACAAGTGTTAACAGGTTTTCTAATCAAAGCAGGTGGGATGGCGTTAGTTTACGTTGGCCTCAGTGCACCCTGCACCCCTTTTTCCCACCGTTCCTCGGTTTCCTCTAGCACTTTACCGACGACTTAAGCCACATCTTTTAAGAGAAAAGTTGGTGACTGGGTAGCTTTCAATGATCTTGTATTGTTTTACTCTCTAATATGCCCTGTATCATGCCATTATCATGTACCTCACAACTCGGGAGCCCCTTTTAACCATAACTCCTGTCCAAATCTCAAAGCTGGTGGTAATTGTATGAAACCAAACCGCCCCTGTGCATCCAAGCCCAGAACTCCCTTTTTCAATGCACATAAGGTATTGAGCCAACCTGACCGTGGTCACCGAGGACTGATTCTCTCCGATGCCAACTCTTCCCTCGCCATCTGCCCACAATGTTTTCCATCCCCAAGTGCTTGCTCTCGCAGTAAGACCCCTCGGTCCCTTTTTTCTTTAGACTACTCCCCCTTCTTCCGACTCTTCAAATAATCTCTCAACTGCTCATGCTTACTAGCAAAGAACAGCTGCCGCTTATCATTCTTCCATACCAGCACGCCAATCTCCTCGGCGTATCTCGACAGCGCCGCATACTCCTCCGTGCTCTCAAAGTCCTTGAACAGGAATCCCGCCGTCGTCTGCATCCGCTCATTCTCCAGCTGCCAAAGTCGGATCTGGTCCACCACCGTCGGCGGCAACACCGTCTTGCCCGTCACAGTGGCTTCCCTAACCATCTGCTGATGGGCATGGGCGTGCAGGTAGGAAATGATCTGGTCGGCTGTGATGCCGAAGCCGATAGCCTGGCGGATCGAGTCACGCGTAAGGCGGCCGAGACCATGTTGGGGAAACGCATGTTAAGCTGGCAGAAGAGAGCCAGGACGGCAATTTGGAGGGGCGAGGTGGTGTAAGCGTAGATGCGGTAATTGGTCTCGATGATGATGCCCTTTGATGTGCCGGTTTTATCGGCGGGGGTGGCGCCGGCCGGACCGCCGCTGGTGCTGGTCGTCGTGCCTGGTTCGCCGGAAGGGTTAGCTGTCGCGGCGGTGAAGGCCGAGGAGACGGTGCGCAGGGCCGAGGCGGTGCTGGTTAGGGTTGTGGCGAGGCGGGTAGGGAAGAACTGCCGCGTGTCGCGCGGGAAGTAGATCAGCCCGAAGTCGACGAGCGAGGGAAGCATATTCCGCCGGGTTTCGGTTAGGGCTGAGGTGTCGTAGGCGGTGCCGAGCTCGAGCGAGGATAGCATGAAGAGGAAAGAGAGCATGTCGATGCTGTCCATGCCCGAGTCGGCCGCGTGGTCAGCTGCTTCGAGCCAGAGGAGAAGCAAAGTCCATACTTGGGCGTTGGACTCCTGAAGGAGGAATGTGAAACCAGCTTGCGTAATGCCAATGCCTGTTCGGGTGTCGGGACGGCGTTCGACGAGGCGACCGGCCAGGAGCAGTTCCTTAACGCTGGCCTTGGGACCGCTCACCCCTTCGGAACTGCTTTGGACTCCGAGACTGTTGACGACATAGTGGAGGATGTCGTCCCACTTCTTGCGGGCGTACTTGTCGAGGTAGCCGATATCGATGGTGGGATCGACGGGCAGAGAACTGGGAACACCAAAGCTACCATCTTCGCCGCCACCTTCGAAGGCCAGTTGTAGGCCCTTCTTGAAGCTTGTTGTGATTTGGATTTCTTGGGTCCGGTCCTTACCCGGCGGTGAGACCTGTAGGACGTGGAGGGATCGTAGAGCGGCTATGGTGCGATCGCGGTGTATCTTCCCACCGGACTCTGGAGGGAACCATATGTCGAGGGATGTTAGAGGGAACGGGTCCGGCATGTAGAGTAGGCCTCGGACAATAACCTTGGCTATCGAGGGAACAAAGGGAGTTAGCTAGAGATCAGGAATTCCATGTCTAAGGAGCACACCAATTGCGTACCATGGTGAGACAGCATTCGGCGGAAGATAGCCAGAGCTGTTGCGGGTGACTGGTATAGCCTCCTAAAAGCTGTCCCAGGCAGCTTCTCCAGGTACTCCAGGAGCTGTTGTCCGCCGAGTGACATGGTGGGCAGACGTGGCGGGCACAGCGGGCCGCTTGTATGATTTCGTTCTCGCTATCTGACTGGCACGGTGATGGAACGAGTCTATGATGCGGTGCGTATAGTGTTTTGAATGTGGTCGAGTCCGGATAGCTCGTCGAGGGGATCACGATGTAATGCTACTAGTCGACTTGTGTTGTTGAGAAGTCGGCACTGAAGAATACGTCTGGTTGGATTTGATCTTGGGACCGAGGTGTAAGTTGTACCGATGATACGTTTATTCGATGCGTGGTTAAGTCGGGCAATAATTGGTACTGCTGGTTGCGTATGCGGAAGAGTTCAAGTTTGTTGCAAAGACCTTGAAGGCTGCATTTCCGATTCACGGTTGGATGATCACTGCGCTGTACGCGTCGAGCATTGCCTGCCCCGTGGTACCCTTGCAGCCCGCTAAAGGTGGTCGCTACCTATAAGTGGGGAAAACCCTCGTGGCAGGCACTACCGGTCCCTATCACGACGTCACTGTTCCCCCTGTTACCGTCCACCGGATCGGCCGGTCGGCCCCCCAAAGCCCCTGTAAACTCGGTTGCTGGTTTCCGGCATTCAGTGGTGCTCCGTCCGATGTCTTAACACTGCATCTGAATTACCCAACTCCTGCATCCTGCACGGCATCTTCTCCAACATCGGGCATCTCCAAATCGAGCTCAACAGCAACAGAAAATGGCACCCAAACTTCCACCATTGAGATTCGTGAGATCGGTTAGTCCAAGGCTTCACTTTTCCAGCTGCATTGACTCGTTTGCTTACAATCACTTCTATAGGTCATGAAGTCATTCATGGCCGAGTCCGGCCTCGAGCCCAGGTAAGTGATACACCACCATCTTTTGCTCAAAGTGAGAGACTGACCACATGTTGACAGACTACTTGGGCCTCAAGTAAGTGGGAAATACCCTGAAAGGCATCATGGGTCTTATGAACAGGCAACTCACATCATCAAACTCTCCAGTTCCGAGTCACCGGTGCCACCCAGGGCAAGGTCAATTTTGAGCTCGACATCACCAAGGACCACACCAACCGTCTGAAGATCATCCACGGCGGAACCATTGCCAGCATGGTTGATCTTGGTGGATCTCTGGCTGTTGCGTCTAAGGGACTCTATGCCACCGGTGTGTCGACGGATCTCAACGGTATGTTTGCTTCTGTCAACGAGACTTCTTCCCTAGCAAAAGAAGAGGGTCCCACGTGTTGCTTCACGAGAACGCACGATGCTAACCAGTCGATGAAAATCCAGTTTCCTACATTAGTGGTGGTGGGAAAGTCGGTGAGAAGATCCTCGGAACCGCTGTGTGTGATAAGAGTAAGTCTTCCATGTTCTTCCCCTGCACTAATAACCCTTCCCCTTCGACAAGACTAACATTCATTGCTAACAACCGGACAGTCGGCAAGACCCTCGCCTACACCACCGTCACCTTCCGCAACCAGAAGGGCGAGCTTTGTGCCCGTGGCAGCCATACCAAGTTTGTCACCCACGCCTGGAACGCACAAGGTGGCTCCGAGCTTTTTACAGTTCCGGAGGGAGGCGCCGTTGCCGATGAGGTGGATTGAAGACGGACATAGAACAAAAGTCAAGACCATGGGTGCGTATACGACATGTAAATAGAGTTGCTAACCCCTAGCGAGCGAGCGATCAGCGATCAGCGATCAGCGATTTTTGTCTCTCTGCCCTTTCAATACCCCTTTGAGCTCCTAGAGAGAGATACCCTTGGAGTACTTGCTTCTATTTTTCGTATCTTTGGATCCAATCTGTGTCTGATGTTGGACGAAACCCAAGTTGGATGATGGGATACAATAAAACCTGCTGACTTGATACCTCACAAAATGAAAAAGAACAACGTACAAGAAACACCGAGAAGTCGGCTATCCCAAAGACGCCAGGAGTCATACAAAGTCCATACCATTTCAACCACTCGAGTCTCGACCAAGTCACAACGCCTCACGCTCACTAGCACCCACCACTCTTGCAGCAAGAACCATTAGCCGCACCACCAGCACCATTCCCGCCCCACTAACACCCTCACCATCCACCTCCTTCGGCACCTCAAAAGCCAACTTGCTCAACTTATCCGCCGCATCATAGACACCCTGGCCTTTAGCCAGCAGCTGGCTGGGGGTGCTCGCATAACTGGGCGGCACATTCAGGACCGGGTTGCGGGCAAAGAAGTTGCGCGGCCGCAAAAGCAAGGTCATGGGCTCGGCCGGCATCACGGGGAAATCCTCGGGGGCCGGGAAGTGGGTGACGCCGAAGGTGTGCCACAGGACGACGTTGGTGTTGTCGATGGACTCGGTGCCGTCGCCAATCCACTCGGGTAAACCCCGCGAGGGCTCGCCGGAGGTTTGCGGGACGTGTCGGCCGGCGGGCCAGAGTTGGTCGTCGCGGTCTGTTGCATGGGGGCAGATGTCAGGTTCGGTAGGGTTCTTATCGAGAGGAGGCTGGGACCTAAGGGGATAGGGGGAGTAAGGGAGGAGGGGAATAGGGGTAAAGAAAGACTTAACGACTTGGTAACATGAACCGAATGGTCTAGCAAAAGCTAGCACGCTTCCAGACCAGGGAACC